TTTATACCGTCAGTGTTCCTCATAGCCATGTGCTGGGGATGGCAAAGCATAGAACATGGGCTGAGTTTTAGACATTCTCGTATTTGATTGAACACGAGCCATCATCCGAGTGTTTGGCGATGCTGATTGTCATGAACACGGGCACTCGCGCTCATGACAATCGAGTAGGTGACATATGTCATCACGGTTTCAACGACGCTAATAAATCTAGGGACTTTCTCAATTTAAATAGACTTGACGCAGTGAGCTACGTGACGTCACGGGGTCGCGTGACGCGACATTACTAGGCAGCATGTCTTGACACCATGATGTCACGTGACCACGTGGCACACGATTAAACAAAGTGCCAATATCAAAGCTCCACGAAAACCCGCAATTCCTCATACACTGCAATTCTGTATATTACGATTTGATCCATACATGAAAATACAGCGGCCAATTTTTTTGTTATTCTCAAATATTAATTTTGGGTTACCAAAAACAAAAACAAAAATTGACGGTGAACCGTTTTGATTGAATCGGTTACCGTTATATTTTTTTCCAGTTTAGTTCCAAGATGGCGGCGAAGGTTTCGGTTCGGCTGAAAATACCGGTTCTGTTTCGGTTTTGGGTTCCAGTTCGACACTCTGCCACAGTGTGCGTGCTCAATTCATGCTTCGAAGTGACGGCGCGAGCTCCCGCTAGAAAATCGAAGCTCAAGCATACAATCTGCTAAAAGTCCCTAGTGTAACACAAAATGTAAAAGCGTCGGGGAAAACAAAGAAAAAAAAAACTCTTGTACGTTAAAACTATAATGTGTATACACCTAAAGGTGCTCATAAGTATGCGTCAAGACTAACACCCTAAAGGTGTTTCATCAGCACCCTTCCGTGTTGTCCCTATACACCCATAAAGGCGCTAATAAGTATATCTCAAGGACTACGTCCAATGTGGCGATGCAGGTGAGTTGGTTCATGATTACAACTGGTAGCAGCGCGCAAAAAACACAAGGAAAAAGAGAGAAATGCGCTCGTCTTGTGCATTGCTCCCTTTGTCCTTGTGTTTTTTGCTCGCAACTACGTGCAAAGGGTGTTCCAGTACCATCGCTCCAGTGTTATATCGATACACCTGTAAAGGAGCTAATGAGGCTAACTCCCCCGAGGGTGTTCCAGCGGCACCCTTCCGGTGCTATTCCTATAAGAATGCTGCTAAGAATAAAGTTCTATAAAACATTTTTTGTAACTTTCCTATCTGTGCTTTCTGCATACACACAATATACTTGCGTGCGCACAAAGACGACGACCGCCTTGACGATGATTTTTGGCGTTGTTTGACCGCCTCTCTCGGTTCGTGGGCTGAGATCGGACAGAGTGAAACGGAGTATTGCTGCTTCTCCACATAATCACCGCACAGACTAAGGAAATTATCGTGACGTGACAGGAGCTTTTGGATGCCCTCCTCGAAGAAGCTTATACCGTCTGGGTCTTCAGTCATTGAATCACGCGTTCTGCAAGACCATCAGTCGTCACGGGCCATCGTCCCTGAACCCCATCATCATGGACGTCCGTTCGTTCTCTCCAAAAACTCGATGCAGTTTCCTCCATGCTCATTACACGTCTGTGGCGACTGACACCTCCGTTGACGCGTGATGGAATGGCCCAGAACTCAGGCGGCAACCCATATTGAGGAGGACGCCCAAAAGTTCGTGCCACTCCATGGCAACTGCGTACAACTGCTGGGTGGTTTCGTCGAAGAGCAGCTGCAGTAGGTACGTAAATTTGGTGGATATATTGAAAAAAATGTTCCATCAATCTTGTTTTCATTACCCAATTTATCGGAGGTTGAACAATAAAATAAAAAAATGAAAGACGTTTACAATTCCTTGTTATACCGAATTAGAGCGCAGCTCTTGAGGAGGGTGAGGGGAGGGTACGGAGAGGAGGATATAACCCTCCCCCTCTTCCATACCCTCTTCTGGCCCTTCTCCTCGCCGTCCCTCCCCCCTCCCTCGTGAAGGTCGTGACCTACGTGACGTCCCTCGTGACCATCGTGACGTCACGTGTGACGTCATTATGGGAAGCGTCCCATAATGCAACGCGCGGTTACGCCGACGGTGACGCCGCTCAAGCCGGAAACGGGTGCCTAAAAGTTGCGCTCTAAAACAAAAAGTAAAAAAAAAAACTGCTTTCGTAGGTTGCTCTTTTCTTGGCGCTATTTCACGCGAAGTATAATTTGCCTAAGTTCATGTCCTGTTTCTTCTCCTAAAACGCATTGGTACCGGCAAATATTATTCTACGTAGTAACTGAAACAGCTAAACCGCTTCCAAGGGGGCAGGCTGTCTCTTCCCCGCAGTGCACCATTAACGTACCCTTTTAGACCCGCTCAATGAATGAAGGGTTTACAAATGGTGTATTACGCGAAATAGGGGGATCGGTGGCCAAGTAAGTGTGTTAGCGCACCACAGCAGGGAGCACGTGGAGCGAAAGCTCGCGCTGCAGAACCCAGGGATCCTGGCCGTTTCGATTTGGATGAGCATCGTATACCGGCGTGGGGTCGTGTATCACTCCTGCGGGATGCATGTGAAAGACCCCAGGTGGACAGCGTAAACCAGCGTCGCCGCACCTTAAAGGCAGACCGAGCTTATGATGTCTAAACACGAACGTCTAGTTTGGTTGGGTATACTGAAAGGGTGTACAAGTCTACAAGTGTAAAGTGGCTCTAAAACCCCAATACAACCGTGTTTTTTTTTTTTTTTTTTCTTGTTTAAACGCGTGAGTATAATTATGGAAGTTGGTTTTGTCGGAGTGCCGCCAACATAAGTGTTTATTAGAAAGCTCTACTACTGTAGGTCGTGTTTTCAAGCCACGCTTTTTGTAGCGGGAGCTCGCGCTGCCCCTTCAATGATGCATGCTCTGAAGCGCGCGCGCCCGTAGCGGTAGCGTGCCTTTGAAAACTACCTACTAAAACTCCCTATTAACACCGTTTGTCACTGGATTTAATCAAACTTTCAGTGACAATCGTGTTATTTTTTTTTAAATATATATATATATATTTTTTTTTTTCATTGCATGTTTCCATTGTTTTGCAGTCTACGCAATCTCATTTAAGAGAAATTATGAAGGGCTTTCTCGGCGCGTCTCACCAGCCATTATTTCTTGCAGGATTCCTCGGTGTATCCTCCTAGCGGGAAGAAAGAACGTTTCGAGCTAAAATAGGCGCCCTCGTGCTTACAGAAAACATCCGCAATTCTTGCAGCGCCGTTGACCGGAGATCTCAAGAATGTGCCGCGATGTGCCGGCGCCGCCATTCCCCGCAGACTGTTTTTCTTCTGCTTTGTATTTTTTTTTTGGGGGCGTGAGCGCGCGGGAGGCGAGCGTGCTCCTTAAAGCGGCCCCGCTGTTTCCTTTGTCTACGTTCGACGGCGTGATCTCGCAATACCTGAAATTCCGTTCATTTTTGTGCCGACCGATCCTTCCTCCTTCATTTCCGTCCGAGATCCCGTCGACACCAGCCATTTTCCAGTGGGGTGAAGGCATCAGCAGCGCGCGTGAGACTTGTGGCGACATCTGTTGGCCGATTTTGTGAAGAAACAGTCTGGTGATGCAACCTTTACTGTTGTTCTGTTGTGGCAACTACCTTCCAGTATCTGTGCTTTGGCCGTAGGGTAAACCGTAGGGGTCTCCGTTGTAGACGGGCAAATGCAGAAGGACAAACGCCATCGCAAGGCAGAATAACTTCCCACTGTGTACGCTTTTTTTTTTTTTATTAAAGCTTGGTGAATTTTTATATTCAACCTCAGAAGTCGTGTACAGTACTGGGAAAGTCAAGGACGCGAGCGCGTGGTTCTTGAAAGAGCTGAATTTCACCGAGACCAAATTTGGGGAATGTGCTTTGAAGTCGAGAGTTCTACTTTCCTCGAAAATTGCCAGAAAACAAACAAACAAACAATTTTAAGTACAAGTTCATACTTAGAGAATGTACTTCAAGTAAAGTACAAGTTTTCTAAACATACTTGAAGTAGTACTTTGAGTACAACGTACTTAAAGTACTTCCCAAGACTGTGATATACTCTACATGAAATTCGACAACTGTAAACAAAAAGGAACCAAGAGGACGAAAACGGGGCACAATTTTGTTGCTTTAATCCTAATTTGACAAAAATAAAATTGCACTAGACAAATGTCCTATCTAGAGCACTCGCTATCATGCGCCAGTGTCGCCATACCTGAAAAACGCAGACCCGATCTCTCGCTGTTTAGACGTTCGAAAAAACAAATTTGATTTTTTTTTTTTTAGGTATTTAAGTTGAACGTTTTCTTTCTGCGCAATACCTCGATGACACAGAGCCTGACTGGCCTGATGATACAGCCCTTCTAAAACATCTGAAAGACCACAAGGAGTACAGATGCACTAGCTGAGGAGTAGACGTCTGTGAGGCGTATGATTCTAGTTGAGATTTCAAATATCCAGTATCAGTTCTAACGTTCTTCGAGACATCTATATACAAGACATCTCTCAAGACGTATTGTAGACCAAGCACATGTCGGTGTTCAGAAGACGTTTTAAAACGTCGAGGCCTTAACGGTATATAATGTTTTCCCAGGATGTCAGGACGCTTTCATTATCTTTCCGAGATATCTACGGATATATCTTGACAATATATATCTACGGATATAGCTTGACAAGATGTCTACAGTTGCCTTGCACGTTACTCTTGACAAGATGTGTGCAGAATGTTCTGCACATCTTGGCGATACGTCTACAGGATACCTTGCTCATCTTGCCAAGATGTCTAACGATGCCTCGCACATCTTGCCAAGATGTCTAACGATGCCTCGCACATCTTGACAAGATGTCCAATTAAGGGCGCCTTGCACATCTTGGCAAGATGTCTCCCGCACGTCTTGCCAAGATGATCACAGGACGTCTTTGTGAATTCAGTGGGCTCTTCCCCGCAACGAACCGAGTATATCCGAAGAGCTAACGCGCGTTTTCTACTTTTTTTCCCGTGGCGTCGCAGACCCCAACATCCCAGACCTGCCGTCAATCAGCAACTCATCGTACGGGCCGCCGGGCAACTGCTACCGGCCGTGCCACGTGAACGCGTCGCTGGGCCCCAGCGACCAGTGTCCGGCGGCGACCCTGAGCACGGCCCTGCTGGGGCCCAGCCCAGTGCCGATGGGCGCGGCGAACAGTGCGGGCCGCGCCGGGGGTCGGACGTCGGCCCCCCCGGGGGGCCCAGTGCTTGTGGTGACAGCAGTGTGGTGGCTCGTGCTCGCCATACGGACCCGAGGCCGACACAGACTTTCATAGCAGCGGCGGGACGCTCCAGCGACGCCTCCCTCCGCCCCCTTGGCGCCTCGTAGCCTCAAGGGTTTAGCCGAAACAAGGGCCTCTGCGCTCCCAGGGTAAGAGTGCGCTCCATTCGCCCATCCCGCGTCTGGAGCATGCCTTCGCTTTATCACATGCGGCCACATGGGATGTCCGAGCACAGGCGCGTGGTCGTGTTCCCTTTTCATAGCTAGTACCTTCGCCGCAGCACACGGATGTGTGACTGGGGAAGTCCACTTGTCAGGCAGGTAAGCGCAAGAGACGAGTTCACGCTTACGCCTTGTTATGACGAATGCATTTCAGCTAATCAGATGAAAAAAACATTAAAGACCGCTCTCGTGCAAACGCGTACGCAAGGTCATGTAGAGATCAATCAAGCTCCAAAAATGAATCCACTCGCTGCGTTTTTTGTGGATGAGTATGAACTACAAATAAAATACTTTCGTGCCAAAGTTCCGCGGTCTGCATGTTCCTAACGGTTGGCAGGCTCAGCAAGCTTGCTGAGCCTGCCCACTTTTAGGAACATGCGGAACGCGGAAATTTGCCACGAAAGTATTTTATTTGTAGTTTCCCTTTGGCTCTGATAGTGCTCGAAGACAGAGTGCCTAAAACGTGGGTACATGGTTGCTTCTGAGCCCCTTTTTGTTTAGAGCTTCCTCAGTACTACATGACACCACCAACCACTGCACACGCTTACAGACCATAAAAACCACACAGTATCAAAGGATAACAAACAGCACTAAAAATATTCAGCTACTCTTTCTTACCTTGCTCGAATCGGTAGTAAGAGTGCCATTATAGATTAGGTAGTTCATAGCAACTAAAAGTAGGGTGACCATAGGGTAGAGAACCCCATGGTCACCCGTTTTCTACCTCAGGGTAGAAAACGGGGGAGGGAGATACAAAAGTGAAATTGTGTTACTATATGAGCACATTGTTTTGGAGTCGGACAAGTGACTTTCTTCGTCAGTTTTACACACTGTTTTATTGTTTTAAAACGGGACTCTCCTGCCCAAAAGGGGACGTCTGGTCACCCTAACTATAAAGGGTGTTGGTCAATTCACTGTTTGGAAATCCAGAATGAAAGAGCTAAAGTCATTTCAAGAGTTAGTCCATGGCAGTGCTGTGGACATTTCTTATGTCTGTCACACAGCTTGTATAAATTGTGTAATGCCCGTATGCGCCATCAAGGTTTAATAAATGATGATCACAACTCCATCGAATAAGGGATGATACATGAAAAATATTTACTAGATGTACATTCTGTACATAGTAGGCATGTATACAAAAGCAATGGATTTGCAATATTCCCATGCAGGGTTAATCTAAAAAGTACTTGAAAGTACAAAATAAATTAGAGGTTATGTACTTCAAGTTAATTAGTAAGTACAGCGGGTGCAATGTTCTTGAAGTATGTTTTTTCCAGAATCTTTCACGGAGCCCTTTCATTCTGTACAGCAGTGTCTCTTTAAACTGGTGCGCATTGCCCCAGGCGTAATCGGGAGTGCCATCTGTGTTTTTTCAAAATGGTGCCAAATTCAGACGCCCCTCCGACTCCTGACTTTGGTGCCACTTGCACTGGCTCGCACCCAAGGGGATTAAACGGACTAGGGAGATCATGATGCCAGCCCCGTAACTTCCGCAAGCAATCCTCTCGTGGAGGAGTGTCCTCTCTTACTTTTGCACTGACCGAATGAGAAGTAGCGAGTTTGAAATGCAACGGGAAAGCCACCTCCTGTTTCTGGTGAGAGTAGAATATCCCTCGTAGAATTTCTTCAGGGTTGACAAAGCATCATTTTGTAAAACAAATTTAACAAAACCAAATTTGGGGAATGTGCTTTGAAGTAGGGAGTCGCACCTTCCTCGGAAAGTACCCAAAAAAAAAAAATACTTCAAAGTAAAGTACAAGTATGTACTAAGAGAATGTACTTCAAGTAAAGTACAAGTTTTAAAAATCTACTTGAAGCAGTCACTAAGCACCATGTACTTAAAATACTTCCCAACACTGACCTAAATGTATAAAAAGTGAACCATGTTTTATAGGCTAGTGATTTCACCAAAAAGGGCATTGCTACGACATCCTTTGCCAATGTTCGTAACCAACAAAGAGTTGTGGTGAACGCACCAAAAGCTCTAAACACAATCAGATAGCTCTGAAAGATGATCCCACTGAGGCTGTTGTCATAGAGAAGTGCAAATAACGCACTTGCTTGTGAATAAGATGTGCCCATAAATTATGTGGAGAGTTAGTTACCGAAGGGGCCACAGGGATAAAAGTCATTTCTACCACCTCTCTATTACGGGTACATGGTACTTGGTTTCTGATCCGTCTCTGTGAAGGTGTACAGTGTCTGCAAATGTGAAACAAGCAATACATTTACTACAAAGCTTTGTGCTTGAACATGTTTTATTATTGCCACAATAGTAACGAATGCAATTTTAGCAATTATGCTATACCCAATGTTGCAGACGTGCAAATCGTGCTGGAAATTCTCGTACATCACAGAGGATGCTACGAGCCGTAGAAGCCAATCCGGTGCCATGCAAATGTGACACGACCCCTCGTTCGCTTGGCATTGCAGGAGCAGCAGCAGAGCGCCCCATGCCCGGACGGGCCCCTCGCCAAGGGGCCCCACCAGCGGCGGGGTCCAGCGCCCCCCGCCTGGGCTTCCGGCCCCGCCACGAGACGGCCACCGGCGACGCAGTGGCCGCCACCGCTAAAGTATAGGGGAGAAAGATTCTACTACAACGACGGAGGAACCACCCTTCGCGTTTTCCGAGGTGGGCCAATCCCAGTGCTTCCTTCACGATGCCGCCACCTGGGCCGGAAGCCCGGCCGGGACGGGCGCAAACCTCGTCGCCCCGTGCCTCCACCATCCGCCGCCGGCGTGCGTGTGTGCCCCACGGGAGACAGAACCACTCTTTCCACTCCAAGCTAGGTCACTCTCGCCATTCACCGCTCTCTCTGCGTGCAGCCAGCCGTCGTCTGCTCGGTTTGTGCCACCCCCGCCCCCGGCCCTTTGCCGGCACCAGCGACCAGTTCGTGGGTTGCCCTCGGTCCTTTTGCGTCGAGGGAGGGATGCGATTCGACTCGCGGGGAAGTCTAGCTTACGTCCACAGAGGAAAAAAGCAGTGAAGCCTGCATTGGGTGGAGAAACGTCCCCTAGAAATTGCTCTCGGAACCGTTTTCATCGGCGGAGGTTTCTGTCGAAGCTGCCCCATATCCTCTTTACTGCGGGAATCAGCATCACGAGGAAGGCAGTGTGTAACAGAGCTAAGATTTTTCTGCCTTTTATTTTGTCTCGAGGACGCAATACGGCAAGCAAGTCAACCAAAACACGTTGTTTGTGTGCAACCAAGCTGCTCCCCAGCAGACGGCATTCTACTTAGTGAACAAGCAACATCTTGACCGCCAATTACTCATTTACTATAGCACCTCTGGTAGTTGTTTGTCAACAAAAGCAACACACCCCTAGAGGACTTTCGACTCCCTTTTCTCGAAGACCAAGTTTTCATTCAAAAAGAGCGGTGGTGCGTTTCCGACAGCCACAGAAAAGGCAAGGCAGCCATCACTGCAACAAGCAGACGACACCGCCTTTGTTTATCTGATGCGGCACGGCAGCCCGCCAGCGCCCACCCGGAGCAATCCTCTAATCAAAGCCCTGCACCGTGACCTCACTGTGATCCGCTGCGAGTCCCTCCGAGAGAAGGGTTTGTGCTGCATATGTAGGATGAATAGCCCATATGCTGGTCCCTATGCACTGCATCAACATTTGGCAAGCTAGCTGTCCCAAGATAGCATCCTATGCCAATAGAACAATCAATGAGGACTCTCAGCTATAGCTAGTTCAGGTCACAGGAAGTTCCAACGGTGTCAGTTAGCAAGCAGGCGACTATGAAAGCCTCTGCCCGCAGGTGTGCTTACCATAAAATACCGTGGGAAGCACCCGCGCCACTCTCACTGACATTAGTGCATGTCCGGTCAAATCAAGCGCTTAGCAAACAATTTGGGAAATGTTCATAGAGGATGCTTGAACGAAATGGGCGCTTCCGCGCTATTTTACGGTAGAGTCCTCGATCCCAGAAGCTGCTTCCCGTCTACCAAATCGGGCAATTGGATTTCTACACCTAATGCAGGCACCATTGCATTGACACGAGGTGCATCTCCAATTTATAGGCTTACGATTGACAAATTAAAGGTGACCATGCAGCTTTTGCTTTTTGTCGTAACAACAGTGCCAGCGAATAGTTTAAGTATTTTGTCACCCGGTACATACTTTACAGACATTCTTTCAAGAATATCCTGGGGGCAATACTGGTAATGTTTAGTTACAACTTGGTGGGCACTTCCTCAAAAGGGGAATTATTGCATAAACTATCAGTGATTAACATACGTCCCATGTCTCCTCCGATAAAAGTTCTGTTTTGTATCGTGAAGATCCGAATCACATTTGGAATGCCTGTCAATGAGAAGTCACTTTAGCATTGGCTATGACAAAACGACTGTCGACAGACTACCACGGCATCAACAAGAGAACTTCCACTACCCAGGAATCATGTCGCTTCGAATGACGTGAAATCCCAACATGCTCACCTTTCAGCTGTTCACAACTAATTGGCAGTGAACATGACACTTAAGCAAATGAAAGGTAGACTCACTAGATGAGCTGCAGAGAAAGCATATAGTATGTATGCTTTGATAACTTGCTTGGAATGTGACCCAGTTAAAAAAAAGCAGCACAGGGAGAGCATGGAGTGAACAAGACTAATTATGGCACTTGTCCAGTCACACAAATTAGTACACATACTTGACATTATAACGAGCGAAATTGCAACCGTACGTTCTATGAAGGCACATTTCTTTCTTCCAGTTAAGTTCTTTGTACCTGATAAATGGCACGAGGAATAATAGTTATCGGGAGCGGTGTCTCAACTAGCTTTCACTGAGCAACATTGTAAGCGCTACACATTTCCAGTCGGGAATGATAGGAGCGGTATTCTGAACTTCCCCAAGGCCGCCGAGTTGTTGAGGCAGTATAAAATGTGCAAAGAGTAAAAACAAGGGGAATTACAAGCTGTACAGCAATTGCCTCCCTTAAATGCGACGAAAGGGACCACCCATACATGTTTAGTCAGCCAGCAGACTAATAATGCATTGAATGCAACGAAAGGAGGAACTAAAACTTTGTGAAAGCATTGATGTCAGCAGCCACAGGTGGGGAAATAGCCAATGCTGAGAATGAATTTTCCATTCCGTCACCTCTCTTGTACCGCGCCATGGGATAGGCAAGGCGAGCGCAGTCGAGGTGGTCTGGATCAATGGAGGATGTACTCGTTGCTTCTTTAGCCAAGTCACCCAGTGGATGGGTCTAGAGAACAGGTGACCAAGTTAAACCAAAGTTGGTGAGTCACCCGACCCATGTTGACGGGTCACCAGTCCCAATTTGACGGGTTGCTCGTCTCAAGTTGACGAGTTACGAGTCCCAAGTTGACGGGTCACCCGTCAACTTGGGACGGGCGATGCATCAACTTAGGACGGGCGACCCATCCTAACGTTGAACGGTGCTTGTTGCGTCCTATTAGCGCTTTGTTTTACGTCCCCCAATGAGTTTGCACCACTCTTCTTACATTGTTGGAGGGTCGCTCTGTGTTGATGGCCAGGGACCGTAAAGGTGGACAAACTTGCGCAGAATAGTAAAACCTTTTAACGACAATAACTACGCACGACATTGAAGCACAGCAACGAGATGTGTGAAACGTGTCACCGGACAAGACGCCAGGTTGCCGAAGAAACGGGGACAAATGCCACGGCCGAAGACAGCCAGTGACCGGCTGCAACGCGCTCAGACAGCGGCATGAAGCGGCGTGGCTGCGCGTCGTCTGCATCGTCGGTGCCGGTAGCGGAATTCTTCGATACACGCAAAAAAGTTTCATCATCTGCTTGTGAGATTTGTTAGCCATACGTCCATTTATGAGTACCTGATTTCCCTGTGGTGGTGTGTGTGGCAACAAATTCTGGTGTGTGTGTGTGTGCGCGCGAGCATGTGCAGAAATGCAAATGAGTTGCCCCTCGGTGGCTGAAGCCAGTGGAGGGTAAACAAAACAAAAAAAAAAGAAAGAAAAATACAAGGACTGAAATAACTATAACAAAAAGTATATGTGGGCATGTTTTTGTGTTTTTAGGCTGTCGGGGGAAAAAAAAAACTGCCTTTTTTGTTTTTGTACTTGGCTTGTTCCGCAAGTTTCTGTTCTGACAGCTGTTGAATCTGCCGCTGCACGTGATTGCCCACACTTTAGCAGACGGTATTTCAGGAGGCTCGACGAGAAGGGAATGTCTATGCTTACACGTTTCTGCAGGTGTTACATTCCGCCCCCTGGTGGTTAGTTGCGCGGGGGATACGTTTGCTGTAGTTTGGGCCACTGCGTGCAGCCGCCGCGTTCTGTTTAAATGTTGACTGCTCCGCTGTTCTAGAGTATCTATTGACAAATGCAGGGCTTTAGAACCAATGTTTATGAATAGAACGGCGATGCCCAATGAGTTTGCAAAAAAAAGGGAGATATATAGTGGTATACACACACACATGCTTGTGTATGTAAGTATGTTTGTAATATACTGGGTTCAATGTGACGACTGCAAACCAAAAACCAGACAGCGCAAGCTCCTGTGTTGCAGTTCCCTCACTGCTTTCACACTTAGCGTTTGCATTCAGAGTTAGTTGTGCCGGCTCGCACAAATGCATACACATCATCGTGTGTGTGAACACCCATATATGACATAGGTCTGCAGCAATCATATGCAAACGTACGAAAGTTAAAAAAAAAGAAAAAAAAAAGATGCCTGTTATGTATAATGTTTTGGAACGGAAGGTAATAAAACAGAGACAATGCTAACTGACCTACGGTGATCCACTGTCCAGAAAGCTTTCGACATCAAGTGGCCAGGAGAACAAAAAAAAAAAAAGTCTGAACCTTTTTGTTTTTTTAAGACTACTAGCATATTGAGAAAATGAGGATTGCATTTCAAATTTAGATTTTGTATGTTGTACACACATTCACACATACATATATATATATATATAAATTGTTGGACCTTCTTTCCTTGTTTCAGAACCAAGTAGAAGGTTGGTTTTAAAAAGGCGAGGCAATGAAGCAAAAAAAGAAAAGTGCCGCACGAAAATGGCTATATTTGCAGCAGCGCAGGGTGCCGCGGAGTACGCAGCGGAGCGACGACCTCCCCTCGTAGCGAGGTAAAGCCACCAGTGTCGTGGCACCAACCGAGAGTGCCAAGGTACAAACAAACATGCACGGTTATTGGCGCACCAATTCCCCGCCGCTTTCCTTCTACACACTCGTTTTCTAGGGCATGAGATGCCAGGGTTGACAGACACGTGTAGTCCTCGATTGGGAGAAGCACCTCTCATTGTTGCGTAGAAAGCTCTTAACAAATTACAAAAAATAAACATTTTGAGAAAGGCGAACAAACTAGCCAATTTTCTCCAGACCCTTCCTTTCTCGCGGACAATGCGCGCCCTGGCGGAAGAGGAGGAAAACAGAAACGCGGGCACTTCGTAAAAAGTGGGCGGACATATTCGCGGAAATCAGCCTGCTGCCCCTAGTGTATGAAATGCACACCTAGCACTATACAATTACGACGCGAGGAAAAAAAAGCCACGTGGAGCCACAACAAAACAACTTTGTACAGAGTCGTTTTCTGTCCGCATACTAAACACACAGCATTTTCTACTGCCCGTCGAATAGTATGCGGGAAAAAGGAATGGAGGCGTCGGACGGAAGACAACCTTGCAGGCACTTTACAGGGGTCCAGGCCAACCTGCCCGGGTCTGGGCATGGCCATGGAAGGGTCGCTTCATTTTTAGAAATGCATTTAAAGAGAAATGAAATGCCAAGGAGGGGCGCATGGGCACACTTTGGGCGTCTGACAAAATTCTACGAACCTGTTGATGATGGAGGCGTTAATGCGCATCCTCTCGTAATAACGGAGGGGAGGGGACAAAGGAGGGTCTCTTCCCCCCCACCTCTTCCCGGTGCCCCCCCCCCCCTTCCCCCCCCCTCTCGAAGCGTGCGACGGAATTCCTCCATCGGGGACTCGGCAAACGCAGGACCCCGGACAATATATATAGGAGAAGAAAAATAAAAAGGTTTATAATAAACTTTTATAATCTGGCTCCCCAAGTGTAGAATTGTACATAGATACAACCATTGTTGATCTGTAATACAGTTGGTACATTAAAGAATTGCCCCAATGTTGGCAACTATGGCTGCCCCTCTCCCTTCTTTTTCTGAGCACCCTCTTTCCCAACTCCCATCTGCCGCAACTCCGTTAGCATCGTATTTCTAGATGAGACGATTCCCATCTTTGATAGACCACAGAGCAGCTGGGTTGGTAGTATGTGCTCGCCTTTTCTTTAGCAACTCATACAATTGTCTGCACACCATGCAAGCCTTTTTGCTTTAAACCTTTACTACCAAACAAGTGTGGATAGGCTGCACAGTATATCTGTGAAATGTTAATCAGAATACTATTAATTTTCTTTCAAGAGGATGAATTTTGAAGTTTGCGCATACACCTCCGAATCACTGGCTGCCGCTTAACTGGCAACAAGGAGCACGGGCACTCGCAACGTCAAATGTTGTATCCAAGAGCAGACGACTCTCCCTACTCCACGGCGATGTGCATTGTAGCGACAGCGAGCGTTTGTGGTTTTGCAAACTGCATCTGGTTTAGGCTGTTCCCAGCATGCAATGAGGAATGGGGGGAATCGGTGATTTGATATGGGGTGCAATGACACCACGAAGAAATGCAGCAGAGTGACATCTTGTTGGTTTCTGACCGAGAAGTCTCTGCAACGAAAGTGGGTTCAAGCAGTCTGACGCGAACACTGGCTCCCAGCGTTTGCGTCGTGCTCGGGAACAGTTTACACCTTGCTAGCAAATAAAACCTTCCATGCCTTTCTCCCTTGAAGCGGCATCTGGGTCCATGTATCGGCAGATTGCAAATGCAGCCATAGGAGGTCAATGCCGGTGGTCTGTATGCAAACAACGAATCGTCCGAGACCTCGCGCTGAAAAAACGTTTGCTGGTCATTGCTCGACTAAGACAAGCCCGACGAATTGTAGTTCATTATTTACTGCTTGCGACGCCGGGCGAAATGGGCCTAAGCTGCCCACGTGCCGATGTTTATGCAACATCAGATGTCAGAACAAGATGGCAGATCAGTAAAGTTGCAGGTTAGTTTTGGTTATATCGTATTTCTACGATTAAAGATTATTTCAAATATTTAGGGAAAATTTATTTTCTGCTCTAGGCTCAGTTTCTTGTGCTCTTTCAGAAAATATGTGGAGTTGAAAACGTTCAAATTGACGCCAGAGCTTACCTTGTGCAGGGTGGTTACTCAGGTAAGGAGGCCTTACAAGTGGACATCATGCAATGCCGTGCGATACACCGGTCAAGCACGCCGCAGATGTCGACCAGTGCTGTTGTTAAGGTGATGGAAGGAATATCAGTAATGCAGTGTGTCTTGACGCGAGATGTGATGCGCCCTAGCTGCACTCCCCTGCAATGTTGTGAAGCTTGCGTTGCTGCACGCGTAACTGTTGTAACATTGATTGGTATGCTTCTCAAGAAAGTTATAGTAAATCTGTTTCTTAAAAATGTAAAAAACACAATCCAATACAAAGTGAAATTAATGTGAAAGTAACTGGAAGTATGAATTTGAGCAGTACACAAATTTCAAAGCAACATAAGGCATGTTTCAACTTTTGCCTCGCAACATTGCAGACCCATGTTTCCAAGATCCCTTCTTTGCAGCTTTACAACAGTGAAACAGTGCAATGAGAAAAGAGAGATCTTCCTGGTCGCATCTTTAAAGTCGGCTTTAGTGCAGTATGCGGCTTCACTTTGACGTAATATTTTGGCTGTGATCATAGTTCATGCCGCTAAAGCAATATTGGTCATTTATTTTGGTTTCGTTTTCGACCGAAGCCCCTTAAGAGTTGTGAGAGCGTGCCACGGTCAGTCCAATCCCACAATAGCTGCTTCGTGAAATTTCCTCAGGCAACTCTTTTGCCGGTATCTTACACACTCCAGGAACGGATGACTCAAGTATGATAAACACGAGTGCAGTAATTGGCTTCAGTTTAATCACAAGCACATCTTTGACAAACAGGAGTGTTCACACAAACACAAAAAAATTCTGTAACGCATATCTTTGCTGCACATAGTTTGCAAAGCCCACAAAAAGTGCATTGTAAACACTTGTGCATGCGGCACTGTTACGTGCTCATCTCCAGAATTCTCCCAACACATGATCTGCGTAGAATCATCGTACCTCGCCGGACAAATGACCGCAAGAGGTGAGGAATTCACAGATATTCCACCATCCGTAGACTTTCTGTGCAGGGGTGTTTCTGAGCTTGACCCCATTCACGCTTCCAAACGTTGAGCCATCTCAAGTGATATGAACTATATTCGTAGTCACCTCAAGAAAAAGCAAGTTTTGAGCATAGCTCATAGGTAGGGTGTCCTTCAAGGTTTATTTTTCTTCAAATCCCGGGGGCATGTTTTAGGCGTTTATTTTTCCCCAAAGATTCGCTGATTTTTGGTGTAAATTTTTGGACAAAAAATAGGAGTTTATCGGGGATTATGTTGAAAAAAAACAGGCGTAGGATTCTCAAACTTCCAGGGAACATACGCGTGGCCACAATACTAAGAAAACGTCCCCGTAACGATAAAGAACAAGAAGGAGATAAGACGCGTGGTTTGGAAGAAAGAAGCCGCCCCCTGGACAGTTTGTTGGGAGCTGTGTCCCCAGTCAACACCAAATGAAGCTGTAGGCAAAGATTTTCTTGACGTCAACCTTGTTTTGTTTTTTTCTTTGTTTTTCTCATTCGAGGGCATTTTTTATTTGGGGTTTTATGGTTTTCCCTGGTGTCAATAAAACCGGCTCGGGGGTTAATTCGAGAAGTTTATCGGTATTTATTGAAAGCACAGAACCCTACTCACAGGCTGCACAAAGTAGTTCTTACAAAATTTGGTTGTCAGAAAAAAAAGAAAACAGAATGCTTTCTGTGTTTGGGATGTCTGCGTTCTGATAAAATAACAAACCTTAACGAGCATACCAGCCTCTTAATTCACCGCATAAAGGGGGAAATTAGTAACCCTCTGTGACGAGCAAAACCTTTTTTTTTTTTTTTTACTATGGTTCTTGAGGTGAAAACGAAATACAGCAAAAATGTAAACATGGCTGCATAGACCAGAGTGGTCGTGTCAAGATAGACGGAGGTCAACCGCATGTACAAGGTACGGTTGTTGCATGGAGGTGCAATGTGATTAACGAAATGATATTTTTGATCCGATCGATCTTTCCTGCCAAAAACTTACTCCGACTGAATCTGCCACGAAAGGTGCTACCATTTTGCCCATTTTAGTAACTAGGCACGGCACGTCTTTCCAGCGACCCAGGCATAATTGCCTGCGTCCAGTGACCTCGAAAGTTAGGACTGATGTTTATGCTCTAACGTGAGAACAAACAAATATGAAACTTTCTTTGGAATGTTGCTTTCATTCAGAACGAGAGACGGGTCTGTCGGGAATCTACGTTTTGAGAATTTAGGCAGGTTTTGAAATCCCCATATCAACATAACAGAACTGCAGGGACTATTATACTAGTATATTCGTAGCAGTCAGTACGGCTTCATATTGGCATTTATATGGTAATACGGATTTTTGAACGAGCCATTTCGTACGATAACAGTTTGCGGGTCAGCGCCATGTGACAGAGCAAAGCCAACTGTACAATCGTACGATCGAGCCCGCTTAATGTGACGCTACCATTTTGTGTCTAGCATGCTGGCTGACAGCAATCACAGTGGCACAGTGTTCTTCCAGCCCTTCATCATTCTTCGACCCCTGGCTCATAATTTGGTAGCTCTTTGGAACCCCTGATATGTCACTTATTAAATAACGAGTAACGAATGTTATAGTCGCCGGCAGTTTATGAAATGCAGAGCGTGGTGACTTTCAAGCGTCCAATTAAACCCCTGCAGCCAATGACGTTGCTGCATTATCCGATAAGAACACAGGCCGAATCCTGAAGCAAAAAGCGCGAGTACAGTAATTGCCCCGCCTTGTGTTTCTTTAGTTGTAATTGACTACGCAAGCTTTTGGAAAGACCGCAGAACATCGGGTGAACACTCGCGACAAAAAGCACCAAGAGCATTGTCAAATCGAAGGGGCTAAATGTGAGTATTCTTCGCAAACATCAGCCGAACGCTTGCATGCAAGGTTCGCTAAATGCCACAAATGCATGAGGGTGAAGCAAATCCAGGTCCCCTGCACCAGGCCAGTTGTTCCCATCGTACAACGAGCAAAGATCACAACCATCAATTTTCAGTCAGTACGCTTCAGCACACTACTATTTAACACAAAATAAACGTCACACTAGACAACAAGTTCCACAAAACAACTAAATTTTTGCAAAGCGGGAAGAGGGCACATTTATATTTTGTGTAGATAACTGGTGCCAAAAATATGTAGGCTTATCAATGACATTTAGTTTTAGGAATTACGTTGTTTAAACAAACACACCCCTGCAGACCATGCGCCAGTGATGAAGTGAAAATTCCCAAGCTTCGTGGTGGCTTCTGCTCCATAAAAGCATGGTGCAGAAATGCTATAAAATCTACCCTAAAAGAAGCTAACAAAATCACGCAAGCTACGCAACAAACAATAACTGATGCAGATAATAAATAACAGAGTCATACACTGCCAACATATCTAGAAAACGCACCTGGATAAAAATGAGATAATGTGAGGAAGCGCACGAGTATTGCACCAGACCGGAGCACTTTAGGGCAACATGCGGCCCCAACAAAAAGCGTAGCGTGTAAAATTAAATAAAAAATGACTTAGTATTTGTCGTGACTCAAAACTTGTCCAAAATCTCTGAGTAATTATGCTGCTATAACATTGTACCCGCTACCGAATTCTTTCGGAGCTGAAAAGTCTAAACCTTGAATGTGAGCGACTTATCCAAAAGGCACACAAAAAAAAGTAGAGCAACAGCTGGACACTCACGATAACATATATAGAAAAAAGGCCTAAGAACATAAGCATTGCGGCATAAGACCAAAAAAGGAGGGTAAAATGTTCTTAAAACGCTTTTCTCTGCTGTCATCCTTTGGTGGACAGTACAAAACCTAGAATTAGCTGCATAAAATTATGTATTTCTAATACTACAGCCACTCTAGTAGTGTCCTTATTTATCCATGGAACTCGCCTTCCTTTTGAAACAATTTCAATTACAGCTGCATCGAAAGGGATGTCTCGGAAAACGCTGCACGTAACTTTTGTAAAAGTTCAGGGCACATTTTCAAAAAGATGCCCCCGCAGCGATTCCGACGATTCCCCTACTTATTTCTAATGCTCACGTCTATCAAGATGTGTGCAACAGTTAGACACAAGTAAAACATAGCAACACTCATTGTGACGCCTATTGGGCTAGGCCACATATACTAGTATGTATTGGTCATGTTCCACCTTGAACTCTCCCTTCTAGAAACACAGCAACAGTGGGCCCTTAGTTCTGTCAGCACTTCAGTTCCCTGCGACTCAAAAGTCAAACTTTTTGTACAAATCTAAACCAGCCACTGTAACCACTGGTACTAAATTAATTTTTGCTTTAATTGTTCTTCCACTATTAACCTTGTAGATTCACTCTAAATGCTTTGTGACATTTGTATCTCTTACGAGCTGCACAAACACATTCATTTTTCAAAATCTAAGCAAAATTTGCCAATAATATGAGACGGGGAGAATCAAAAATGTGTCCACGAAACCGTTAGTGACAGAGTAAACTTCCTTGGTAGTACATACCTAGTGAAGTCTAGCGCGGATGTGTGGACTAGGCATGTATCTGCACGATGAAGACTAAATGTTTCCCAGACTTGAAGGTGATTCAAATCAATGCTCAAGAGATTTTTTGAGTGAGGTGAAATTAAAGTATGCATTGAGCCAAAAATGTTATGGGCATGCAATATCAAAAGCTCCACAATAAACTAAAAACAAAATCTTGGAAAGGAAAAAGAATACGTGTGAATATTAAGATTGCATTACACTGCCACCAATATCACCTACTTTCGATCAATAAAACCAGGTTCCCATGAGCATGACATTGACATTGAGATGCTTGCTTTAATTACTCTCCTAGCAAGCTATTCTTGGTATCACAGGCTACGTTCAACTATCACTTTTCCCTACATTCTACATTCTCGGATTTTCCCAGAGACTTCTTCTTGGCTGGTTAAACCAGTAAATAACAATGGCACTAACCAGTGGCGTTATTAGGGAGGGAGGGGGGTGGACCACTCTGCGTGCAGCACTCGGGCGGGTGCAGCGGGCTAGGAGCCACCGGGGGGGGGGGGGGGGGGGTGTAGCACAGCAGCCCACGAGAGCGGAGGGGAGGGGGGGGATGTCGTTGCAGGCCACTGTCCTGGGTGCCACTGACCCTTGATGCCACCGGGGCTAACCCTTGAAGCCAAGAGCTTCAGAAAATGTTAGGACTGCCTTGTGACATGTCTACACTTTCAGAGTGTTCTAGACTGCATGTAGCACTGTTTTTCTCCACTCGTGTCCAGAAAAACTTGAAAAAAAGATTAGGGAAATTTTAAAATAATTCTTTAAAAGTTCTTGAGACCGCCAGTTCGTCTCTTACCATACGCTGGTGCAGTACCAGTATTATGTCATATCTAAGGTACAACAATCCTCCTTGCTCTAATGAAACAGCAACGTGTAAAAAAATTGTGTCTATCATTTTGTCATGAAATGGACACATGTACAACGAGAAACACATTGACGCAAAGCAATGCTACATTTGCTAAAATGTTGTCACACTCCATTCATGGAATTCTGAACAAAGTGACTGCTTCTGGCGACAAAACTGTGAGGATGATTTCAAAGCACGGCCGACCGCGATTCTCGAGACGCACACACTTCCACGTGAAGTAAGGACAAATAAACGGAACAAAATGTGACTTTTCTACCACGGGGATACGGCCCTTTCTGAACGAGGCAGCTTTAGCTGCCAGCATAATGCAGTTCTTTTCCCTGCGTTGCCTCGTCACAATTGGTCAGAAAGGATCACGTGCGTTGACACGGAGACAGTTCAAGCTGGCTCAGTTTCTACGACAAGTGACTGCACCAAGCATTGCTTGTCCTTCCCAATGATACCGCACCGACGCTTTTCCGACGCACAAGGTCTGCCACGAGCGTTGAAGTTTAATAGTGTACGCCTACATTCGCATCACAAAACTGGGTCCCCAAAAACTAAATCGAGAAGCTCAAACAAATGCACCAAATCGGCAATAAAACAGCCGACAACCGTTCTGTCGCAGCGGCAATTTTCGAGACCGAAATCGAGATTACCAGCGCAGTTTCTAAACCCAGATTCACAAAAATCTTAGGCTACGACAACTTAGCTAAAACATTTCTAGTTATGCACATTGTAAGGCGTACAAGTCTCGCAATCATTTGGTTCCACGAATACAGATGTGTTCTCAGGCTGCGTCCTACGCACGTTTTTGGCTGCAAGTCAGTTTCGTGAATCCTGCCATTGGTGTCTGGCAGCTTCCGGTGCCTAGCAGCTGAAGTTATACACCGTGGCTCTACACGCAGTCAACAAGACTGCGACGTGTGCTCTAACCGACGAGTGTTTCGAAGAGAATCGAGACTAGAAAACACAGTGGGTGGGACGGGCGGCCCTCAGGCGGGGGCACCGAAGCCCCCGAACTTCCAGCGCCTCTCGAGGGTGGGGCCGACGCCGTTCACCTCGAGCAGGAAGAGGCTGGGGAACTTGGAGAGGAGCACCTCCACGTCGCAAGGCTGCAGGGAGGGCTCCTGGGTGTGCACGTACGACCACAGGTAGTCCAGGCTCGCCCCGGCCGGGTGCAGGTGAAGAAACATTGACATCAGGCCTGCACATCCCACGGTGGCATTAGGACACCTGCTTCGTACTTCTAGCACGCGTGGAAGCGTGGAGAATCCACGACTCGCAAAAAAGCCGCGCCATTTCCTTGAAGACCACGGGGCGTAAAGACGGAAGCAGAATGCGGTAAGTCCCAAGTTCCGAGGTCGGTCGTCCCGAGAAAAGGAATTAAGAGAGCGACAACAAAGCGGAAAAAGAAAGCGGGCAATAGGCTAGGCATGTTCGTTCTGCTGCAATGAGTTGAAGTTGTTCGAGTATTTATCAAATTTATTTATACTCTTATACGGGGCGTGTGGAGGTAAACAAAAACAAATAATGACCGAACTTCCGGAGGGAGTACTTATGCTACTTCTGGTCGGCTGTTGTTTTTCCTTGTTTTTGAGGACCTTCAATGAGTAGCGCACACTTTAAAAGTCTCACCGCCAAGGACTAACCGCGGCACCTCCCTAAATTTACTTATATGGGACCAACATCCATTCCTCTTTGCCCGAGCGTAAAGTAAGAGCACTTGTTCCTCAAAGAAGTTAGACTAGCCTGGTCCATATAACCGAGAACAACTTAAAAGCCACAAATACCTAAGAATGTTCAATTACTTCATGAATGGCCAGGCATCGGCGATAGGCACCTACCTTCCCCAAGCACCGAAGATATGCACAGACCTTCTTTGCAGGGGTCACCGAGCCGGGTCTTTGTTTTAGCGGACAATCTTCCGAAAGTTTTAATTATGCTCCCCTCGACGCGAATCTCTCCAATGCACAATTTTCTCATGTTTTGATTCACTTGCTTCAGTACTCGAGGATTCTTTCCCAGAGCACCGTGCACGTTGCATTTGTATGTGCCGTAATGGCCCATCGTTGTACGGAGATGGTCGGTCAAGATGCCGCATCCTTGTGTTTGCAGCATTGCGTCATCTGTCGGCATCACACTGAAGTAGGCTAACACCTTCTGCCAATGCTGTCGTCATGCAATCGCCCAAGCTCGGCGGCATTCCTCGTCTCGTGATAATCGAAATAACTTCACTTACGACATTTTGTTCGTGCTCGTACCTATCAGCAGCTTAAAAGTATGACACTGGGGCATTTACAGAGCTTAGCTCCCATGCAATTTTCTCGACAGGGAACCGAAAGTCGTTGCACACCCACTTAAACACAAAGTAAGCGTAGGAGAACCGGAAGCATTTTTTCCCCCGTCATAGCGGCTGGAAGTGGCGCTAACATTCTGTATGCAGTGCGCAATGCCGGTGTTTTTCTGCAAAGTAAGCTAGAAAAGAACTAGGCACAGACCTCACACGTGATGTTTTGCCAGTTCTTTGTGTTTATCGAGGTGCCGCCAGCGATATGCACTTTTTGGGACCGCCCCCTGACATTACCGCAACGTTTCAAAGTAGTCGAAATGCATGGGACCTTTTTCTCTAGATCAGTGGTTCTCAAGCATGGATGTGTCAGGAACTCCTTGGGCACCCGCCACAGTGATGGGAAGAGGGGTAGGGTATAAAATAAGACGTCTAATTGCAGTGTGAAAATGGCATCCCTTACAGGAGGAGTGACAGATTTTGATGTGTGGATTAAGTAAAAAAAATCTTCCCTCCTCTGCTCCCGTGTGAGGCGAGAGAAGTGGCAGAAGTGAGAAGCATCAAGTAAAACGATGAATGGACGGATAGATGGTAATGGTTGTGCCCTTTATAACGGGCAGTAGGTTGTGCCACCTAGCCAGTACAACAAAAAACACTTTTTATTTCAAGAAAAGAGGAGTCGAGGGCTATTCAGAGCCCAGCGGGTCTGCGGAACCCCATTTGAGAACCACTGCTCTAGATTGCCATACCTATTACCTCTATGGAAAAGATAGCATTGCTATCGTCCACTGTTTGAAAGGGAAGCAAATAAGCATGCCCGCCATTTCCAGGCTGCGGCGAAAGCGAGAAGTGCATTGTGGGTATTTTTGCTCGTCGTAATGTCAGCACATTGTGTCGCATGCAGTTGCATGAATTGCTTTTCCAATCCATAAAACGGCGAGGCTTTTTAGATTTCTGTTGGCCAAGCCGTATCCTGCAAACAGAGAAGGTTGGGTAGCAGCCATGAGCAGAAAGAAGCTAGACGGTTCAAAATGGCAGCCGAACAAGCATCGCGAAATCTGCAATGCACATTTTGTCACGGGTATGTCGATTTTGTAAGCTTCAGACGAGTTTTCCGTGCGCCACGAAGCCACCTCCGCCCCATAGTTTTCCAGCCTCACACCTGAGGTGTGAGGCTGGACACCACGTGATAGGTGGTACACATTATTTTGCGAATCGTGGATTCCTCGAAGCACCCATGAATTCTCAAAACTAGAGTACTCTTCCTCTTGCTTGCTTTGGAGCACAAGGAGTGTTTCTTGGCTCGAGCTCTTAACTTCGACTGGTCATACGAAACCATTTTGGTTAGAGCTATTTGTTTGCATTAGTTTCTGCGACTGCATGCTGCAGGCATCGGGTGTGTACAGATACACAGAGTGGCACAACCCCAAAAAGAACATTCGGGCATCATACTTTGAACTGAAACTACCCCAAAATAAACTTCGCTTTCGATTTTCACAACCAGGGCAGACGGGTGCATGCCGTGTAACATGCTCGCTTACGATTCACGATACCTTTCGCAGATCATGGTGCAAATTTGGTGCTTGGCACATGTAAAACAAAAATTTTTATTCATTTGAAACACCCAGGGCCCCTTTCAGGCCCTGGGAATACCCAGTATCTAAAAGAATCGCATCATAATTACGCATCCAGAGCACCCACAAGAAGTAACCGCTTCTGCGAGCATAAAACCCCCGAGAACTTCCTGGCCCGCGACCGAGTGTCGGCTTCCAGTCGTAAGGACTCACCAATAAGCTTGGCGTCCTTCTCCGTGATCCTGATGCCTGCCACCTGAGTGGACGACGACACTTCGTTCCTGGAGCCAGACGCCGAAGATGCCTCCCTTTCGGAAGAGGCCTCCGACGTGCTTTTGGCGGCCCTCAGCTGTGGAGCAAAGTAGATCAGAACTTCTGCCACAGCCAAACCCAACAACAAAACTTTCACTACTTTTGTGCAGTACACGCAAGCTGGCATAAGGCAGAAAGCTCGAGATGGAGGCGGAGCATGCGACAAATTCTTAACCTGTCACCGACTATAGACCATTTTATTTAGCGCTCTCTGGGCGGCACCATTTTGTTCAACAGCAGCGCCCTCTCCACACATCCGGGAACTTCAGCGGGTACGGCAGGGTAAAACGAGAGAGAGGGCACGCGCACGACTCCGCTAGCAGACGACAAAGCGGGAGGTTGCCATTCTCCATCTTAGGGCTGTAGTGGCGGGCTGTACGGAACATTGAACTCTCGCTCGTGGCTGCCGTTGCGAAGTGGTTTGCGTTCTTGGAATAGTTGTGGCTACTCCAAAATCAGCCTAGAGCTCTCTGTTGTTCTATTTCGGTAAATGATCAACTAGCATATCTTTTTTCCATTACTTAAATAGCAGTTGAGTCAGCCGGCATTACAACCCTCAACTACTGCGTGTATTGCGGCAGGAGAGCACGTTTTTATTTATTATTTCAGACTTCCACTCATGGTCGCTAAAGGAATATATCAGTACGAACTTTGTATAGTAAAAAAAGGTACAGCAACCAGATTTACTTTTTGCTGGAGAGACCGGCCAATATGGCACAGTTTCCCTATTTTTTTTAAATTTGCACGCAGGTAACAGCGCAATTGGACCCTGTTAGTATTTTTATCTAGCATAGTATTACACAATTACTGGCATACCAAAATCTGCGCATCTGCGCTTGAAATTTCCAAAATGAAGCGATTTTAAACAAAGTTTGCACGCTAGCCGGATACTAGGTACTGCCCACTCGGCGGAGCAGACGACATGAGGGTGAGAGGGGGGAGCATTGTTTTCTCTCTATTACTTTCTCTGCTATGACCCTAATGGAATGGTCTATAGAGAACCTTTGCAATGTGACTGGGATGTTATTAGCCTAGTCTAAAAAAAACCTGTATCAAAGAAAGGTTAGTTGTTTCAAACCACCGGTTTAAGCTTGCAAACATAGCATAAGGCTTCGTGTGTGCGGGAATGAAATTCCGTACATTGAGGTCTTTCCACATTAAAGCGGGGATCACTGTATATGATTTAATTTTTGCGAGGACCTAGTTTTCAGGGATCTAACAACTTACAAAAAATATTGCGAACAATAGATCACACAAATATGTTCCTATGGTAACGAATATGTTGTGTACCATTCCCAATTGGAAACTTTTGTGCCTACAAGATGTTCCCAAAAACCCACACTTGACAAAACTTGCGAAACATTCAGCCCGTGAACATGAAGTTGTTTACTCGTTAAAAATGTTTGCAATCTCCGAGAGGGCCATCTAAACTTTCAAAATTCGTCGGTTGTTGAAAAGTTTAGGTTTCGAGTCTCATTTATGACCTCCCTCCCCGGAGCTGCGTGGCAGAGTGACTCCGGGTGACCCCTCAGCCCTTTTCGACCCACCCTGGCCAGCTCCTGGCAGTCCCTGGCCCTCTGCTGCTGCAGCCCCTGCAGGGCCTGCTGGAGCAAGTGCAGCTGCTGCTCACGGTGCTCCTGCTCCACCTTGAGCACCTGGGCCTCGTTGCGGTACGCCTCCAGCTGGCAGCGCAGGGAGTCCCCCTCCTCCTGCAGCCGACGCACGCACTCCTCTTCCTCCAGGCCGCCCTCTGCGACACGGGGAAAAGGACGGCCGCCATTCTCTCAAATGGTGCTTCATACCACCCCCACCCCCTTATCAAATAAAACTTATCCTAAAGATATCTCCCTCCTGAAAACAGCACATGCATTCCTCTTCCTCTATGCCACCCTCTGCTTCACGACGACCACCATTCTCAGGTGGCACCTCATACCACTTCCACCCTCTTACCAAAAAAGCTTATCCTAAAGGCATCTCCCTCCTGCAGACGGCACACGCATTCCTCTTCCTCTAGGTCACCCTCTGCGACACAACGACCACCGTTCTCAGGTGGCGCTTCATACCACCCCCACCCTCTTACCAAAAAAGCTTATCCTAAAGGTATCTCCCTCCTGCAGACGGCACACGCATTCCTCTTCCTCTAGGTCACCCTCTGCGTCACGACGACCACCATTCTCAGGTGGCGCTTCATACCACCCCCACCCCCCCTCTCATCAAATAAAGCTTATCTTAAAGATATCCCCCTCCTGCAGACGGCACATGCACCACGCTTCCTCTAGGTCAGTGGTTGGGGGGATCGGTGGCTGAGTGGTCTAGCGCACACCAGCTCGGAGCACGTGGAGTGAAAGCTCGCACTGCAGAACCCAGGGATCCTGGGTTCGAGCCCCAACCCTGCCCGTTTCGATCTGGATGAGCATCATACCGGCGTGCGGTCGTGTATCACTACTGCGTGATGCACGTTAAAGACCCCAGGCTAGCGGTTGTACCGCACTGGCTAAATTTCTGATCTACAGCTGGGAGACTCGTCGCCCCTGTGAGGCAGACCAAGTTCTAGGCTGTATAAACATACACACAACCCAATTTTTTTTTTTTTTAGGTCAGTGGTTTTCAAATAGGGGTCCAGGGACCCTTTGGGGTCTGCGAAGGCTATCAAGGGGTCCGTGAAGCCCCGCTTCATCAGTCAACCCAGCAACAAAAGCCGTCTTTTGTTCAGATTGAGAAGAAATTCTCCAATGTTTGGGTGAGTTTTCTCGCGTGTATGTCAATGAGGAATGTATACTTCCAACTAGACCTTAGTTATATCATTATCATAAATAACCTATACCTTTCCCTTCCCCTCACCACAAACGGGGTCCTCCATCATATCCGCCGATCCACAAGGGATCCGCGAAACATCATTAGTTGAGAACTACTGCTCTAGGTTACCCTCTTCAACACAACGGCCACCGTTCTCAGGTGGCGCTTCATACCACCCCTCCCCCCTTATCAAATACAGCTTATCCTAAAGGTATCCCCCTCCCCCTGCAAACGGCACACAGACCGCTCTTCCTCCAGGCCGCCCTCTGTGGCATGATAGCCACCGTTCTGAGGTGGCGCTTCATACTACCCCTTTTTCCCAATCTGCTTGAGCAAATAAAGATTATCCTAACAATATTCCCATCTTCATATGTCTTTATCTCTCTCCGCTAAACATAATGGAGAAATTTTCCCTCTAAATTCAGCGGAGCAATTTTACGCAATGTCACGGGACACTGCGACGTCGTGCGACGACTCGCACGAAACACGCACAGAGAACTGCAAGGAAACCTTGACAATGAAACCTATCGCAGCAAAAAAGAAAGAGTAAAACGGACATTGCAAACATTTATACGGCGAGAGGCCGGTCTGCAAATAAGACGCAGCGACACTGATTCGACACTCTAGAGAAGCAGTTTATATGCTTATTCATATCATATATGTAGGGTTGTTCGATTTCGGGTTTTATATTTTTTTAAATTCGGGGGGTAAAAATCGGGTGCTATTTTTCAAGCTGATAATCGGGGAGAAATAAAATTTTTTGTGGAAACATTCCGAAATTCAGGTTTAATTTACAAAAATACTCAGTAATACAATCTTTTTCTTTTTTTTTTTTTAGTCTGGGCGTATTACGAGGTTTTTAATGCTAACGCGTTAAATTTAGGGGTCTGTTTCAAGCTGGTAATCGGGAGAACAACAGGGTTTTCCAGCTGCGATTGTAGTCGCTTCAAAGGAAACACCGCCCACGGAATCCTCCTCTCCCTCAGGTGTCAACAAAAACCCCGACCATTCGAGGGACGGTCGTCTTCAGATCAGATATTTCGCCATGGAATAAACCTGTTAAGTTTCCCGGTCCAATTACGCGACTGACTGACTCGGACGTTGTTCGTGAGAAGCGTTGGACGCCAGCGAGATGGCCATGCTACCCGAGAGACCAGGCTGGGCGTCGACACCTCAGCGGTCGAAAAGGGATTGATAGTGCATTTCACAAGCCGCGTGCAGCAGGGCCGAAGATTAGTGGCAGTCCGAGGTGGTTCCACCTGCACAGCGGGGGGACAAAAATGACCCTCCGAGGCCCCAATGCCTATTGTCGCTTTTCCTCAGCCGGCCTCCGTAGAATATCATGGTGAGTTAGGCGCGCTCGTAGGGCGGGTAGTTGAGAGTCGTGTGGCGTCCACAGTGGTGCATGCAGCTTGCCAAATAAACTATAGGTTACCGTTGTCCCCAGGTAGGGTAGCTAGCGTGTGTGCAAATCCCTAAGGCGTAAAAATGAATAGGTTGGTTACGTGGTTTTGGAATTCGGGGAGAAATCGGGTTTAACCCAATTGTCCTGAAACATGTTCGGGGTGTAAAAATCGGGTAAAATCGGGTTTTACCCGAAAGCGAACAACCCTACATATATGATCATATATCATATATGATAAGATGCTCATTCATATCAAGACAGGTGGGAAGAAGTTTGCGGGGGCTCTCCACCTGAGCTGCTCTCTGATGGCTTGGACGTCTTGGGGGGAGGGCTGTCGTCCTCATCACTAAGGTCCATCTCATCCTCCTGCCGCTTGTCCAGCACGTCCGCCAGGTGGGCAGACTTGATCTCCTGGAAGGACCAACCGAGCTCGCTACTGCCGGCGCTTGGAAACGGCGCGGGAACAATAGAGGATAGCAGACGACGGTCGTAAACGAAATTGAAGGGGACCCGCAATTCACGCACGTGTATTACGACATTCACTACGTACCACTCGTTGAGAGGAACGGTACTTAATACCTACGGGGATGCAATAGTACGCCCTAAATATTTTTTGCGGAGTGGGAGAAAAAGCGCAACAAAATAATGCAACGTAAAGCTTGATCTGCCAAAAAAGGATGGTCCGTGTTTCGTTCCTTTTAGATGTATAGCGTTTATAGGAGCTCTGACAAATCAAAATCATATTTTTTTTATTATCCGAAACGATTGAAAATGATACCGGGACATAACCTTCAAAATTCATAATTTGGAAATTCAGTATTTGTGAAATAAAAAAACATTTCCAAATGCCGAATTCGAAGTTCCCGCGTGATCCGCGCCGGTGTGTTGACGTCAAATATTGCGGAGTCCTGAGAGTCGACTTTCTTTCATGACTCCGTGCTGTCGCCACCGCGACCCGAAGCGAGGAGGAAAGGAGCGAGAGATGAGGGCGCCGGCGGATCGAGAAAAACCGGTTTTATTCCGTGCAAGCGGTGCCGCCTGCCCAGGCGGCATGTTTTCTGAGGGAGGATACAATTCCAGAAGGCGACATTACACCGGACTCAGATTTTTGATATTTCAAAAAGAAGGGGCGTAGTGCGTCCACAATTGCATTAAAAAACATGTTTTAAGATTGCTGTTATTAAATGTTATAGAAATGTCGCCTACAAAATTTCTAAATTTCATGATTTTTGACGTCACGAATCAAAAGAAGCGAAGAGGTGAGGAGCAGGAGAGGAAAGCAACAAAAATAAAAAAGAGCGCGCACAAAAGAAATTTTTTTTTCGCGATGCGTTTTTTTGTGTGGTTATGATTACAATCTGCATCGTTTTAGAAAATAAAAAAAAATATGACCCTTGGGGTGTCGGTGCCCCTCTAAAGTCTTTGTGTCCCTGTCTGGGATGTTGTGTCTCGATGGTGATGTCATGTTGATGACATCACGGCGTTCATTGCAATTGGCATCTGGCCGTTGCACCAGAACAAAGATGAGTCCTAAGAGAAGAAACTCTGGGGTCGTCACTTTCTACGTGACAGCGTGTCGCGGAGGACCTATAAATGGTACGCCCTTAGGGTGCCTTTTGAGATGTACCAAAAAAAGGGCCGATCTTTTAAACCCCTCCTCCTCCGCCGTGCCGTTGAAATGCGAGCCCAGTCGTAATTAACACGTCTTGGTTGCCTACCCGTTAGAGAGCAGTTGCAACGCAATATGCATGTTAGAAAAATTGCATACCAGCTCTGCAGCACATTTTCAACCGAAACTAGCTGCAGAGTTCACTGCGTGCATTGCTACAATCATGAAGCCACTTCGTCCGTGACAAAGTTGTTACCGCATAGAACTAGTCTACCTACTCTTGTACCGCACCAATGCTGCCCAAGATACAGCTGCAATCTTTTCAATAATACATTACAAATGTGGATTTAAAAGTAGAAATGCAAACACAATTGTCCCCATGAGCTGATCAACAGACCTCAACTGCCCTCAGGTTCTGTCGAGAAAGCTACAATGGAAGACATCAGCCACGATGAAGAAGCAACGAAAGACTTCTAGCAGCTGCCCCTTTTCCCTCGGAGTACATAGTCACAAACCACACTGAAGCCTGCAGATTGGCCAACATAATTTGCCCGTAAACATGCCGCGGTATGGAAACAGGAACAAATCTCTCGCAGGCAGCCAAGCATGGGGCATTAGGACAAGCTTACCTGATACAAGCCCCAAACAATGATGAGGAAATGCATTCGCATGCCACACCACCTTCGAGTCGCCCGTGGTGTCGGTGCACCGACCAAAGGGACTTACCACTCTCCATTGAGGAACTCAAATGTCTTTCATAACACATGTGCCCCCAAGAAGAAGATATGTAGCTAAGGCCTCAGTTCTCAAAACGCAGGTTTGAGCATTCACCGTAAAATACCAAGAATGCACGTCTCAATAAGCACCCACCCGCCACTTTATAAAGCGTTTGAGAAAAAAAGAAAGCAAAGGACGTATCAAGTGCCCACCCCAGACTTTTGAGCCAACCTGGCTAAACTCTACTTCGGTTGCTTCTCCGAGCAGGCCGGTTGCTTCTCCGAGCAGGCCAGTGCAAAGCGGTCAAGCTTAACCAGCGAGCGCCGGCAAAAGCGGTGAAGTTAAACCAACCCACGTGCAACAGTGCAAAGCCGCGAAGCTTAACCCATGCACATCGGTACAAAGCAGTGAAGCCAACCTACTTCGCGCCCCTTCTGAACTTCTGCTCTCTGACCTAACCGACACCCATCTTCCGGAGTTTTGAGATGAACTCCAAATTTCGGGTGAACGCTTGGTCAGGACTTTACGGTATGACAACTCACCCTCACCTCATCACTCCCTACTAGATTTTCTTCCTTCATATTTTTCTTGGCCAACACAAGATTTTTATGCTGAGCACACATTGGCCGTGCTGAGTTGCGTCTGAGCCTCCAAATCCTGATTCAACCGAGTTTCTCGCCCTCAAATGAAGTACGCCGTAGAAGCAACTGAATATGCTAGCACATTAACCTTTTACCGGCACATGACAAGCAAGCAGATGTAGCTACAATGAAGTACCACTTGAACAAACTACCGTTGAACAAACTTTATGATAAATAAACTTCCGGAAAAGTCCGCAGCAAAATTTTATTGTATTCGATGCCTTCAGTTAAGCAAATTTTCTGTTATTCAATTTGTTCAAATGGTATTTCACTGTGCAGCACTAGGGCACCTGGTGTAAGCACCGTCCTTTTGGAACACTTCTGTCGGAAAACAAAATTGTCCGTGTTGGGAGGTTCATCTTTCCAAACGTCAGCTATCCAAGCGTCCCAAGCAGACCGAAAAACGGCAGAGAGCTCGGCACCACTCACCTCGGACTGCTTGCGCCAGGCGTCGATGTTTTTCCGCTGCGCCTTGGTGAAATGGTCCCAGACCTTTTGGTGGCTCGCCACCGCAAATACCTTCTCAATTTGGCCCACTTCCGGAAGGAGAGGAGATGCCACCAGGACAGAGAGCGAGGGGAGGAGAAAGGGAGAACAAGACCCAGATGGGACATGAAAGAAACAAGAGAAGAAAAAAAAAGGGCCATTGCACTTACCACCCACAAACTGCCATATGAGAGCTATATATGCGGCTTCACTTTTGTCCACCTCGAGCAACAGTGCAGGGTGCAATGAGAATGGCTGAGAGTGCAGAAGTCTTGCAGAGAAGAACAGAACAAAATCTTTTCCTTTTGTGTGTGTGCCTAAGACAGTAGCGCTCACTTTTAAACTGCATCAACTCTCAAGTATGAATTTTCATACAGGAACGTGTCAGTCTGCCTTGAAATAGCATCTTATGTCTCCAAGGTAGAGACTGGTGCAGTTTAGCTCCTAACCTTAATGTTTTTAATTAGCACGCACTACACAGTAGTGAGTGTGACACCAGTACAATGTCCATGCACCTGCTACATTGAAATCGGCAGAAGTTCAAACTGTGCTGGTCTTCTTTTAGTCTGGAGTGCAAGCTTTTCCGCCACATGTCATTGAGCAGCATACCTCTGTACTCGCTTTAGAATAACATTCACTCTCCTGCTGTATGAGATTACATATTTACATGAGGCGATGCATTCTCTACAAGATTATTTTTATTTGGTGTTAAAAGAATAGATGTATAATTATATAAATAAATTATAGTAACGTTGAAGGCATTACTCGATCCTCCACCAGCTAAGTTCTGTTACAACTTAAAAGTGGGGACACCTCGTGAATTACTCACCCTTCTAATCACGTAACCAATTACCAAACTTAAACAACAAAAGGCTGGTTCGAAAGGTTTCTTGATCTCGCAGAAAATAATAAAAGTCTGCACTTACCTCAACAGCGGCTTGAGTGGGACGGAACAACTCAAACGGCAAGCACATTCTATAGATAAGACAGCTACAATAACTCCCATACCACTTGACAACATCTCTAGCTATTATAAAGTATATGCAAAAGGATGCCACCTCTTTCTGGTACTATTAGAAATTGGGCCAAGGAAATCGACTGCCCACTGCACTTGAGATAACTGGGGATAAAGGAATTTAAGTACTCACTTGATACGAGTTGGTTGGCATTTTATTATAGGCAGCTCAAAAATGTGCACCAAGCAACCAGTTTTTGATGGTTGATATGTATATACTACATATCTATGTATAAGATTCAGACATGGTTGTAAGTCCCACCACTTGATCAGTTCCTCCCATAATCATGTAGTACCGCCTGTACAGGCCGGGTAGCGACTTCAGAGAATGTCATAATGGCCGAAGCAAAAAGGCTCCTATATCGGAACAGAGCAGGTTGATAACACCAATGGGCCATGCTAGAATTTATTATTTGCTGGCTCTCGAAGGTTTTTTCCACATACTATCTACACTGCATCTTATCTCAGAACCATCCCTTAATGTCTTCATTCGTCAACCTTGTAACCTATATAAGGTATAACTTCAATAAGAACCAATACCTGCAAGGTTGATAACACCAATTTGCCATCCTAAAATTCATTGTTTGCAGACTCTTGAATAATTCAGCACAGATCTCTGCAACATTTCACCTTACAAAACATCACCTAACGCCTTGTACCAACTACCTTGTAACCACTATAATGCATTGCTTCAGAAAGTACTACTATTAGCAGTTTCCACTATCCAAGCCATCCCCAAAGTAGCAAGCCTAAGTCCCAAACGAACCCGTCATGGCCACCAGGAATGAAACGACCATGAGACTACGCACATACTGCCCCAAACGACGCATTCCAAAGTAGAAAAAGAAGGTCGAGAAAGAGTCTGGAGTGCTCACGCTGCACGAGAATGCCCTGCAGCCTCTGGGCGAACAGCGCCCTGGCACGGTCCATCTCGGCCTGGTGGTCCTTCTTCTCCTGGAGCAGGCGGCGTATGTGGCCGTTGGCCGTCTGAAGCATCGAGTAGAAGTGGCCCGCATTGCGCTTGCTGCACTCCCCCCGGTCCAGCCACACCGTCAGCACCTGCACCGCCTTCTGGAACGACTCCTCCCCTGCGCATCGCACGAGGGGACGGTGCACCTCAGACCCGAATTGGCCGCCAGCACCTGGAATGGTTCTCCAACTGGTCTGTTCACCACGCCTTAAAAAGTGGTCCCCCGATCTCAGCCCAACGACGTCACGGAAGTGTCACGTTGTCGTCAGCAGTGACCTTGGTAGCGTCCCAGCAGCGGTGTAGCAGACGCCTGTTCTGCTACAGGTCACTGTCTAGCTTGACAGACCACAAAAGCTTCGGCCGTCAAGAGTTGGAATGCCGCGACGACGGTGATGCTCCCATTCTCTCCTGCTTTTTACGGGGGCTTCTATGCCCAACTGCCAGGATCGCGACGTCTGACAGTGTGACACTCCTGCTTTTTGTGACGTCTATTGCTGCCACTTTGGAACCAGTTTAGGTGGAATAGGCACTACCATAATACCCTGGGAGGTACTGCAACCCCAAAAGATGGCCCGCCCCCTATTTTTGGTTCGATTTCCGACATTTCTTTAAACACCGAAAGATAGCGTACCCCTAGTGATTGTAGTGTTGGGATCAATGACGGCCTCGGCATAGATACGGCTAGTTAGCTACGGCGGGATATGAGTGGACGTTGCTGACTGGGAAGTAGAGTCATCTTTGCTTCGTTGCCCCTCTCGCCGATCACAAGCTTAAAAGGGACACATGACCTAAAAATAGCATATTTTCAACTTTTCTCGATCGTACACCGAAGGTTAGCCCACTCTATTTTCACCCGATGGGCTCTTGATTTTAGGTGGGCCATCTCAGGGGATGTTATGGTAAACACATCAGTTGGAGATGCGTTCCAAACGCCGTACTGTCACCAAGTTGTGGCCATTGTGACCAAGCGCTAAATCAGAGACGGAATTCAGAGCTAGGATGCACGATATAAATATTTAAGAATTCTGGAGCAAACACAAATAGATGAGTACACCCTCTACAAACACTCATTGGGCCAAACTCGAGAACTCAATCATATCTGATAAACTCTGATATAAATGACACGCATTGTGAATGTGCTGGGCACATCATGTATAAGTGTGACATCATGAGACACCGTCACGACGCAGGCGTCTGTGACGTCACGGTGTCACATGACGTCATATGACACCATGACTTCACATAACATCAAGTCAGGTGACATCATAAGGTTATATGATTTGTGGGTCAAGTGTGTTCCTTTTCTCGTGAAACCCAGCCCTATAACACATTCTGTTAAAACGTCCTCGACAGATCCCAGATTCGAAGATCTCGTCACTCTTTCTCCTCGACCTGTTGCAAATGGATAGAGGCCACGAGAATACATACAAAGGAACAAAAGGAAAACTATTCCCCTCTGCAAGCACAACCCTAAGTCAGATGGCAAGCTCGAAGGTCTTGTCTGCTGGAGATGCTGCAAGAAGAGGCACATCTCGGCACAGTGTCATCTTTCACCTCTACAAGCAAATAGTGCATTAACCACACCTGCTGAAGGCAAGAGTGCCCCATAACCGCATCACACTTCAACAGAATGAAACTACTCGAAGGTAGATACCATGTGTTCCTTAGGGAGGCCAGCCAACCTTCCGGCGCAGTCCCAGACGGGGGACAACAGACGAGATGACCGGAGGTCCCCACCTTTGAGTCGGTCGGTGAGCTGCTGCGCCTCGTGATCCGAGTAGTGGACGACAGGAGGAGGGGACGGCGGCCTAAGCCGTTCCCGGTCCAGGCGTTCCCGGTGGCGCATCTCCCGCTGCAGGGCACGCTGGCGGCACTCCCACTCGTACTGGTCATCCCGTGCCTTGGCAAAGTCCACGTGCAGGCGCCCAGTGTTGCTGGGCTCCTCCTGGTCGCGGATCTTCATGCGGTACCCTGGGAGCAAACGGCAGGGGGGCGCGTTCCCAGACTGACCCTCGAGAGGATGTCCGCTTAGAATGATGACAAGTGTTTCACCTAGTGCCAACATCCAGAGGTGACGAATGCTAAAGTGCTCTGGATTCTACTTCATTGTTGAATGTCACATCAAGTACTCGAGAGAACTCGAGTAAGTGCCCTCATGACACGATGCAATACAGGGAAGTGATTCCTGAAGTGGCAATTTTGCGAGTGCAGTTTCTCTGCGGTGCACCGGTTCTCATAAAGAAAAATCACTTTTTCCAGGCATGGTTTGTACCATATTTTCCGGACTATAGTCTGCGCCCGGTGTATAGTCCGCAGGGGCTAATTTCAGCTGAAAAGAAAGGAGTTGTCTTAGATAGTCCGCACCCGGCGTATATACTCCAAAGGCGCCAGTTTTGGCTGACATTTTTTTTTAGGTACCCTGCTCTTGGTGTCGTACGTAAAAATACATTTGGTAAAGAACAAATCTTGAAAATATCTCAGGTATTTTATTTGCACGAAGAAAAATGCTTGCATGATACGAAATTATGACTCCTATGATCCGTCATTTACAAAGTGCCTTCCGACTTGACATTCACAAAATCCATCATAGTCGCCGCCTTCACTGTCTGACCAAAAAAGGTGAATCATTTTAGATTCAACAAAGAGTTCCTCAGTGTCCTTCTCGCAGTCACAGTCAGGCAGTTCCGGAGCAGGTTTTAGCCCATCTTTAATAAAGCCATAATGACGACACACGTGACGTCATTATGGGAGACGTCCCATTATGGCGACGCGCGGTTACGCCGACCACGCACAAGCCAGAAACGGGCGCCCCAGAGGTGCGTTCTAAAACCTTTTACTACATGTAACTGAAAAGGGAGGGGTGCCAAAAATATTGCACTTAGGCTTTTGAATTCTTTCGTGTTTTTTTTGGCTAGATTCAGTTTTTAATGCAGAATGTGTTACGGTCGAGCCAGGTTATATCACACTCGGGTATTTCGAATTATTTTTTATATCAAACAGTCCAAACATCCCCTTGAAAATCACATGTCATAGTATAGGAGCGTTGTCTTTTTATATCCAACTCCCATGGCTGGGACACTCGATATAGCAAACGAAGCCGGGCGGCCCATGGCTTTTCCCGCGAACCGATTGCGCTGGTGGCGAGCACATCGCTTGCGTTGCGTGGTTGGCAGACTGCCAAGCCAGCATACACGCAAGGAGATACGCAGCGAAAGAGCAGTTGTGGGAAAGGAGAGACAATGAACCGTAAATAAAAAAGTGGAGGATGGCAAAGGCAAGGGGAAAGGCACATGCGAATGCATAGGGAGAGCAGGGAGAGCCTGCTGTCGGAACGGTAGCCTGCGCCCCTTCCCCGAACACTGCTGGTGCTGCGCGACCTTCTAACCCCAAAATAAAACAAGCAAAAAAAGCCTCCGGCAAGTCGAGTGTGTCCACGACAACGGTTGTGCAATAGCACTTTGAACGCCTTAACTTTGTTTACCTTTTTTTCTGTGTGTATAGCTTTGCCCGTTCTTTTTTTTTGGGGGGGCCTCACATTTTTTGCTGCCTGAATTTAGTGAGTTTTCTTTTTTGTTGCTTGATTAACTTTTTTCTATGGATGAAGGCTTTTTTATGCTTCTCGCTTTTCCGTTTTCTTTCATTTTTCTTTTATTATTTTCCTCCCGGCGGAGGAAAAAATCACCTGTTCAGACGTAACGGTGCTCTTCTTCGTAAAACTAACGCGCTGCCGGCTTCCCCAGAGGAAGAGTGCGAGAGAGTGCGGCAGAAAAGAAGGGAGACGCTCACTTTGCCTCAACGGGTTGAGCAGTGTTCGGTTCTCTTCTGCTGCGAGCCGGCGCCATGGCCCTACTCGGCGCTGCCACGTTCCAATCGTTCCGTTTTCTGCCCGTTCCGCCTACTGCGTCACTTTGCACTCTAACGGGCGCTGAGGAAGTCGCACCTACACTGCGCTCACCTTGCACGACACAGGGCCGCTTCATGCCATCGCGTCTCCGCACGTGTACACGGTTTCTCCATACTAACACGCCACATTCTGCGTCACCACTGCCTGTGCCACGCCAATAAGCTGAGGGGCGCGACTTTTTTTTTTTCAAACTGCGATTGCCCGACACAAAGGGTGCTACGACCCAATGAGATTCGACAGCGCCCTCACCGGAAAAGGCGATGGCGTTGTCGACGGCTTCTTCCGTGTCGAAACGAATGTGGCAGTAGTTCTTCTTGCTCATGCGCAGGGCCGTGATGGTGCCGCAGTGCTGGAACACCTCCCGCACCAGCTCCTCCGTCGCGTTCTCGGGGAGGCCCCCCACAAACACGGTGCGGCAGCCGGGTGGACGCTCCCGGGTCGGAGGCAGGGGCATGCCTGCAACGACGGGTCGACGCCGAGCGAGTTGGGTCGCGCTCATGGACGAACCGCTTGTGGACATAGTAGAGTCTTTACTAGTATTACGTACGTTAGTCCAGCGATTGCCCATTTTTCTCAATTTCCTCGTCTTTCTCTACATATGTTTGGCCCGTTCAATCCACAAGCATGCCTGCACCGGGGCAGGAAACGATTCTCTCGATCGGTTAACCAATTATTTGGGTGCATCCACAAACAATGGAGACCTTGCGACTGCGCCCGATCGTGAGGAGTACTGTCGGACCCATCGAGGTCGGAAGAGACGAGAATCATTCGCGCGAAAGAAAGTTCTTAAGCTCTGCCTAAAGTGGCAACATCGAGGCTGGTTTACACGCTTACGGCTACTTACGTACAAGTGCCTTAGAATTTCTCGCAATATCTTAGGACAAGAGAAAACACTGGCACCACTGGTCGGGTAGCCGTGGAATGCCATAAGTTGCTTCGTGCATCATTCTTTGTCGGCTTAACTCTTTTCCGACTGTGCCCATAGGCCATCGGTCACTGGTGATTGATGGCTTCCAAGCACCATAAAGAAATTAAATTTAGTGCTGTGAATTACCTGTTCCACAATCTCCTGAATAGCCAAAGAACTGTGGTATCAGTTTCAACGTAGGCTTGAGCCTGCTCACAGGCTGGTGGCATGTCAAAAATAGCCTTGGGAACGGTGGTTGCACTCGTCTAACATGGTTGAGTGCTTACATCAATCTTCATAACAATGATGGCGTTATTTACATAATTCAACTGTATTGTAGCATAGTTTTTTTTACCTAAAGAGCCCCAGGAACACTTTAAATGATGTTATAGGCATCGCTTAACAGAAGGTTGTCGGTAAGCATCACTATAATTTGCAATGCTGTCCTGAGCTGGCGTGCACAATTAATGTTTCCAACAAGGCGGTCAAAAATGCTAAATATGAAGGAACTGCAATCAAGGCTATGATGAAACCAAGGTGGAACACAAAGAAAGCATTCTGCTGGGGATGCGAGGTGTACTACCTGTGTTCCGCCAATATAAGCTTTCCTTCGTTGAAAAGTGCACGTGTTACGGAGGCTAACTTTTCAACAAACCAAGAAAAAAGATCTTTTTTTTTTGTACACTAACTAACTTTCAGAAGTAATCACCGTGTGTGTGGGCCACATTTTGTATATTCTAAATTTTTCTTTTCTTTGTCATTTAATTTGAATAGCTGTAAAAGTGTCAGCGTTTATATGTCTTCTGCACATACATTTTATTTTCAAGAAATAAAAATATGAAATCTTTTTCACACATTATAATAACCTCAGTTTCTTTTCGAAGACAACTAATTGGCCACATTTTTATGTGTCATACTGCTCCCTATGCAAATTAGTTAGGAAACTAAAAGCGTTAGCACGGATATTTTCAATATTGCTACTTTTTCCACAGTCAGGAAAGAGTTAAAACCTTTCAACAATGTTCTAAATGACCATTTCACATAGAGAGTGTGCACATTTGGTCTTGCAAGTACCGCAAAACCTTCGGCCCAGAGAAATGCGGCTCCAGGGCCACCTCACAGAAGGCACCAAAGTGTCAGTGTGTAAACCAGCGTTCAGGCTTGTTTGGTATGTGCACGGCTGCACTCACCAGGGTTCGGAGGGCAGAGCACCGAGTTTGGGAAATGAAGCAGCTCTTTCACCGGCCCATTGGTCTGCAGGACAGACGACTGCAGTATGCCTGGTCCCAACTCCGGAGGAGGACCCAGAAACCCAAACTGGGGACACTGCGTTGGGACACCAGGCTCCGATGGAAGGAAAGCGCCAGCGTCCCCCCGTGCACACCCGCACTGGCAAGCGGTCGGGGTTAATGGTTTATACACCCCCAAATACCTCCCTACTCCTCGACTCCCCTAGGTTGAGTCTGACAACCACTTCACGTATGTCTCGAATATTGGCATTTCGAGGGAAGAAAAAAGAGAGGGATTCCTTTAGAATCGAAAAGGGTGACAGCTTGCACCACCAAGCCAGTGTTTTAATAACACGTAATGTCTACACAATGAGGTTGCCTTTGCCCATTAAACAGTGCGTCCCCCAAAAAAATGTACGCCTTTTTTTTTTTTTTTTTTTTTACACAAAAATAAACTATGTTTTGTTGAATGTTCAATTCTCCTCCCAAAGGTGGCACTAATGGGCAGGACCAGATGCTAAGGTTTCAGGGCTTGGAAATCGCTGGTAACTTTTGAATAAGGTAGAGGCAGGCTTTGAAACTTTAGCATCTGGTCTGGACAGTCAGTGGTATAATTGGGCGGAGAATAAGCGTTCGGCAATGCATGCTTTACATTTGCTGTAAAAAAAACACTATAATATTTTTTGTTTTGAGAACACGGTGATAATTAAAAAGGTCATAATTTAAATTATATTGTTGCCCAGCCCCACCTGGCTGTAACCCGAAGCGGCGGCGGCGGCCATGACACCCATGAGGGTAGGGTCGCCCGGCAAGCTGATGAAGGGGGGCACTGCCCAGGGGCCGGGGCTTGCCAGCATCCCCGTGGCCAGGGAGGGCAGGCCCGCCCCCTCGGCTCCCATGCCCGTCGGGAAGCCTCCGAAAGAACCGCCCACGCCGGGACCTGGAGGGCGCGGCACGGGCTTCGTTGAGTAACTGCGTATGCTCCACTTGCAGAGCAGTGTGTCGCGATGGTCTCAAATCTTTTACTTTAAGTATCGCGGGAAAAGCAAGTGTTGCTTTTGCAGGAGATGCGACAGGAGCGCCGGATTCACTGTGCGTGTGCCGTCGTGCATCTCTCGAATCCCTCGGAAGCATGTGCGCGACTTTGCTGTCGTGTCGTCTGCTTGCTCACGGCCGCCATGAAACTGCGCTTGCATTATAAAAATCATTCAATTACACGTACCTACCTGGCATGGCACACACAATGTCCAATAGTTTGAGAAGCTTTCTGCTCGTCATACTTCAGTGAAAGATCTACATTTCGCAAGCGCAAAGCGAAACATATGTCCCGCCCCAAACCCGGCGCTCCTGAAGGCTGTTTCCCTTCAAGCGCGAAAGTCAAATTTGCCGCACATGAGCCCTTCTCCGCAAATGAGGAGTTGGCGGCGAAAAGAAATGCAAGGCGAGACTCTGGCTCCTCCATTTAGTTACTGTAGGTTGCGTTTAACCGCTCCCCCGGCAGTTCTGTCTCCACGAGAGCTAAAAAGTCACTACAGAGAAACCGGATGTTGATGTTAGCGCTTCTTTGGGAGCCCTCTCAAACGGGGTCCCTCTGGAGCTTTCCTCCCCACGATAGTCGAGGATTTTTCTTTGAAGAATAAAAATGTACTTTAATGATGCCCGTCTCGAGTCACATATAAAATGTGAGATCAAAGTCACACTTTTTTTTCTTTACAACGAGAAAGGGAAGAGTGCGATCGAGGAGCAAAGTTGCACTCTTTTTCTTCTGCTCCTAGTTGGAGAAAAGAAATTTATTCTCTTAGGCAAATAATTTATGGATTTCTGAACTTCCTGAGGCGGGTACATCATGTTTGAGCCATATAAAAAGTTGGTCAAGGAATGCTCTGGCATACCTTTGAGTTACTGTAATAATGTGCACTGTGTGACACAGTGATAATGTTGGCGCTTTTTGCATTCTGCTCGGACAGGGTAGCAACAAGTTCCAAATGAACATTTTTTTCACCATACAGTATTCGTCACCTAACGAACAAGAAAAGTTTTGCAGAGATTCATAAAAAAGTAGTTCTCATAAGATTTGCCAGAGAAAACAAGCGTGCTTTTCTGCCTTCGAAATATGGAAAAAAATTTTTTTTAAGAAGTATATATAATAATAATTTTTATTCAGCCTAAAGGGCTGCGACACCACAGAAAGGCCATTAGCCCATACCTGAGGCCTGCAGTGCCGCATTACTACAGACAAAACAAAACAAAAGAGGATTTTCACATGAAACATACACATACACACACATGTACACTCACGAGGGAAGGGAAGAGAAAGGGAGGGATATTTATCGTTCCAAAATTGAGAAAAATGTATATCGATGCCAGTTCGATATATAGGGCTGAAACATGTCATGATAAATATACTACCTTCAGGACGAAAGTCTATGAAAAGCTGTGCTCCAAGTGTGTACTACTGTGAAATAATGGGCTTACGAGATCGCACGCACGCACGCACGCACGCACGCACGCACACGCACACGCACACGCAGACACACCTTGAGCGGCTCTGATTGCTGTCAACGGGCAACTAAACAGCAGCAACATACCGGAATAAACAAAGTTACCGAAAGAACACGCGTGTCGCTGTCAATCGTCGCGGCGACACCTCTGTCTCCATGCGACCCCTTTCAGGACGTCTTACTCTCAGACTTTTTTTTGAAGACCCTATATTTTATCGTCCTCCGTGTAAAACACAGCGGGAGGAGGATCTAAATTACATCTGTCCAAGAGCAGTTCGTTAGGGCGGTTTGATCTCACCGATTCCGTCGGAAGCGACGGCCGCTTTTAAGCGGTTCGCGAACTCCAGCGGCGCATCGTTGTTGGCCGGGTCCACCGTACTCGACGGGAGAACCGGCGATCCTCCGCACACCGCAGCCTGGATCATCTATAAACGGATTCGAGGGCGCTAAATTAAGAAGATTCCCCCCAACGCAGCAGTCGTGGTCGCGGGACATGCGAGTCGACGCTCGCTGCCAAATTGTAGGCCTACGCTCGCAGCTCGGAACCGTTAGCGCGGAAACGAACGCACTCACCTCGGGTTGTTAATGGGGCGCAGCTGTCGGCCGCTGTGAGGTGTCCGCATTCATCTGGTTAGCTAAATTTACGACACAACACGCAAGGAAAGCAACAGCAAACAACCAAATCGATAGCTTTGCCAGCAGACGATGCTGTAGCAGAAAAGAAACATTTGATACCGTGGTGCGATTTATAGCCGTTAGGGCAGCCACACGTTTCTGTTTTTATGCTAATTTTAGCGCTCCGGTAGCTTACAAAAAAATTAAGAGAAAAGAAACCTACTTTAGTCAAGTTTTAAAACAAATTCTTCGAAAAATTAGCGACACTAACATTCAAAAAGGTGTGAATTTATTTTTAAAGTTCGAAGATCGAAAGTTTGGATGAGAGGTTGAGAGATGTCAAACGGTAAACGACCAATCAGCTAAGCCCACGATATTTTTGCGTGAGAGCAGTCGACATCGACTTTAGGATGAGCTGTACTTGCGAGCTCAGACAGCTGAGTGAGAATCATGCGCTAGTATTTATTTTAAATCTCTCTTCCTCCGTGTAACTTAATCGCCAAGATGACTGGCTCTCCTTCGGTGTACCAGCTAATTTCATCCCTGTATATTCTCATCTGCGCTACGAGAAAGTTGATCGGTGAGTTTTCGATACACGCTATATTCATCGCATATCGTCTCTGTCTCTGCCGACATTCTTATCGCCGCATTTTCTTAGACTCCCGAAAGAAATTTCTCGCCGTGCTTCAACAACCTCAGATTCTTGACATCTCGTGGGTCATACCTTAACTGAATAACAATACAAACGCAGCATGCATTGCAACGCGCGATCGGAAAAGGCTGCACAATGCACGACGTGGGCCGAGGCACTTGGACGATTGCATCACACTTTGCGAGCGATCTCAATGAAAAGTAGGACGTTGTTACTTAATGCTAATGTATTCTTGTGTTTGGGCTACCGTGAAGCGACGTAGGATTGCGGTAGCAGTTAATTTGGTTCCGGGCGTAGAGTTTTGACGGGTCGGAACTTTTGTTTCTCTGCAGGAGTGGCCGGCGTCAACCAAGCCGAGGTCGAGGGGCACCTAGAATTGGGACGGCAGTTGCTGTCCAAAGGACAGTATGCGGATGCGCTTTCGCATTACCATGCAGCTGTTGGTGAGTGGATCTCTTCTCGTCCGTTTCATCTTCTTTATCTTTCTTATAGCGCCGAGGAGAGGTCTTCGTCGCAACTGATAAGGGGCGCCCGCCGGAGAAGCGGTTCCAAAATCGCGGCACTTGTCTCCGGAGCAGTGATTGCCTGGAATGTGGATCCTGTTCATCCCTGAACCTAATTAGCCTCTAAAAACTGATAAAAATATTACCATATGGCAATCAAAACTTAATCAGGAAGCGTGGCAACGTCTACGTGCCGAGTCAAGTGAAATTAAACGCATGTATGGATTGCATCAGATTCATTTTGATGTAACGGAATGAATGAAATAACACAAGTATGAAATGAAACATTTATTTGTTAATCATAGAATCAATTGATATAAAACATATTTAAACATTAGGTAAACTTATACTACTGAACGAAACAAATCTCAAGGTACAACACAATAAGCGTCTTCAATTGGAAGTCACACAGGCAATCGAAACAAGTGGAGATCGAAACGCTAGTTGCATTTGATATCGGAGTCTAAACTCATCGATGGTCACACAGAGTTGATTATAAAACGACGGTAGGGAAAATACAAAATGTATCGTAGCGTATCAGTGGTGATGTGATCTCGCGCCAGCGCGAGCGGTTACACAGTTCAAGACGGTTCACAATTGGGACAGAAGACGACGGAAGAAAAAGGACTGAAAATTATATTATCTTGGAGATTGTTGCAGATAGACGTTTGAGTGGTCGATTGAGTGCACATAGCTAAACATGCTTACATTAACAAGAAACACAGTCAGTGCAATGGCACATCACCGCAATTTATGGGTGAGTCGTTCAGAAGGGGTTCGAAATTCCGAGCCGGAGGTGTGTCGCATGGAACCAACCTATTGTGGGGTCTCTTTCCGTTGCGCAAGTTTTTGTATGTGCACGCCTTTGGGAGAGACATTGTCACGTCAAAAATATATAAAAATATATGTGTGCCATGAGCATTTATTTTTTTCTTCCTCTACAGCTTTGTCTGTTGAGCAGAGCGAAGTTGAGTAGGTCACAGGTCGCAGCACTCGAGTCTATTGTAATTTTGTTGTACTAACTATCTTTAAAATTATGCATATGCTTGCATCTTATAACCATGCTGTTCAGCTTGCTAAATGTTGTCTTTCAAATGCACAGTCTGGTAGACTGTCCAAATGCTAAACTCTTGATCCTGTTTTCTTCGCCATCACAGAGGGGGACCCAGAGAACTACCTAAATTATTACAAGCGTGCCACAGTGTTCCTGGCGCTGGGCAAGTCCAAGCCTGCACTGGAAGACCTTCATGAGGTCATAGCCCTCAAGCCAGACTTCTTGGCCGTAAGTGCAGCTCATGCTCCCTTTTCTGCCTTTAGATGAATCATTCAATGCGACTGATTTGTGTTTCGCAACGTTTCAGGCAAGGCATCAACGAGGCACAGTGCTGCTTAAGCAGGGGAACCTCGACGAAGCTCACATAGACTTTGAATGGGTGGTAAGTAATGCCCTCTATTGGTTCTTTAATATTGAGCGCCACCACAGCGGGGAGGGCTGTTCACTGGCTGCCGTTACTAGAACCCTCAGTTGGGAAACTCACCGTTGAAACCTGGGCCGCTGGCGTCCACCGAGACCGAGCTAAATACGACAACAGCACCACTTTTCATCATTTGTCTTTACTGTGGTCACCTCGAGCTTTTAGAAAACATGTTTTTCCGTAAAAACCAATGGAAAAAAACTCTTTTTGTTGTAACTTCTATTGGAGTTTAGTACAAAATGAAGAGCGCGTGATGTTTTCTATAATCTTTAGTTTGCAAGGTTTTTGTGGCACAATTAATATTGTTTTTATACAACCATGCCTCAGCGGTGATTTCAGGTAGCGCGTCCCAACCTAGGCACATCCTAACTTCGGTAGTAGACCGCGGCGCTCCCGCTTGGGCGACGGGGGTGGCACCCCTGAAACCCTTCCCTCCGTATCTGTTTCGGCGTCAAAATGGCCGATTAAAGCCAAAATAGAAGTCACGTGCAGTTCCCCGAGTGGCCTCTGCGGGAGAAATGGCGGCGTTGTAATCGCCATTTGCTCGGTTCTCGAGTATGGATCAGTCTCTATGGCAGTCCCAACTGAGTGGTTCTAGTAACGTTGCTGGCTGCCATCGTTACGGCCATTGCTGTCAGACGCATATTGCCAGCAAGCTCCCTTTGCATTGTTGTTTCGCACCATCGAAATTGTTAGTTGTGGGTGACAACGCATCTTGATTTGAAACGGATGATTGTACAACATGTTGGGCCTAATCAGCATCGTGCATGAATTCATTACTTCAGCTTTTAACAGCTAACGGGAAGGAATGCATTGCTCTTTGTGTTATCCTTTTTGCCTAGCTGTAGCGGGTCATTTTATAAATGACGGAAAAACTGGCCCAGTTAGCATGTAGAAGCTTAGTGCAGAAGTACTTGTATGTGAAGGCACAGAAGAGGAAAGGTTAATAGAAAAGCAGTTGGGGAGATTCGGCGATGGACAAAATAGATACTTTGTGTCGATAATAAGGCATGGAGAAACCCTTAAAGGGGTACTCCGCAGGTTTTTTCATTGTCTCCGATTTGCTTGAAATTTCGCTAAACTCGCCAAAAAACATAGCTAAAATAGAATTCCAAATATTAGGTCAAAAGATTTTTTTTTTTGCAAAGTTATTGAATTTACAGTTTTGGTCCTCACCGTGTTTTCAAAACTGAAAGTCTCTACTGGCATCAATGAAAAAGTGACGTCAGTGGAAGGCAGGGGTTTACTCTTTGGATTATAGAATTTGTTCCCAACTGATTTGAAGCAGTTTCATGGTGTCAAATGAATGTTCTGGAAGCTCGCTCCAGTACCCGCGCTCCAGCATGGCACAAATGATTGGCATATTCTATTTTTTGACTGCTTGCTCGACTGGCAAGCCTGCCTGCCACTGACATCAAGGCACTGAAAAGTGTGGGTATATTGAAATGTTGGTTTTTGCATCATTTTCATTTGCCAATTTCACAATAACTATTATGAATTTCGTGATACTAAAAAGCATACCAGAAAGGGTAAAGGCAGGGGAGTCAGCAAATGTAGTTAGTTGTGGTAGCTCAAAAAACCTGTGGAGTACCCCTTTAAGCAACGTCAGCATTATGATGGCAATTGTTCCTTCATTCCAACGGGTGCGGCCGTTTGTGTAAGCTACCTCAAGCTGATGTGTGGGTACTGCGTACAAATATCAATGCATAATGGCAACTGCAATAATGTAATAGACTACAATGCAATGAACCCATGAGAATAGTAAGGTTTCAGCACACTCAATGGCAGGAAGCTAATTCAGGATTTTTCAAGCGAGTTTGATTCACGTATCTTGTAGCAACATTCATATCAATGCTTAATTAGCTTAAAAATAAAAGTGATGTATTTGGCTAGTTGATGGCTATTGATAAATATATCTGAATATGTGTTTTTGTTGGTTAGGCAACTTTTATGTGTGTGCACAAAATCCATATATTGTATTGGAAGTAGGTATAATAGCATATCTCAAAGTCAAGTCGTCAGGTCCATACAGACTAGTCTCAGCGACAGCATCTCTAAAGTGATGTCACCAAAATTGGTGATGTTCGAAGAGTGAATTTTGAGTTTGTAGTGATTTCAAAGTGAATAGTGGTTTTGGCCTAATATTTTCAAATTGAATATCCGATTGTTTTTCTAAGTCTTTGACTACTGTTGCACCCCGCTTAAACGAAAACCCAGCTAAACTCGTGAACGTCGTTCATAAGCTTCCACTTGTCCATTTATAAGCTAATCTTAACCTAACTATATTTATGAATTATTAGCTTAGGAAGTCTGACGTCTTGGGATGGCAAGTAAACGAAGGATTTGACATAAAATTAATCCTATAGGGATACCCAGCTATACAAAATCTAGCGAACTTGCAAGTCTTGCTATATGCACCTATTCTTTCTTCAATATCAAATTCAAAAAAAGAAAAGATATATATATATATATATATATATATATATATATATATATATATATATATATATATATATATATATATATATATATATATATATATATATATATATATATATATATATATATATATCACAAATGATGAACCAGGTTTTTAGGACATCTCTGCCTAACATAAACCGCCACAGTTCAATTTTGAAAATTTTACAGCAACGAAAATATCAACATTCACAAACGTTCCGTTTTTTTCCAAATATACCGGGGGCACACATGCCATCCTATTTTGAAAGTGTGCTTTACACCCAAGCACGCCATTGAGGTATTCATAGTAGTTTTTTTCAAAGCTTTGATGGCGACGGGTTACCCCGTTGAGTGCGCTTCATACCGAGCCCCGGTGCACTGCAGAGAAGCAACACGAAGCATGCTTCCGCGGGTGTTGCTTCTCCCCAGTGCACCTGTGCTCGGTAAGAATGAGCACTCAACGGGGCTAGCCCTCCGCGATCGACGCTTCGAAAAATTAGAATATTGCAGTTTTTTAAAGCGAATATTGAATGCATTACTCAAAACTACTATTCTAAATTTCGAATATTCGCTCAGCACTCAATCATGTGTATCATCGACAACTCTATTAATGCCTATTGAATAGTTTTTCACTTTGATGGTAAGATCTAGTTGGGCATTCAGCAAATGTATTTTCTGACACTATTAACATAGTGGTTAGTGCTGAAACACTTTTACTGTCAACACAATATCCAAGATATATGGGGTGTTGATGCTCACAAGACGAGGGGCAGGAACTAGGGTTCTCAACTTTAAGCTGCTTGGTTGGAAAATTTTGCCCGAGAAGTATTTCGGTCGTGCGTTGGGCCGCCGTCGTAGCAGCACCAAAGGACAATGGCTCGCATTTTGCCTTACAGTTGCGGCTGGACCCCAACAACCCCGACGCGCACCGCGCCTACACGTCCATCGAGCCCCTGAAGCGGGACATTCAGATGGCTCAGGACATGATCGCCGACCGCAACTACGTCGGTGCCATCGAAGTGCTCACCAGAGTCATTACGGTATGTGTTGCTCCCTCACACCTGCGTTATTGTTTCTAGCTTTTCCAGAGAACAATGTGTTCACATGCAGATGTTTTTCACCGAGGAAGTCGGAAACAGAAAAATGAGCAGCAGGAGAAGCTTTATTTCACCGACGTTTTGGGACGATTCTTTGTTTCTTCGGACATCGTCTTTCCAAAGCATCCGTGGATCGGAGCACCCGCTGCTCTCCTTACTTTTCAATCTGGGGTGCACACACGGCTTCTGAAGGCTACAGTTGCTGGCTGGTTAAGAACGACGTCTCTTTCGAATGCCCGGCCTCCGGAACGCACTCATTGCCTTTTGCCGTGCTTTGGCTATGCACGCACGCACGCCCGAGGCTCGGGAGACGTTTAAGCGTTATTGAAGATAGAAAGCTTGCGATGGAGGCGGGACAACTAAAACTCCTCCCTACCCTTCTCGTCCTGCCGGTGACCGTAGCAAACGCAAGCCTTGCAAATGCGGCCAAACTAAAGAAATTTTATGGGAAGTAAAGAGCGTCAAACCGAATTACGTGCCGACATTACGCAAAACAGCCACCTGGATAGTTTTCGCGACGGCAACGGAGAAACCAACTTTCACTACGGTTCACATAGTCGAAAGCCCTGCCATTTTGGGCAAGAGCGTCACATTTTTTGCGTCCTGACATGCCGAAAACCGAAGGTGGGTCGTTGTGCAGGAGTGTCCCTGGGACGTGACTCTGCGGGAGATGCGTGCCTCGTGTTACGAGAACCTCGGGGACGTGATGAACGCCATCATGGATCTCCGGCCCACCACCAAGATGGTGCCGGACAACACGGTGGGCTACCTCAAGCTCAGCAAGCTCTACTACAAGCTTGCAGAGGCCGAGGAGTCCCTCAAGTGAGTACGGGCTTCGTGCCTTGCCGGCCTTCCCACACGTCGGAGAAGCGGGCTTGGGTCTCTGGATCGACTTACTTCATGCTGACCTCTTTAACAATACGTTCTGAAAAGAAAGGGTTTCGAAAACAACTTGCTCTTTGCACTTCTGACACCATGTATCAGGAACGTCACATTGCAGTTATTGTAAGCGGTGTCCGCAATGCTTCATCTTCTTCCGATAGTCTCGCACTACCGTAACCCAATACAATGTTGACATCAGTTTTTTGTTTTGAGCTTCTAATTTGGAAAGAATGATGTAGTGCACACTCAGCTCTGTCCTAGGGTCCTCCTTTGTGCTTGAATAATGCTGAAAGCGGTCTACTCGGAATTTCTGCTTGAAGACCGTGTGCGCATTGCAGGCAGTTATACAATCCACTTATAACGATGCAATATATAATAGTGTCCTACCTATAACAATCAGTTTCTAAAAATTTAGACTAGAAGCGCTCAGTTTCTAGTCCAGATACAACGGTACTCGGTTATAACGATTGAATTTTCGAATTATTGTTATAAGTGGATTGCACTGTATTACTGAATTGTGGCCTCTGTGATTTGAGGAACTCGAAAGTGCCCAGTGTGGACAACTGTGGACTGGAAGTGAATAAGATAATGCGGCAAAAATTGGTCAGTTTTGCTTTCAAGCCAGCCTGCTGCAATATTACGGACTGTCTGAATGGCTCTTGCGAATTTAAATAGTGACCTGCGCTTTGCAAATAGGCTAGCCTCAACCGCTACGCAACATGAGCTTGGCACCTGAGCAGTAAATGTGCGAGCTTGTGATACTGGTACTTGAGTGCTGATATGGTCAATATGTAGATGCAAAGATTAAAAAATATATTTCAGAAATGAGGGCCCACAGACCTGTTTCGTTTTGCCAGAGGACGCAAGTGCGTCCGTAAGAGATGACCATGTAATGCTTGCATAAAGCAACACTGCAGCACTCGATCGTACACAAGCCAGGGTCGTTTACAAGCATGTTAGCATCTACGCATGGCAACAGTGTGTCTGAAAGATTTTAATAAAAATTAAAAAAGGAAATATGCAGCTTGTGCTTTCAGTGGCCTACCTAAATGATAAGAATGAGTTTTCTCTCTTCTCTCGGTGTCAACTTTTGTATTTCCTCAGTCTTGGAAAGAGCTCCAGGCCTATTGTCCCGATAGAAAAGGGGAGAAGGTGTAGATACACTAAAACTCTTTCTCTGATTCGCTTCATCATAGAGAGGCATCACCGCATCTGTAAAGGCCGTTTGTAGAACACCTCCTGAACATAGCGCCCCTCTTTCCACAATGCAGCGTGATCCGCGAGTGCCTGAAGCTGGACCCTGACCACAAGGACTGCTTCAGCCACTACAAAAAGGTCAAGAAGCTGGCAGGGCAGCTGCGTAGCATCCAGGACCTGATCGGCCAGTCGCAGTACGCCGAGTGCGTAGACAAGTGCCGGGCGGCCCTGCGTACGGAACCAGACGTGCCCCAGCTGGTGCAGCACGTGCGGGGCCGCATGTGCCACTGTCACAGCAAGGCCGGGGACGTCCGGGAGGCCCTGGAGACGTGCAGCGAGGCCCTCAAGCTGGACCCCAACGACCTGAGGGCCCTGTGCGACCGGGCAGAGGCGTACCTCAACGACGGGCAGTACGACAACGGTACGGGCACCCCCTTTATGCGGCGCTCTGCCGTGATCCGTGGGGTTTGCACCGTGCTCTTGCGGTGCAGTAACATGGTTAGCAGAAGAGAAAAGACTTTCTGCTCCGTGGATGACCGGGTAGGGGTGTGCCTTCACAACGGCAGTACCGGTGCCCCCCTTTATGGAACCCTTTGCCGCAATCTGCACGACGGGTTTTGTTCACGCAGCTGGAGCCCTATGCCATAATCCGTGCAATGGGTTTTGTACAGTGTTTATGCAGTACAGTAATGAATGTGATTAGCAGAATGAATGTGACTTTCACCTTTGAAGGTAACTGTGCAGGGGCATATCTCAATGACGGGCAGAATGGCAACGGTACAGGAGCCCTCTGCCACAACCCGTACGACAGGTTTTGTACCGCGATTACACGACGCAATAATGTGAACGGGCAGAAAAAGACCATTGAAGGTAGTCGAGCAGGGGCCTGCCTCATTGACTTGTAGTATAATAGTGCAGGCGCCCTTTTCGAAATCCTCTGCCATAATCTGTGTAACAGGTTTGTACAGTGTTTGCTCGGCACTACAATGCAATTGGCAAAATAGATCAGTCTTTCTCGACTCGCAGCAATAGTGGGGGTGCCATTTAGCGAGTTATACGACTAGGATTTCATACTGTACTTACTTGGCGTAAGAAACAAAATAGACCAGACTTTTGTCTTTCAAAGGTTTTCTCCCACTGAAGTGCAAAAAAACTAAAGATTCAATGTTAAGTGGAACAAGCGAAGCAGAGTTACGCTCGTGGGGCATTTTGTGTCGCCTTGTGGTCGAGCATTCCAAGATACAATCTCCCCTCTGCTGACCCAGAATTCTGAGTGGCACAGTGGAAAGGAAACGTCCAGGAGAGGGGGAAAAGGAAGGAGTTTGAATTGGAAGTCAGGTGGCCTGCCGCCCTCATTGCCACGCCCCGACATAAGCAGTGCTGGTGGAATGCACTTTTTAGTGCTTAGCAGTGAAGACACAGTTGGAGGGTGTGTGTGCCAAACTATGACTGGCCTGCTTTATATAATTTAAGCAATGTCTATGGGAAATGACCGTGTCGTTCAAGTCATAGTTTTGTCGAGCCGAGTACCGCATTATATTTTTGATGGGAGAACTCTGGCACCAAGGGTGCAAGACGTACGTCGGAAAGAGTGCAGGTTTTAGACTTGACAAAGCGTATAATTTTGACACTGTGAATTTGTCTTCTTTGAATGAGACCCTGGGGTCCAAGGACGAATTGGCCGGCGCTGAAAAGTTTGAGTGACCCTGCTCTGCGGGAAATTAGAACACGCGATGCCCACTTTCCCCGATTCTGACGAACGACACTCGAGTAGGGGGCAATCGTCAAAACCTAGCAAATGTGTGGTCTGGCTGTGGGAGCATCCAACCAACGTCGATTCTTACCCGCCGCGGCAGATTGCTGAATCTGATCTTGATTACATTAAAAAATGCTAGCAAGTGGCAGCAACTTCTGCTAGACAGAAATGGAAGCCAGTAGTAGTAGAAATTGACACGGTTTCTACGCTTGTAGAAGTAAATAGGATGACCCCTTTGCTTCCCCGCAGCCATGCACGACTTCCAGCAGGCCGCCAACGCTGACGAGCACTCGTGTGGGCCCGAGGGCCTGAAGCGTGCCCAGCGCTTAGAGCGGCAGAGCAAGAAGCGTGACTACTACAAGATCCTTGGGGTGAAGCGCACGGCGGCCAAGCGGGAGATCCTGAAGGCGTACCGCAAGCTGGCCCAGAAGTGGCACCCGGACAACTACCAGGGAGACTCCAAGAAGGACGCCGAGAAGAAGTTTATTGACATCGCCGCCGCCAAGGAGGTGCTCACAGACCCCGGTGGGTGCACCAACATGGCCGGGCACCAAATGCCGATTCTTTTGGGTGTCCTCTGGGGGCGGAATGGTTGCCGTTGTTGTTTCGAGGCTGTGCGGTTTGGCACACTCGGAACCTCGCTTAATTGTCTGCCCTCTTGAGCCTAGAAGGCGAGGTCAGTGTCAACATCTTGAAAACCTAAAACTTGAGGATTTAAAAAGTGAATGACGTGACACTTTGTTGTTCCCAAGTCGCGGGTTTTTATTATGTTGAAAGTTCACCAGCTCGCCTGCACATTTTGTTATTTCTATCGAGGCTAGTTTGTTGCTTTTGATTTTTGCAAATCGCTGGGGTAAATATAATGTGTGTAAAATGAGCAACATAATTCGTTACAATCTTTAGGTATGCAGTGTGATGCAATAATTCCACTACTATATTGAAGTGAGGCCTCCCGCCAAAACTAGTTCAGAAATAACACAACAGTGAAGCAACTTTGGTCTTGAGGTAGCCCAACTCACGGAGCACTCATGTAGCCTATGTTCGTCACTCGCACCACACAAGGTAATTTGCAAATGTCGGAGGTCATAATAATTGCTCATGTTGTTTGTTTTGCAACCTACTTTTAGTTTTCATTGTGCTTGGTCTTTTATGTCCTGGCCTTCATTCTTCTTCAAATAAAATCATCGGCCATCCACACCTTCTCTGACCATAAAAATTTGGCCATAACTTTATCGTGCCCAACCTCGACTTTTTCAGTCTCTTATTGTAGATTGCCATGTGGTGGCAGTTGCCACGTTAAATTTCACCATACTGGATTATGGCAGAATACCAAATTGCTTCATTTGTAAATTAGGAAGCGCTAGAACTTACAAAAGGTTGCCCAGTAGCGCCGTGAAAGCTCGCTTCATTTTTGTTACCCGAACAATTATACACCGCTAATCCACAACCCGTTTCTTTTCTCGCAGAAAAACGCAAGCGCTTCGACAGCGGCGAGGACCCCTTGGACCCTGAATCTCAGCAGGGCCAGGGCTTCCACCCGTTCCACCCGTTCCAGGGTTCCCACCCCTTCGGCAGCGGGTCTGGAGGCGGCTTCACCTACAAGTTCGTCTTCAACTGATCTCCGCCTTGCAACACCCTCCCCGCAAGGACAAACTGCCATACCAAAACGGCACGGCACGCACAGTCCCTTCGACGAGCCTCCCCCCCCGACCTCGCCACATAAAAAGACGGCTCCAACGAGGAAAAGGAAAGCGTGTGGTGTCGTCCACGCAGGTGGTGCCAGGGACGCTCAGCGCCATGGTGCCCCTTTTTTTCGACAAACGCTCGACTCTCGTCTTTCTCTTGTACAAAGCTTTTCCGACATTCTTTTTTTTTTTTTTCCCGAATGGTTGGTTGCACGGCAATGAGGCCGCGTGACTTGTACATAAAACGTTTGTTAGCTTTGCTTTATAATAAAGCAAATTTACGCATTTTTGGACGCATTCGTCTTCGCTGCCGGTGCAAAATGGCGCAGGACGCGTCTCCGGCTTGGAGAAAAAGGGGAGGGTAGTGTTTCTATTATTTTTTTTTAAAGAGAGTTTGGTGCCCTTTTTGCGCAAAGTAAGAACGACGGGTTGTTCCAGCGACTCTTTTGGGTCTAGTCCGTCATCTGCCATGCGAAAACGATTTTAAGAATGTATAAACAAACCTAGCTGTGGTGCAGTTACGCGCCGTTTTTTCGACAAAAACTGTTTTTTTTTCGTTGCCATACTAGGAAATAAACATTGTTTCCTTGTCTTAAGGTGCTCGACTCGTTTTCTTTCTGGGTGACTCCTCCGATCAATTGTCTGCCATCCACCAGGAGCTCAATCCATAACACGTGTCATAACCCCGTCAGAGGGCAAATTTAGTGTTTCTTTCAGTCACTAGGTTAGCTCGTCAAATCTTTCAGGCAATGGAAGTTCGGACCTTTCAGAGAAAATCCCAAGTAAAGTCGAAAGTAGAGGTTGCAGTTGGTGCGAAGGTACCCAAGCATGACCAAAACAGCCGTTGGCAGGGACCAAATCGGCTGTCCTTTCCATTCCAATGTTTTTTGTTGTTTTTTTTGGTTTCATTTGTTTTGGGCCATCGTTGGGAGCGTGTCTCTCCAAACCAAAAGTTTCCCCCAATTCCACCTCTGGTGGTGTCGTGTTGCCTCCAGTAACTCTGCGCTCTGTGTTTTGGATTGGATTGGATTATGGTGGCAAGCCCTTCGTATCGGGCGATCAGTCTGCAAACTTTGATCTAGCCCAAAAATAAATATATAAAAAACTGTGACAATATATTTTGTTGTTTGAAAATGTTTGACTGGTAAAGTAATAGGCACACATTTTGCATTTGCTGTAGAAATATTGAGGTGAAAAAGCAAATTAAACGACAAGATGAAAAAAACACATCAAGGCAAATCTAATTTTTGTTCTGTTTAATAATGTTATGCCCGACTATAAAAAAAAAAAACTGTTCTTGTGGTTACGCGTAGGTCACAGCCGAAAAGATTGTATGCGGCAGCGCTATGTACACAACCAGACTAATCACAACCACACCGTTCCCATCCCTCCTGGAAAACAAAGAAGAGAGACTTGTGCTTCCTAGTACTCCACAAAGCTCATGAGGTACAAGCAGCAACTTTAAACAGACGAAACGGAGAGCCGGCACGTCTGCTTATCTTGGTTGCCACCAGGAGGAGCTGCCGTTGTTCCGATTCCACCCGGCTACACTGTTGCGCGTCCCTCGTCGTTGGCAGCATCTGGTTCGTCTCAACGTCTTCGCATCTGAAAATGGGACAATGAAGGGTTTTTATGTATTGGAACCTAGTCATGCGCTCTTCCAATGTTTACAGATCCACGACCCAATGTGCAACCTCCACAGCCCTGCGTGCTCATGTTTGTTGCCTTCCTACTAAAACCAGGTTCTGGACTGCGTATTAGGCACTACACCAACTACCACTATCCAGCCGTTTCTTCGTTCATGAAATGCTGTGCATGTCATTCCCATCTGAGTGAGGTGCCGCCGTGCACACTGTGCGACACTTGGTGCAACTTAGGCGCTTTCTCTCATTTTATTTCCAAAGGGTGAGCATCAAAATATGTCACTTAGGTCAGTACCCCAACTGAGCACTTTCCACCAATATAAAAGTTTCTATGACATTCCTTCAATACAGAGAAAAATAGAAAACCGGACATGGCTTTTTCATGCTAACAGTCTCACACAGTGAGCAGTTGCAGGCACATCTAACCCAAACACAGGGTTGCACATTTCTTTTTTGTGAGGCTGTATACTCGCGGACGACTTTCTGTGACGTCTCCCAAGAAGTGAAAAGTGCTCATGCACTGCTTTGATGGGCGCTCAAGGTGTGGAAGTGCACGAGCGGCCATAGCTCGGACTGCATAGCAACAGAGAGTCGTACGCAAGTATAGACTGGTGACACCTGGTGAAACTAACCGACGCATTTTGAACAAAGAATTTGCGCATCTGGATGCGAATAATGTGCCAGTTGTTTGACTATTCCTTTAGTGATGTGATGGTATTATGGCAACATTAGTACTCACTTCATCACGTGGTATAAGAAAAAACTACACCCACCTTTCTTAGTCACACTCGTTCTTGACAGTGACCATGATGTGATTCGTCTGGTAGATGAGGTAGACTGCACTTACAAACACTGCCTGAACCCTGCCAAACAGAAAAGAAAAAAAAATGTCATACTTGCAGCATTTTCAATGCAACAGTTCAAAGCCAAAGTGCACAAATCCTACTTGAAAGACCAGAGGGCGAGAGAGTGAGCCAAGCAGAAATATAATGCACGTCCAAGGCATGTTCAGACAGTGTTACATGTCAAAAGTCAACCTGTTCATCATGTGTCTTTAGAAGAAACTCCCAAAGCAAATACCTGTATTATAGTTAAATATGCAGTACTTTGTTTTCTAGCCTCACTCATAATCGTTTTTCGAAGCGAAGATTCAGAACAAATAGCTCTTTGCACAAGCATTACCGCTTCCTGATATTGCTTAGTACTTGAAATTTTACTATTGTCCCCATCACCTCCAAGTTTTATTATAGTACCAGGACGTGCAGCACATGTTCGTTTTGATCCCTCTTGAACAACTAAATGCGAACCACACTAATAATGCAATTCAATGCAAATATGCAAGCGAGCTGGACAAGAACAACGAAAATAATCCCTGGAGAAGGGGAACAAGGAGGACTGTCTGCGAGATGCTTGCTGTCGCACAGAGCAATCTGTCCAAGACGTGTAAGAGTGAGCAAGCAACAGGGAACAAGCCACTCACTGTCCTTCCTTGAAGAACTCTTTCAGAGTGTTACTGAAGCGCTTGGAGTATTTGACAAACTCTCGCTTTCTCTGCTCCAAAGCCTGGGGAGACAGAAACACATGCACATTCAACACTGCCCATTCACGGACTACATACAGTATGCAAAACTCCACTTCCAAAAAGCTAGTACAACAAACAATGCATTCTGAAGCGCTACGAATACTGTGAACATAATTTTCACCAAGATCTAATTTTCGCAAATTTCGAGACTCGAATAGTGTTGTGACATCACACAAATATATCGCCCCATGGTAAAGAAAGCATATCATACCACTCTATATTGTGAAATTCTGTGCCTGCAAAATATTCCCCAAACCAACACTTTGCAGAAGTTTCAAAATATTGAGCTCAGAAAAATAAAATAAAGTCATTCACACTATGTATTATGTGCAATGGTTACACACTGCAAATCGATTTTTTAACAGGTCCTTTCTGAGGATGTAGATAGAATAGAAAATTACATTTGATAGACTGAGATACTGGCAGTCTATTTTAGGTGCTGCACATCATTAAATGGATTTTGCTGACAAACACAACTGCGGGACATACAGCCAGCAGTTGTCTCTGTCTTAGTTTCACGTAAAGTATCGCTTCTGGTAATTTGGTTCAAAAGAACTCTCGCTCTTGGATTTCAGCAGTACCCTAGAAATACTGTTAACCTTCTACGCCAAGAAAGAAAAGTGTGGAAGAATAAAAAAAATTAAACCAACCTGTTTCCTGTATGGCGAAGGAATGTATGTGGACACATCATTGACGGCATCTAGCAGCTTCTTAATGGCACTGGCGATCTCCCTGTGGGAAGTGGATTGCAATACAATCGTCACAAGCATGGCAAAGAGAACACTGATTTCATGCATGTGTTACGCACGGCAAAAAGTGTGTTGTAGACTGCAGTACACAGATTCTCATGTGCGCAAATTTATGCTCAGCATACAAACGAGGTGGCACAGAGGTGATGCTTCCCACAGCTTATTAATACATGCCTAATCCAAAAACAGCCATCAATTTTTTTTTTATTTTTCTCTCGGTATATTTGCAAGAAACAAGAGATATCAGGGTGTAATGTTGTTTCATAGATTTGTCGAGCTAGAGCTTTTTCTTTGGCTTCCTCTTCACCACCATTGTACATCCCATGCTGGAAGAATCAACTTTGTATTGTATTGTTTTATATAAGTGCCTAAGCAGACTTTATAGAGCTGCAGTGCCATGCTCCAAATGCCATGAGAATGTTGCATTAATTTGACATGATCTGCTTAGCCTTTTGGAAACTGCTAGGATAGTTAATTTCTTGCTGTCATGGCACATTCGACTGTCTATTTTTGAGTATACAAAACACAGTTTTAAGGAGGAATAACCACCCATTAAGGGGTGACACCACCTTCAAATGTTGACTTGTAAACCAGTCGCTCAGTAATGATGAAATTTGGAGGGTCTATTCATCTCGTTGCCTAAATGCACTCTATGACATTTCATCTCCGTAGGACAATTTTCCGATAAGCTACAAAGGGAGGTACACAGCCATTGATGAGAGTTGTCTCACCTGGCAAGGAAATCTATCGCATAAGATTCCTGCAGAATATTGAGTATTTCTAAGCATCAGCCTCAACTAGAACGTATGGCAGGTGCGGCTATCTATGTTTTACCTTAAAATCCGTGTTTTTTGTTCTATGCAAAACATCCAATTTGAAAAGCATTCCACTTATGGGGCACTTTCTCCTCATCAGGAATCTACTTTTTGGCAATAAGAACTTTATTTAAATAGAAAAATCAATATCTAGCCACATTCCTCATTAAATTTCTGCTCAGAAACACCCACAGCGAAGAATACATTCAGCGATTCATTGAAATGACAAAATTTCCTAAAACGAAAGTTGCTGCAAAAAAGTGAAACTGAGAAACCAGTTTGAAGTTTCCACATTATTACATTGGATTTTACTGGTGGTGGTGGCAACCAAAAGGCACCAAGAGCATTGGTGGTGCCTTCTGCTTACACCCAATCCTCCGCATGGCTTTGCTGAGTGAGTCCGAGCTTAAAGGGCTTTCTTCGAGTGTCATTTTGTTGTCGGCGTGTGGATACTGATTGTGAAACGAGTGAGGAATTCGGTATGCTTGCAATACACGAACCAACATCGGGACAGGGCAAGCATCGTCGAAATACAAAGCAGACAAACCCACGCGACTTTCTATAAAGGAATGCTGGTTTTAGTCAGTTTTGTGTTCAGTCAGGGCGTGCTTTTCAATTTTTAGCCATACGCATAGCCTCTACTACGTGAAAGCTGGACTTCTATGGTGTTCTTGCCCGAGTAGAGTTTACTCTCAAACAAAGATATTTAATGAACTGAAACTGTGAAGAAATGCTCTTCCCAACAGGAGTATGATCATCATTCTAGGGCATACTGGTGCAAAGCTACAGCAATTTGACAATAGGAAACAGAAGTTTCACATTTCAAAAACATGATTTCGCATCGTCGACTTACCAAAAATGTTTTCTTTCTCCGTAAATATGTCAGATATAGTTGTAAAGCACTTAACATAAAAATAGGAGAAGTCGTTTTTTTTCCTCTAAAACATTGCAATTTTAAGGTGCTTTTTTTTAAAGGGGGACTTTAAAAAAAAGCAAAAGAGCTTTTCGAAAAAAAGAAAAAGAGTTAATGGTTGATATTGACGTGTTTCTGCCTGCGGAGTCTAAATATCGCAACCGTCTGACCCAAAATAATTACTAAACGTGAAAAACACAAGCGATCTCTGCAGCAGCACGCCATTGGCTAGTCATGCGTGACGCGCCACTACGTCCACAAGAGGACCATCTCGATTCTCGCTTGCTTAGTCCCTTGTGGAAGTAGCCGGGCACCGAGGCTTCTGCTCTTGTAAGTCGGGTTAGGCTTCTCATTTTTCTAAATCTTTCGGTGGATCCGAAAAAGAAATGTGTCCAGAGGATCCTTGACGTCACAAAGTATGCATTCCAGCCGTTGGCAAAGCAGAAAAATGCCCCCCGCCCCCCCGCTCCCCCGCAGTAATAAGTGCAGACACGAAGAACCGCTTGCGCCAATGCGACATGACTGGCTTCATACATTCAGGAACATACTGACTGCTACTTATTGTAACAAAAAACATTGACAATAAATGGAGTGCTATTGACGAGATGCGTCGGGCCAGATTAGTGTGACCCACCCCAAAACGGTCGTCAGAGGACAAGAATTCAGCACACATCGGCTTTCATGCTTGGTAGCTGCTGGACACGTGAGCATGCAGGCAGCATTGTTCACCAAGACTGAAGTGGTTTGAAGGGATAGTATAATTGGCTTCGGGCGACAGGAGAGCTTCTCCCGAGATGAGGCGGGTGATGAGAGAGGGTCGCCGTTCTGCCACCGCCATGTCCTCGCGTACTACGCAAATAACTGCGCAGAACGTCCATCCCTCTGCCGAGTTTAGTTTGTTTGCCATTATTTATTATGCCATTACAGCTTTAAAAAAAGTGGAGATGTGTGTCTGGCAGCCCTCAATTTGATGTCAAATTCGTGAAAGGTTCCTGGGCCTTCACATACTTCTCTCAAGATTTGTTGACTGCATTAGATCATCACCAAGCACCATCCCAAGCACGACGGCCCGAAAAGTCAGTAGAGCAGCCTACGATGAAAGCATGGCCAGTCGTGGCAGGGTCCACGACTGGCCATGCTTGGAGAGAGGAGGAAGCCCGTCCACTGACGTCGCAAAAAATCTGGTGCGGGGTCCCGCACCAGATTTTTTGCGACGTCAGTGGACGGGCTTCCTCCTCTCTCTCCTTTCTCTCTGCTTTGGAGGGGAGTGGTTTCAGCGCTACTTTGAAGGCGTCTTTCCGGTTAATCCGCATGAAAAACGATTAAATAAATACGACATTCGTGATGGCTGAGGTCTAATTAACTAGGCTCGGGTGGTTTTTTCTCATATTTAAAGCCACTTCACCTTCCCTTCAAAGGGAACCTGAAGAGCATCTTGAATAAAATGAGTTAGAGGAGAATTGTAAAGTAGTTTTATGACGTGAATCTGAATATCACATTCCTTTTCCCCAGAGATGCAACTAAATGCAAGAAAACACGAAGAACCTCCGACCAGTCGTTACGTCATACTAGGATCTTTCGGCCGCCAGGTGCATGTCACTTGTGTGGGCAGCGCGTGCAATTGCAAACTTGCCAGGTACATTCCTCTGCAATGACACCAATCGTGACGTCTATTTTTTAAACATTTTTGAAAGTACCATGAAGAGCGCGTGCATAGCTTTGATATGCGCCGAAAATGGGCGAAAGCGGAGATCCCGAAAACTCCTAATATGACGTCACACTCAGAGAAGTAAAGGCTTCAGCGATATTTTTACAATGATTTTCTGCAGTCTCCGTGCGCCAAATTTAAAAACAATCTCGATATTCCTGATCCTGGACACCAAATGAAGACGACTCCAGTTTTCCCTCAAATAAAGAACCGGCTCTAGTTTTGCCTTCAGTAAAGTCACATCAACCCCAAGACGGATGTCGAGACTACTACATCGCATTTGCAGGTAAGAAAAAATAATTCAAGCCTTACTTGATTGTGTCCAGGAACGTCTTGCGATCATTGATCTCATCGGGAATGCGGCTAAGGACTTTCTTTAGGTATGAAGCCCTGCGGTTGAACTCCTGGAATGCATCCTCTGTCCTGGCACACTTGAGGTCTGAGCAAAAACACAAGAAAATTAAAATTTCTTAGTGTTATGACCCACACTGATTTTTAATTTGTCAAAGTAAATTCACACTTTTCCCATAATTAAAACAACCAAGGAGTTTGCAAACTTGGTTGTCAATGACGCACAAAGGATGGAGATAGGTGGAAGCATTTGGCTTATAGTTGTAGATCAATGCATAGCTCGGCTGTGCTTAAAACAATGCAAAAAAGAAAAGAAAAAAAGTTGCCTTTCAGCTAGATTGAGAACTAATGGGTTAAACATGCTGTAAATCCCCAAAACTTCTCATTTCTTAGAATATATGTGAGGAGTAGAAAAAAAGGGGTGATCAACTCACCCTCATTATCAGTGATGGAACCCTGGAGTTTGAGCAGGCTCTCGGTGACGTTAACCGACAGATCTGTTTCCTTGATGAGGCCCATGACGAGGTCGTACAGAAAACCCGGGTGGGACAGCTCGATCTTCCGAGAAAAGAAGTAACGGGGAAAACGCTGAATCGCGGTGCGGCTCAGCAAAAGTCGCCCCCGATGGAGCGCGCAGAATTTAGGTCAGCGAAACTGCGGCGGAAAAAAAAAAATGTCCGCACATCCTCACCTTTGACACTGCCGCCTTTAGTGTCTGGGCAGCGCACATATCTTTTCGCTCCATCTACAAAACAAGAGAGTCGAAATCAAACGCTTGGCCCCGTGTCGGATGTGTGCTCAGGTTCTCAGCAAGTCGTCTTTACAGGAGGGAAGTCCCGATAAGAGATCCTTGCATGGGGAACGGTTTTATCGAACGGTAAACGGAAATTTCCGGTAGCTTTTTGCCACCGGAGAAACTAAACTTAACCCGTCGTCCCACATATATGAAATGAGCGTGAAACACCACTAAACAAGACACATATGCTGGTTTTCGGAGACCAAATTGAAGATTGTTCGGTGTGACAACTACGTCACTAAGGTGGTGTTTACTAGCTGTCGCTGAAGGCTATGCGCCGACGATATGAATGAAGCACGTAACGACCTAACGCGTGAAAAATGTTAAATTTCTCGCATTGTACGAACAAAACCGAAAGCAGTGATCAAACACTGCTCAGCAATACAAAGTACCGCGATCGGTCAGGAATTCTACCCACATCCACAGCTTCGAGCCCTACGCAACCGTATGTCAAGAACGATGCACTCACCTTATCCAATATGGGGCGAATTAACACTGGGAGCACGAGCGAAGTTACGGGAGATTCTTCTCCCATTGTCATGCTTCAAATGTTTGGGGGGGATATGAGACCGACAACGCGAAATCGAGGACGATCAGAATCAGCTGAAGAGCTACGCCACTGCCGCCCCAGCGATGAACATCGGCAGCCACTTGGCACTTTCCCCGGACGGCCACCGCACGTCGCACCGGTCGGTACTACATTTTTTTCCCTTTTTTGTTCTTTACTGACTTTAAACTTTATTGGCATACAGCTTAAGCCAGAGTTCTTCAGTGCTTCTCCTTGGCTTCTCTACGGAAGACACAAATCGTTGCAGAGAGTTGTCGTGCTAGGTTACGAAGAAAACAGCTCTTCCTTGTCCCTTTTGCAAGGATGTCCGCACAGCCGATAAGGGGTAGATGGGAGGATACCACGGCAGCAGGACCTGTTTGACCCGTACGGCTGCCGATGCATTTGGTTTGCGATCACGTAGGGGCGGTTTCCTCCAGGGTGTATCGCACTCCTTGCACCCAGTCTTCAGGGAAACGCGGAAGATCAGTACTCTGAACTCTTCTTTTCGGACAACTTTGCAGCAGGTTTGAAAAGAAAACTAATTAAGGAAAAGTGACTCCCATAAAAATATTTTACGAACAAGCAAAAAATTAATAAAAAAATAAGAATACTACAGTGGGTGACAGGTCAAGAACTAAGTGGAGGCTCCTCTCACCTCTCCACTTTAGTAGAGCGAACGCTGGAGAGGAGGCGACCTCCTCTCCACCGTTCGCTCTGCTGAAGTGGAAAGGGGTGGGAGGAGCTTCTACTTTGTTCTTGACCTGTCACCGACTATAGCGTTTTGATATGCAAGCGAAGTTTCTAAAAACTCAAGGGAAAAAAAATATATTCGTATTTAATTTATCTAGCTCTTACTAACCAATGTTTTCATTATCTTAAATATAAGTGGCACTCAGTTGGTCGGTTGACTTTTTTGCAAACCGTCCCTCCCCGCCCCGACTTTTCATTGAAAGACACTTTAGCTTATGGTCGGCCGCCGCAAAGTGGCACGTACGGGTGAACCAGGTCACTGGACTAGGTGACATCTTTATAAAAAGCTGACGCAGACTGTCGCTGCAAAGCGGTGTGAACCACTGATCTGTGGTGTGAACATAGGGGGGCCAGGTGGGTTAACACGCACCCCAGGAATACGCCATTCTCTAAAATATCAATTAGGTCAAAGGACCGCTATTCGCTAAAACGTCATTCGCTCATTTGATATGGACATCTAGAGAGTTCCCAAGAAAAAAAAAAATGTTTTTCAGCCCAGATAAATAGACTATGCATCGCAGAAAGCTCAAACTTCGTGAGAATCTAAAGCTAGTGGTTGAGGTAGGACACAAAGTTTGAGACAACATTGCCTAAATTAAATATATATATATATATATATATATATATATATATATATATATATATATATATAGTGAACGAAGAGGGGAGAAGGTGATTATTAAATTTATTTCATTAAAGTTAGGGAAAGGGAAAGAGAGCTGGCGAAAAATTGGGGCCAGGAGCGGGGATTGAACCCGCAATCCCCGCTCCTGGCCCAATTTTTCGCCAGCTCTCTTTCCCTTTCCCTAACTTTAATGCAATAAATTTAATAATCACCTACTCCCTTCTTCGTTCACAATATTACTATGGCTGCACTTGTCAATCTTCATTTATTCCCATTATATATATATATATGTATTTTTTTTTTACGAGTTGACGTTTACTTCAGCCAAACATTGTTAAGACAAGAAATATTGTGGACGCTCAGATTTATAGCAGTGAAAAACACCTGTCAGCAAGAGCATATTGTTTTCTCTCTTGCTTACCAGTTTGTTTCACTAAAATAAATGCTTTACTCCATTTCCCAATAACTTGGCGAACTGTGGAGGCTAAGGCCCCGCTACCCAACAAGAGCGTTGGAGTGAAGGCACATGACCCGACGTCACAGGAGCACTTGTCACTATGCCCGGAGGAACCGATTGTCGTCTGCTAGCCAAGAGTCGTCTGCTCCAAAACCAACCAACCTCGTATGAACGTCCACCGCTGCAACATTTCAGTCTGCTAGAATAGCGAGAATACGGAACAGTTCATGAAACAACCGTACACTCAATTTAGCCAGGAATCTATGACGGCTGCTAATGCCAGGGCACAGTGCAATGTTTTGAGTGGAAACGGCCGATTACATGGCTGCGATCACCACTGGCCACAGTGCTACAAGGAGAAAAAAAGCGACAGCAGATACAGATGTGGTGTCAGTTTTTTGGTTTAAATATAATTGAAACTCATAAATTTGTGATTATTTTTATCTTCTCGTTAGAGATGGACTCGCACAAGTTCAATTGTCATTAAAAGAAAAAGACATGGAGTGTTACAACGTGTCTTCCCTTGGCGCTTTAATTGGGTTGCAGGGGCCGCAGCCTCCACAGTTCACCAAGTTATTGTCATAGTCATAAGGTAATATTTTGATTTGACAAACATTAGCTCAAAAAGTTAGTTTTTTCCTAATTATCTTTTTATCCAGACAATGTCATGTTCTCAAACTTTCTATCCCAACCAAAAGCATCATATTCTCAGCTTGAGCATTCTCCAATGCAGTTTATTTAACCGGGCCGCAAAACACTGATGTCTTTTCTCGAAAACTCCTTGTACATTTAATGGCCAGTTCATCACATTACTTCTTAAAGGGAAGATGGGGCACATCTGCATTCCAGTAAAAACACTTGAATTGTGTTCATCCGGCCTTTAGAATAACAGATATCACAATTATGTTTCAATGCGATGCGCCAGAGAGCCATCAGAGCAACTTCAAAATAGGGCTGAAGCTCCGCCTCCCTAGCCTTGGGCAGCCAAAAAATCCGTCGATGTCACATACAGCGACTGTCTTTCGCGTTTAACAATACTTGCGCAGCAAATGATTTGAGTATTCGGGTTCACGGGTTAAAAATGCATCAGAATTAACTTCTATTTATAACTCATTTTTTTCAAGAACCTCCTTAGCTTCCCTTTAACCCACACCACATGCGAGTCACTCAACAACTATAGTCACCATTGTTCGAAAACGAAAAAAAAAAAAAAGGCTTTTATTTCGGAAAATAGTTTTCAAAAAAGTATCACCAGAAAGCACAAGAATTTATACAGCACACGTGGCAACATGTGAACAGAGGTGTGTATATATATAAGTGTACATTTTCCAGCCTTTAATGTCAAAATTGGACATCCCTTGGGTCCCTACTGCTCCGGGTAAGCAGCAGGCTCATCTTCGTGGTCATTCTTGAAAAGGTTTCAGCCAAACCGAATACTCTGGATGATTTGGAAGATTGCTGAAACAGGAAACAAGAATGCGAGCTGAAACACACCCTGCACAAAAAGTGTACACACAAATTGGCAAATGACCAAGGAAAACATTCAAGTGAAAAGAAAAGTCACTCGATGAATTCAACAACGAGAGACCAACGAGATATAAATGACATCTGGAGATCCCCTCTTGCTGCTTTCGCTCGTTAAATGCACAATGAAAATCGCAGATCAATCTTGCTGAAATAATTTATTGCCCACTTAAAAGTCAAGCTCGCAACCTGAACATATAACTACTACATCGAAAAGAATACTGGTATCCAAGTTTTATGTAGTACGGTCAACGTAACAGCTGCGTATGTGGCATTCTTGAAAATGTATTATTTACTTGTGTTGTAACATCCCCAACACTCATTCAAGGGTCCGATTGCTGTCAAAGGCTGCGACCACAAAACGTAACCTGAACAATCAGAACTGATATCAAATTCAAAAGTTGATTTTCGGAATCTATAATTCAACAGAAGACACCACAGTTCCTAAAAAAAAAAAGGTTCATATGTCATGGCTTGCACATGACATGCTGGTGGCTATTCCAACTTGTTCCAGCTGAGAGAAACAAATTTGGTGGTGCGTAATGAATGCTGCAGATGGTTTGGACCCAGCAGCAAGGACACCGTAATGGTCATTGATGCGACATCAATGACCAATGCAAGCCATATATCATGGCAAGAAAACTGCTTTAGAAAGTTTGTTGTGTAATAAATTCAGCATGTGAAGATATGTTGCCTTTGATCTTGCATTGTAAGTAAGCTAAGTAAAATTAGTCCGGCATTTTCGGTTTTCATATTTTCGAAATTTGGCATAGTTCTTTTAGTTTTCATCTAAAAAAAAATGAAAACCGTTTACAACTCCCTGTAACGACGAATTAGAGCGCAGCTCTTGAGGAGGAGGAGGAAAGGGTACTGAGGGGGGGTCATGTGACCTCGGGGAGGGGGGGTCACATGATTTCGGGGGTGTCGCAGGGTTGCATGCAAGCTGGCGACTCCGGTTGGTTGCATGCAACTTGGACTAAATGCAACCCGAGTTGCATGCAACACTTGTTTACGTCGACGGCGACGCCGCTCAAGCCGGAAACGGGCGCCTAAGAGCTGCGCTCTAAAAGTCAATTCTGGTCTTCGTTTTTGTGAATATTTATACATATTGAAGTTCCCCATTTCCATTTCTTTCTGTAATATGGGAATCTCCGTTCAACCCAACACTATATATGGTCTTTGGCTTGCACTTTAAAAGCACTGGGCGAGTATTAACGAACTGCTGCGTTTAGGAGCAGCAGTTTGTACTGCAGTTATATGGAGTTTGCAACTCCAATATGAAAGGGTGATAACCCAGAAACTATACAAATGGGCCTGAAATGCACTTTTTACAGTAGCGTGTAAAATTTGGATTGCAATTATTTCATATAATATAAAATGCTCTTTTCTGTTTATAACTGCCACTTTCAGAAACATCCTCTCACTATTTACCATGACCGTTCCATGCTTTTTATCCGTACCAGTGAGTTTACAAATGAAACTGGCGACCTGCCGGGGAGAACTACAAAATGTCCCCGCAAAATATTTACACGGTTTTTTTCACCACAAAAATAAACTATACATCGCAGAACATCCAATAGTCCTCCCAAATATAGCGCTAGCAGTCCCAAACCAGACGCCAAAGTTTCAGAATGAACCGCTACCTCAAAAAAAGTTATAAGCGATTTTCTGAAAATTTCAATGGGAAAATGGGGCCTGTGTTTGGTAACTGCCACCATTCAACTCCATGTGTTTGAAAGCACCGTCGGTCACCATTTTCCCATTGAAACTTTTAGAACTTTGGCATGTGGTTCGGGACCGCAAGCGCAACATCTGGGCGGAGAATGAGCATTCGGCAATTCATATTTAATTTTTGTTGTGAAAAGAAAAAACTTGTCATTTCTAGGGGGCTACCTTGTACTTATTGCAAAAACTGGTCATTCAGGCAAATGCCAATCAACAGCCGGTACAATGTTTGAAAGCATTGCATGCTTCATGTTCTCACAAAACTCTGGTTGAAAAGCTGAAATATTGCCACTGGCTCAGATAAAACTTTAAGAAATGCCCTCATACATTGAGAAGTTGTGGGATATTTCAGACAACTAATGAAATCCCCATCTTTAAAAGACAGTGAGCTTTGCATGCAAAACCCAGTTACAAAGGAAAACAAAAATTTATCTCTCTAAAGAGCGTTGAACTCCCTAAGCTGTCAGCACTCAGCAAAACATAGGGCAATCCCAAAAATGGCTGACAACTCGATAAGTAAATATGTTGCAAGGTCAGACGATGACAACCTCCACCCCCTAACTAAACGTCCTTCAGTTATGCCATTTGCCTAAAAAAATACTGTAAACTAAAATTTCGCAAAAACCTAATTTTCGCAGATTTCGCGAATCGCCTACAATTCGCGAAAAATACATCCCCGAACAATTAGGGCAATATGCGAACGCTACGGAAGCTACACTCGATTCGCGAAAACTGTAAACCGCAAATAATTTCAAACTTTCAGCTTTGGCCTGATTCGCGAAAATTTGAGCCCACAAAAATCAAGTCGTCTACAGTATATAAAAAAAACAAAAAAACTATCAATTAAAATCTTATTTTGGAAAGTTAATTTGGCTTATATTTATCGTTTTTTATTGTCTGAAACCGAAAACACTAATCCCTGACATAAGCAATCTATCTCATGCCGATTCTACTAAAATCACATTCAGTGCACTTTCACACATAAAACAACAACGAAAAATATGCAGAGGTGTGAGTACACTGTCCGCATCTAACACCTTTTCTTTGTTGCGACTTATGGATAACGAGCAGGATGACTCGTGGAAAGGACAGTTCGCCCTTTAGCAGCATTTGTTACGGAACTTTCAACGCCAGCTCCGCAGAGGTCAACGTTAAAACGTCAGAGTCGGCAACACACAGACGTACAGTATGGGGCTGCCAGATTGAATCCGCTGCAACACTGTGCAACGAAATCTTACCAGAGCCACAGACAACGAAGATGAAGAATGCGAGCAACCATGGTCCAACGGGGTACTTTTCGTCTTGAGGTTTCTGCAACAAGCCAGAACAAAATGTCGCGGAGTCACACTTTGCTCGCGAACAAAACGTCGCGCGACGCGGTAATCGGGGAACCTTGGAGGGGAAAACACGACAGTCCGCAGTTTGACGTGAAGCTGACAGCTGTTCGTTCTCATCACGGAAATAACGCTCGGGGAGAGGGGGAGCGCGACACGACGACTGAAACGGAAACAGCGAATGCGTGTACACCTGTTGGAAATACGACGGATCGTGTTCGGGGGTCTTTAATTGTAATTTACATAACTGATAACTTTTTCTTTTCTTTTTCTAGCTTATTGTTTGTTTATCGCTTACGAGGATCTGACACGCGTCACTTTAGTGAGACGAATTTAAGCGACTCACGAGTTTGCCCAACGTTACAACACCGGCGTCATTAAAACTGGCTACTATAGAAAAACAAAAAGAAACACTGAAAATAAAAACTGTGGACTACGCTTCAACAACCAACCGACGATCATGTCTAACAAATTTAGGCACCTTTTGAACCTTCCGATGCAACATGCAAGACGCTAGTTTTAACGTTGATTGGCTGCCTAGAAAAAAAAAAAAAACCCCACAAAAACAGCACTGCAACGACGCTTAGGAAAGTTATCAGTTGGGATCGGGCACAGATACCAAAAGTTGGGCAAGCACCATCTGCACGTCGCCGAAGCTCGAAACAGCGACAAGTACGCCGACGTTCGCGACAAACCTTAGTGACAGATCGACCTAGATTCCCGCAAAGGACCCGACGAACCGGGAAATAGCGCAGAAAACTACGTGCGCAACACGGCATGAAAACATCGGACATGGCTCACGTAGTACTCATCCGTATCACCAGCTCTTCGGCATGAAGGGTACGGACATGGAGAGCGAACTTACGGTGGTCTTGGGAACGTTTCCTCGTAGTACCACGTTTTTACTGGCTTTCTCGTTGGCCATCCGCATTCTTTGGCTGTTGACCATGGTGAAAGCCTGTGTGGTTTAATTGGGTTGGCGAACCACAATTTGCCACTCAAGATCAACAGCGGAAGAATGACGTATGTGGCAGTGGCGCTTTATATAGTGCTCTGACGTCTGTTTGCTGTATCAAGGCGCCTTCTGCGAAATAGTTCCTCTGAACACTGTTCATTTCGTCGAGTAGACTATGATGAGAGAATTCTTATGAGTTATTATTGTATTTAATTCGTGTCGGATCGACGAACGTTGCAATAAACCGAGACCAAAAGCATTAAAAGTGAATGAGGGTACACGCCATCAACCTGATACGGCCGGTGTCGGACAACGTGGCATTTGAAGCGGCCACCGCGACACCAAAAATCCCCCAAAAATATTTCGTCCATGCGAACGTTTACAAAACAAATGCTGCTTGAACTGAAATAAAACAATACGTTTTGTCTTGTGTAGACAACTGCCGAGCAGCCTTGTGTTTTGTGATGTGTCTATATTTTGCAGTTTTTTTACGAATGAAAAAAATTAAGCTGTTGGCTAAATTTAGCGGGCAAAACAGCCCAGTCTGGCACTTAAATATTCCCGCGCGATTTCTTTCAGCGCTTGTGCAAACCGTGTAAACAACAACCTTTCTTCGCTGGACCTTCGAGATCTCTCTCACAATGACAAGGTTTACTATTTTAAAAATATTTTTAGGCCGGTAGGAATTCGGTAAAGCCTTAATGTCCACCACCGCAGGCGAGGCCGAGTGTCGTCTGCTAGGATCCCCGCCGGCAGCCCGCATTCGAGACCGACGTGCTTTGTTTGTGTAATTCACATTTTGTACCATCGTTTTTATTTTTTGAATGCAGAACAGAAGAGGACGTCCAGAAGTACCTGGAGCGAGCAAAACTGGAAGCAGATGACTTGATGCCCCTTACCCAATCACTTTACTTCTCGGACGATTCCAGCGATGACCTCATATTGATGGAAGTCGGCACCGACATGCTGAGGAGCTTGAAGGATGGTGAAAAGTCAGTTTTCGATTTACTTTTAACTTTATCAAGTTGTATACGAGCCGCACAAAGATTCAACTCAAAGGATATGCTTTGACACCGCCTCGATCTCAGTCATGCTTCATAATTAAATGCCTGGTCACACGGCGGCGCATGAGCAGATACTTCACGGGAACTTCGTTTCTGCGCATGCGCAGTGCCCATACATTGTTTGGGAAAACGCGGATTTGTTTGTAAAAAGTACTGCGCTGTCAAAATTTTTCTACAGTAAGATGCCGCAGACGCCCATTGGGGCCAGCTCTTGCTCTCTAAACATACACAGAACACAATGGACCTTTTCCGAGAAGCGTTCTGCGCACGCGCGAGCGCCCGATGCCAAGCGGCGGAATTGTCGGAACAAAAAAATCGAGGAAATTCGGAAGGAGGCTGTATAGACCAACTCAACTCTCTGACGTTACACCGCTGCGGTGGCGCTGCTGTCGGCACTAGGCATGCGCAGGTTATTCGCCTAGGCCGAATCTGGTTTCTGCGCGCGCGCAGTGTCCTCGCCTGGTGGGCAATCGCGGGCTTGTTTATAAACAATGTGTTGGTCGATATCAGTGAGTAGAACACGTAACTACAGCATATATATAATTGTGTTACACAAAAAAAGAACGTCGACGGAAAGGAAAACACGACGTTTGGGTGGACGCCACGGATGCCCCTTTTTAAGGTCGCGTTGGGCAGGCGGGGCAGGCGCCACTGCTCAGAGAGCGAAGAAACTGGTAGCGTAGCTCCCATTATCGATTGGTAGCGCAGGTAGGTCACTTCCTCGACCCTTAGTTTGTGCAGCCACCGCCTGGTGCCGTCGGTATGTGGAAAAGGTCCATTGCAAACACACATAATTGTTTTTATGTTATCTGTTGTTGTATGTTTTTTCCACTTTACTGCGACGTGCATCTTTCCAAAAAGCTTTCTTTTTTTTTGTCTCTGCCCAACAGGCTTGTTTTCAGAGGACAAGAGGATGACGCTGTGGTAGCTTGCACGAGCGAACATACATTTGAGGTACGCGAAGCCGACATCTCCAACTCGCTGCTTCTGGTAGCAGACCTTGGCCTGCCGACCGACATCACGTCAAACAATGATGGGACCAGGCAAATTTGCTCTCGTCAGGTAGGTGCTTAGACTGTTCGCAAGTTTGTGCCACTCCTATAAACGTCCTCCCCGGTGCTTACTGTTCATATTTCCGTACGGTGCTCCCAGCCTCTCACCTGCACAGAACCCCTTATAGTAGGTCTTTCGAATAGTCCGACTGCAGTATGTGACCATGAGATCTTTGTGTGGAAAGCCAAATTTTCAAGTTGTTTTCTTCAAAATACCAGGGAAGCTTGTTGAAGAATGCTATTGCCCATGCAAGCGCTACATTTTTTCTAGTTACTTAAAAACAAAGAGAGTCGTACAAGAAAAAGCTATTAATATCGAAGCTTCTGTTGGTTCATAATTCATAAAAGTTGGTTCATGACTCGTAAAATTAAAAGCGCCAACGATAGACAAGGACAATAAAAAAGGCGAACAGGACGAGCTCTCAACTGAACATTTATTGAAAAATAGCTAAAGCAAACAACCACCGATGAAAAACACACGGAATCACCTCATGACGTCACCCACCATGTGTCAATAAAATCAACCTCTTTTTGATGCAGAAAAGTTGACGGCTAGCTGATGCAGCTTTCAGCACCCTCTTTCTAGCACGCACTCCTAGCACTTCCCTCACTTTTTTAAGGGCCCTCCCCACAATCGTGGTATCTTGAAAGTTGGCTTGGCACAAAAAATATCTGCAATGAAAGATCATGCTTGTGCATCCTCTCATTTACGCACCGTCCTGCCTGGCCGACGTACACCCGACTGCATGTCGGCGGTATTATGTACACCACAGCCACGTTACGTACCGTGGATCTTTTGTCATGATTGAAGGTGCATAAGTGTGCATTGTTTCTTTTTTCTTTGCGTGGCGCCGAAAACACAAGCGGCACATCGAATCTTTTTGCCGTACTTAAAAAAAGGTGGCAAAAAGGTTTGATGTGCCGCTTGTGTTTTCGGCGTTCCCACTCTGTCAGTGGCGATAGCTCTGCTACATTCAGTCGCCGGACTAAAGGATCTTTCTTACCCGCAGGTTTCTCGTTCGTTCCACGATTACCTGGAGCTGAGGCCCTGCTGTCCACGCCTGAGAAAGCTGGTGCAGCTCTTGCGGGAACGCCCTTACAGGGGCTCGGAATACGAAGACAACGACAACCGCTCGAAGGTACGCCTTTCCCCATCCCATAATTGTAGATCTATACTTATTCAAAGTCTGGCAATTGGAACCCCTTCTGCGCAATACCTCGACATACCCACAACATAGTCGTCCAGTTCAAAGCCCGTCGATAAAATTTCACGGTACTTACAAGTACTGACGCCCGTTGCTGTGGAAACGTGCAAGGTATGTGCAACGAGCGAATGCTGTGCCTTCATTTGCTTTCAAGGGCTGCCCGATTCACGCACTTCATGCATTGGTGCATTTTTCGCTGCTTATAAGACGAAATCAAACATATATAGGGGGATTTAATCCCGTCATCCTTGGGAACGGACAGTTTCAGGGTACCTCGATCGCGCAACAAGGTCGACTCTTTGAAAGACCGGGGCATTGACAAACCCGCGGCATATTAGGCCTCTAGGTATACACCTGTCCAGCGTTATCGGCCTGAGTGCGAAATGTGTAGTCGCTGTGCTATGGACAGACGCATGTCTGATCCTGAGCTTTCTTGGAATGCGCTCCCCAGCCCAGTAGACAAGGACGGTGTTCTGCAAAAGCTGATCTTTAGAATGGTCTACACCGTCCAGGGTCCTCTCAGGTCAAGTTTAGCTCCATCGTGACGGATTTATAGAACTTTGTGCTGGGCCACACTTAGGTAGTGCTTGCGTCTACGGCTAGATCCAGTCTTTTACACTGTGATCGCCCGATACAAAGCACTAAGCTGCCACAATCCAATTCAATCTGATCCAATCCTAGTCTGATTTGACAGTCAATTGGGCCCAAGCTAGCTTCGGAGTAAGATTTCATCAGTGTGGGTCGATTTTCAAAATTGCGATCCGAGCAGGATTTTGAGGCGCTTTTGTCATGCTCGTAAAAACTCAAACCTGCGTTCCAGTACACGTTCGGCGACATTCTGGACGAAGTACAGGCGAGCGAGGCCGAGCTGAGACAGGCCATCGAGGAACTCCCCGTCGTGGAGATCGACGGTAAGAAACCGCCGAATTATCTCTGTATTTTTCTTCGCCGTAAGATGGACTGCAGCAGAAGCGGCGCGTCGTCCCAGCCAATCCAGTGCCGTGAAGGTATCGCACAACTATGTGCCTCAAGGGTCGTTGCGCCCCTCCCAAAGGTTATGGGATACTCACGTGGCATTGGATGGACTTCAGTGGTTCGTATAGCATAGCTAAATGTGCTGCAAAGTTCTACAGAACAAATGCACAGTTCTGTAGAACCTGAGTAACGGTTGATAGTGGAGCTTGTTGGTACATACTTGTATATATATTTGACAGCTTGAACCAGGGGAAGATATAGAGAAATTGAGACAGGAGAGAATAGACAGCTGACTACCAACGATTATTTAGTGGGAACTTCTTTTTCCTTGCGTGTTTACAGACACCAACAAAAATTATTACATATTAAAACCTATTATGCTAATATAATAATGCATGTGTATGTTTACAAAATTTTCACATTACCTAAACCTAAACTAATATTTTAAATTCACCCGCCACAAGCTCATACTGCCATTTTCTGGACCGTGACGCACCGTAGATATTGTCTCTCCTTTTTGTGAATAGTGATGGACGGGGTGCTGACGCACCCACTCGCTTGTTCTTCGATAGCAAGCGCCTCGAGCATCTCGCGCGCATGAGTATTGTTATTACTGGCTAGGATGGTTATGTCCTTGAACGCTGCACTGCAGTGGCAAGTCCTGCAATGAGCTGCAAGATGCCCTGCCGACGTTCCTTTAAGGGATGCTGCGTGCTCGCGGGCTCTGTCGTTAATGCATCGGCCCGTCTGGCCGATGTAGCACTTCCCGCATGAAAGGGGAATGTTTTAAACCACTCCTGTCATGCATGGTACATATTGTGTTCTGTGGGCAATGTCGCACGTTTTTTCTTTGCCTGTTCTGTTGTTAACTCGTCTGCACATGGAGTACGCTTTGTTAGGCGCGGAGCATACTACTTGGATCTCATTCCTCGCGGCGATCTTTTTCAATTTGTGCGTAATCCCGTGAACTTTGCAGTGCAGCAGATTTAGCTATGTACAACCAACTAGTCCAAGCTTTATTGATCGTATAGCATCTTCCGCGGTCCATCATATTGTGAAACAAAGTACAGTTCCTGACAAATTCTGCTTTGCCTGAGCATTTCTTTTTCTCTTTCTGGTTTCACCGCCGTCTGCCACTCAGGCTTCTACCGGCTCCTGGAGCTGGAGTACCACTTCCGAGTGCAGAACTTCATCGTCAACTACATCGAGGCGGAGTCCCTTCCAATGAGCCGCATTCCGGCCGGGGAAGTTGTGGACAAGGTCTCGGAGTTGGAACCCAGGTCAGTTGTTTGTTTTCCTCCACTTGCACTTGCAGTGCAAGTGGAAGAACCTTAGCGATGTGTTCCAAGTACATTGTACCCTCATTAATTCAAACTCCAGGAAGCCACGAATTCTGTTTGAATTATTAAAAGTTTGAATTATCACAAGTTCATCTAAATATGTTACGAGATAATTTACGAATTGCTATATGGATGGCTAGAGATACAAAACAGATATTTGATGATTATTTCTACACAGACCTACTAATCATAAGCTCGTGTGCCACTCATGAAACATTAGTTAAATTTATGACGAGTTTATTCATCCCTCAAAAACATTGTTTATCGTGGACTGTTTAGACAGGACATGACACCTCACAACAAAATTAAGTTTGTTCACCCTGCAAAAAAGTTGTCTATTGTGAACTATTAAGCAGAGTACACATGAGCGATGGAAACGGGCATCGCACGGCAGTTTCTATAGCAACCTGCACGGACGCTGTGACGTGGACCTATGCCATGCCACCACGCCACAGTGTCCGCGCAAGTTGCTATGAAAAACCGCCACTCGGCGCCCATTTTTGTTGCTCATGTGTCCTCTGTTTCAGAGTCGTATATAGAGAGAGTTTAGCCATTCATTGGGAAAGGGAGTAAATCTCGGTGACTAAAAATATGGTGCACGTGATGTTTCGATCACGGTCATGCAAAATCATTGTGGAAGATCTATAAAGATATAGAAGGTATAAAAAGTGTGCGCACTAGCAAAACGATTGACGTAATCTGTGTGCCAGGCGCCGAGGGCCGGGAATCTGCCGTCCGAGCGGTCAGAACCCGTCCGAGCAAAAGAGAGTTTGAGCGGCACATTCGTTTCTCACATCTTTTTGCATGATCATAATTGAAACATCACGTGCACCATATTTTCAACCATGAAGAGTAACTACATTTTATTCTTAGGCGCTTTTTAAATCTGTTTTTCGCTACCACCACTAGGGGATTACTTTCTTTCGGCTTCTGGTTAGCCAAGAGATGTTCCCTTTACCTGCATCTGGTGCGCGCCTTGGCTCTGCCCGCTCCTCCTATTGACCAAACTCTCTCCATATACGGCTTTTCTCTGCTTTAGCCCCGTTCAGCGCAATTCTTACCTAGCACCAGTGCACTGCAGGAAAGCAACCTCCACAAGTGTTGCTTCTCTGCAGTGCACCGGTGCTCTGCAAGATGCGTGCTCAATGGGGCCGCGAGAACAAAAAGTGTAAATTACACGAAAACACTGCTCGATTTAATCGGCTTATGAATACATTTAAAACATAGCGGGACAACCCAAATATTGAAATTTGTTTGAATTATCCAAAAGTTTGAAATATCCGAGTTCGAATTATCGCGAGCCTACTGTATAAGAGATACATTCTGGGAGCTCCAATTCTTTTTATATCTTTCTGCTTTCGAGGCAACTTCTTTTCTTCCAATCGTCGAGACTAGGTATACAACTTAATATCATTATGATCAGAACAATTTTGTTCCTACATATCCCAATTTAGCTTGAGAAGCAGCCTATAATCAATGCTCATGCTGTTTGTTTCACACTTTAATTTTGTGAATGTAGCACACAGCAGATCCTACTAACCAAGTTATATTCCTATTCTAAACAAGTAATTGTCCGCGGTCGATTAAACAGTTGGTGAAGGATTTTACTGATGGTGCCGTGCATCTATTCGGACACGAGGCAAATATGTGCGTGACGCACCCACAGTCTAAATATTCGGAAAAAGCAGTTCAGCCCCCACAAAGTATAGACAGTCATTATGTTTCAAAACAATGCGGAACTGCCTTGCATGTCCCTTTATCTGCTATATTTCGAGGGACATACTAAATACCAATCTTGTTTACAGGGAAATTGTGGCCGAAGTATTTCGGCGCTGCACGACGCCAAACGAAGGTGACTGAGCTGCACACATTGCTACGAAGGTTGAGTCCTCCAGCCGTACCGAGCACACGTGCTTCAATTGCAGGTGACGAGTTCTACAGCCTGAACTACGACGTCATCTGCAGGACCACGGCCGAGACGCTCCTGCGCACCGTTGGCAAAGTGAGTTGCGAACAATTTGGTATTTACACTTGACCTACAGAGCACTAAAAGGAAGCGTACACAAGCAGAGTGCAGCTTCCACACGTTTGTGCGCTTGCCTCGGCACTGCTTCCTCTCAATGCTGTCCCAGATAATGTCCTAATGTCTAGCATTGCAGTCAAGGCCCCAGTCAGTCGCGATTTGGAATGACGAAAGAAACTACTAAGGAGAAATTTATGCGGTGTCAGCCCATTGATGTCACCCTCGGGTTGTACGCAGCTCCTTGCCGCAAACTAGGTCACATCTGGAGGCACAACAATGGTACTCCAGCCGGGGTGGTGGCGGGATTTTGATTGGTTTCTTTTATATTTATTTATTTATTTTAACCCTGAAGGCCCTTTCGGGCATTACATAAGGGGAATGTGATAAAAAGATTCGTGCAATTGAACCAAGTGGCAATGAAAAAGAGAAAAAATAAAGGTATGAAGCATAAATTGAAGGTAGAAAGAATTTGGCGTGATTGTGGCCTTGAAACATAAGATAGAAAAAAGATGGTGCACAATAAAAACATGTACATCAGAAACAAGACATTGACAGCAACAAATATTGCAGGGATACGAGACTATTCAAGGTTTAACCTGTTTAGTGCAAAGACAAAGGACTGATGGTCACTAATGGAGGCAATTTCTCTGGGGAGGCTGTTCCAGTCCGATATAGCGAGGAGTAGTGGAGAGTTTTTAAACATGTTGGTTCGTGCAAATATGGGGTTCATTTTGAAAGGGTGATCTAAGCGGGACAATATACGGTGTGCCGGTAGTAGGAAAGAGTCCCTAAAAGGCAAGGGACTGTAAGAAAGTTTATGAATAAATGGACAAGTGAAGTCAAAGTTTTAAAGTGCTTACACTTGTGAATTGAGAGTAGTCGCAAGCTATAAACCTAGCAGCTTTGTTTTGAATAGATTCAATCTTATCTGCCAGATATGTTTGATGAGGGTGTCAGATGATAGATGCATACTCAAGTTGAGATCTGACAAGGGCAGTGTAGGCAAGACGTTTTGTATCTGAGTTTGCTTGGAACAGTGTTCATTTGAGAAAGCCAAGAGTTTGCGATGCCTTGTTAGCAATGTGTTCAATGTCAAGGATCCTTGTTAAGTTCGGTGAGAGATGAATGCCAAGATATTTAAAGGATGAGACATTTTCAACGGCGTCACTATCAGTGAAGTACGTGTGAAGGGTGAGATGTTGTTTTGAGGTGAAGGTCACAGCTTTTCTTTTCTGTGTATTTATTTTCATCAAGCCACGTGTCACACCAGTTTGAAACTGTGTCTAAGCCACCTTGTAAAATTGTACAATCGTGAGCGTCCATAACGGGACGGTAGACGACGCAATCGTCCGCGAATAGACGAGCGCAAGAGTTGATGTTAGAGTGGAGATCATTGATGTACATAACAAAAGTACAGGATTCAGTACAGACCCCTGCGGGACACCTGACATCATGGGGAGAGGGGAGGAGAGGCGTTTGCCAATCACAACTGATTGGTGTCTGTTAGTCAAAAAGTTGCTACCAAAAGTTTACAGTAGTAAATGCCAGTGAATCGAGGCAGGTACAAAATGTTTGAAGACAAAATCCGCTCCTACATAGCTCGCGGAAAACCAATCGTTGCGAGTCAAGGATGCCGCACCGATCACACCCGGACCCGGCGACGCAATCGTGGCCGGGATTCCGAGCGTGCGACGTCGTGCTTGGAATTCCGATGCAGGTTCCTGGGCCTCCTTCCAAAGATTGCAATGACCGACTCTCACTCTCACTACGCTCGAGTAGATGTGGAATAAACTGAACGGTGCATGCGACGCGCTTGTTCCAGTTCAACCTGTCCGAGTTCCTCGAAGTCTGGCAGAACAGCGTTCCCGAGGGACTGCGCACGGACATGAGGCAGTTGGAAGTGAGTCGTCTTTTGATCACGACGCGGGTGTTTTCATTGCTCTCTGACGCTCTCCCCAGCTCTTTCGACCCTGTCATTTTCTTGTTTCGCTCGAAAGATACCGGTAAATACCTCGACGTGTCGCAGGGGCTTGCATTGACGGACAACAGTTCCATACCCAAGTCGATCTACCTGTTCGACAAGTGGGACCTGCCGGAAGACGCGACGGAAAGGTGCGCGCATCTCCATTGCTACGGTGCCTGGGACGTGTCTTGGACCGGCGCATTTACCGCATCCTAAAAAGTGGTCTCTCGATCGGGTGAAAGACCACTAAAAACTAGTCTTCCTCCCCACGTCATCGTAGAAATGTTGCATCGTTGGCGGCCGTGATCCTGGCGGTGTTGCAGCGGCTGAAGTGTATGTGTCTGACGTTCGTTCCACCGTAGATCTCTCTCCAGCTTGACAGCCCACGGAAGCTTTGGCAGCCAGGAGTCGGAAGGCCGTGATGACAGCAACACTCGCATTCTCTCCTGTATTTCTTTTTTTTTTTGTCTCAGAACTTTGACGCACAGTTAGGATCGCGACGTCCGACGATGCAACACTCCGGCTTTTCTTTTATTGCAGTTGCTAAGGACCGTGACATCCGACGATGCAACACTCCGGCTTTTCTTTTGACGCACACTGGTTAGGATCGCGACATCTGACGACGCAACACTCCGGCTTTTCTTTTGACGCACAGTTAGGATCGCGACATCCGACGATGCAAAACTCCAGCTTTTCTTTTGACGCACAGTTGTTAGGATCGCGACGTCCGACGAGGCAACGCTCCGGCTTTTCTTTTGACGCACAGCTGTTAGGATTGCGACGCCCGACAACGCAACTCCGGCTTTTCTTTTGACGCACAGTTGGTAGGATCGCGACGTCCGACGACGCAACACTCCGGCTTTTCTGACATCATTTGTTACCCCTTCGGGACCTTTTTGATGCATGGGAGGAATAGGACACTAAAAACACCGGTCGGAAACGGGTTCCAAACACCGCACTATCATCCGTGATGTGCAGACCACGACTCGGCTAGCCCAAGCACCCGATCTTCGACGTCACATCCGCTCTTCTAAAACCAAAGGGCTGCCATCAAAGTATCGGCACAGACTTGCCCAAGTGCGGCACCAACTTCGTCCGTAAAGTTGGGCGTTCGACAACTCGGACGAAAATATACGGCTAGGAAGTGTGACAGTCCATGGCTGTTTCCCAAAGAATTGCTGATTATCATACTCGAAGACTGCCAAAATGCTTCTGCAATTATCACCGACATTTACGGATGTTGGGCTGAAAAATTCTGGTTTTTCGATGTGTACTTTTCACGCAGGTTCGACCATCTGTTTAGAGCCAAGAGGACGTGGGGGTTCGACGAAATACGGCCATACATAGCGTGAGTGGATATTTAAGGAGAGCTGCTGTTGTAGCGAGACATATTTTTTTCGATTGCGCGTGCTCTCCCCCCAATTTTCTAGTATGATAGATCGTCTCTAGTAAAAGGTATGAAGAATTCATCCGCTAGCACGTTTTCATGGTCTTTTGGTAGCAAACTGCGTGCAAGTACAAAATCCAACACAGAAAATAATTTTTAGTTTGGCCGAGATTCCCCGTCTTCTTCTCTGCTCCTCCTCCTTGCCTGAACGCAGTGGGGTTTGGGAGCTAGGGCAATAAGAAATTATTTTAAAACAGTGTATCTTCATTTGCAAGTGCGCTTGTCTCAAATGTTACGGTGATTTATACGTCAAGCAAATCCCTCCCAAGCATTTGAGACTCTAGATATCAGTTGGGTTCTAATCAAGGGCTACAAGACATCTCATTTTGGAGGTGCATTTCTGTTGTCTCGTCATTTGGTCTCCAGTGAAGCCCCGCGTCCCATTTTCGTGGGAATGTGCGCGCATAGTTGCGAAATTGGTGCTAAGCGAATGAAAGAAATCTAAAATAATACATTTTATAAAAATAAACATATACTATAAAAATGTTTCCTCCCGTAGAGAAAACTTGGAGCTTTTTCTGTGGTTCCATATATCAATATGTTTGGTTGGCACAGTTGTTTGTTTGGGCTACTTTTCTATATTACTACCGTAATATCCCAAGATAGCCCACCTATCATCAAATGCCAATCGGGTTAAAATAAGGAGTAAACTAGGGCGAAACAAGTAGGCTAACTTTCGGTGTGTGATCGAAAGTTGAAAAAAAAAAGCTACTAGTTTTAGATTCTGTGACCTGCAAAACTTGCGATTGCGGGGAGGGGCGCTGAACCAGAAAGGACTGTCCCTCACAGGCAGCGATGGTTGCTTATCTCCCATCTTGGCTAAGTAATGCCATTTCTCCCGAGATTGCCATTGGCCAGTGCCTTGCAATTACTAGAAATGGTCCATATTCCGGCATTTTGAAAAAATTGCAAATTGTGCCAAATGCACGGGTGGGTCATCTTTTGGAGGTGGACCAACTCTCGAGATATTAGGGAGTTTTAGTAGATCGTTCCGATACCTCCGATAGCCCCGATAACGATACTATGCATGCACAAGGGAGGCGGCGGTGAAGTATCGGGATATCGTTATCGGAGCCATGGGAACGATCTACTAAAACTTTCTATTAAGGTATATTGGCATGCTTTTGTTTTGTGTAAAAATGAAGAAAGGTGCTTGTGTACTCAAGTAAACAAAGAACTAAGGAAAAAATGACCATTTGTACACTGAATTGAATTGCAGCAGAGCTTGCTTTTTCTTTTGGCCCTGCTCCCGTTCCGCTTAACCACTTACCGCCGATCCCCAGTTTTAACGCAAAATTAGTATAGCACTTTCATGGCGGAGTCCACGAATGACAAGAGTAAGTAAACGGACACAACGGAAAATTTGCTTCAGTCTCAGAGCTCCATTACTTTATACTTCCAGTTGCATCGCAAAACGTGTTCCTCTGGGTTTACAGAGAGTGCACGAACACCTTTTCGGCGCTTATCAAGTACTACATAGACTACTACTATTAGGCTTCGAATTATCATATTATATGCAGTGTTCACCTTACAGCCAAGGACACAATACTGCCACGATACTATGCCAATGTCAAATTTTTCGACGCTATTAAAAGCACAATAAAACCTCCGCAACTCGGGAGACCTCCAGAGGTAGTACGGCCGTGCGAGCACGGACATAACCTGCAACAGAGTTGGGCAACAGGACGCCGTACGCTACCTACAAGCTCCGGTTGCGTGTGGCATTTCTAGATCCACCATACATGGTAGCCAGTCGACTGCAGTTGTGTTATAAGAATGGACCTATGCGAATGCAGACAAAGCACGAACGTAGGCAGTCGCAATGTTTCCTTCGACAAGATCACATCGGCCTCGTTTTTGCAACTCCCAAGGGACCTGTGTGTTGGCGGCCAGAAAACTGACGTGGATGCCCTGCTGATGAAGCACGTCCGTGCCGCAATGCAGAGCGGGGCACGGACGTACACTGCCAAGCGACCTGTCCGATAGAAGTTCTGCTACGACAGAAGCCCCGGCTACACCTCCCATCATCGACGTGTTTGAAGAACAAGCATCGCTCTCGGTCGGTGTTGAGCTGGTGTCAAGCCGAGGGACCGTTCCACACCTTGTTCGCAAATATTGTGTGCTTTAACAGAAATGTGAGCCAACCTCACAATGCTTCCATGTCAAGAACTATACTTTGTTTCACTTCCAAGTCCAGACGCAGCTAACGCTACAAACTGAAGGAACCAATCGTACAGTGTCAAAAGTGCACCAATGAGGTGTTCGTCCTGTTTCTATACATGCTCTATCATTGCTGAACCGATCATGTACAGGGAAGGCTGAGTGAATTGTGCTTTTGACGTTGTTTGATTCGTCCCATCAGCTCGTAGCGTTGGCTACATCTTGACGTAAGGTGAAGTATAGCAACAAATGCACCAACAAACAAAACAGTGCGTGAGCCGAACTGGTTGAATGTTCCTTTTACAGAATTCAGCTTTTAAAATTTACCTGTCCCCATGCCTTTGTCTCTTTTATGCCGTTGTGGTTGTATCGACGATACGACTACCTGGTTTCTGCGTGGTGTTGCGATTTAGTTAATGGCGATGGTGTTGCACGCTTGCAAGGTGCCAGATTTGAATGTTATGTTCAATCTTTCAAAGTGCCTATACTTTTATATTTTTCATTTGTTGTACCTAACATGTACCAACTAGCCCAAGTTTAGTATGCCTTGCTGCTTGTGAAAATGTTTGTTGTCTGGAAACAGCCCAAGATCGAGAGAGAAAAAAAAAAAAAGAAAGTGCCCAACTCCAGCATTTTTTTTTTAAGTTTTTTTTGTGCGAGTTAGTTTCCTTTGGTGGCTTTTGAGGCCAAGTGAGCTTTGGTTGCACAAACACAGCCAAAGCATCACTGAGAAGCTTGCACCAGAGGAGGGCCCATCATATTTTCCTTATCTGTAATCAAACACCTACTCATTTGTGTCGACTACTTTTGCAGTCCCCTAATTGCTTCCTTTGTCTGTGGTAATAAACAAGAATAATATCAAACTGGCATTCAGAAAACAATCGTGTTCTTCACTGTCAATTTTGGAATTTGAGTGTGATTTTGGTTGACATCTCCTTTTCGCAAAGGAACAAAAATGTCCTTCTTTTCACAACCAAAGAAAGTGGGTCAATAAAAATTAGGCACTGGTAATTCACAAAGATGGCCGGCAGTTTTGACTGGTGTTATGTGGTCCCTGTCACAATTACCTACAGTGATTGTACGGAGCGCATTTTCTATCGCCACAGAGACTACCGCAAGATACCAAAGAAGTGCTCACCCCACTTTCACTGAAAACTGGGTTAACCTAGGCATGGGCACTAGTCCTCTCAAATCGGGCGCATCATTTTCAGAATTCCAAGGTTTGGAAAATGTTAATAGTGGGTGCTTTCACAGTATTTTAGGGTAGTACCGAGAGATTTGGGCAAAAGACCGTCACCTCCGAGTCTATGTGAAGAAACAGTTTAACCCAATTCCTGCAAAATGGATTCAGGTCTACCTAAAAACGAAGAACCATACTCATACGGCACGCGTCATGCGCATGCGGCTACACGTCTGGGACAAAGTATGCAAGAAAGAAGCACCACGAATTGGCCGCATCGGTCACACTATCTTTAAACCCTACATGGCGACATTGCAACCTCCCAGTGTCTGTGCTAGATGGTCACATGGATGAGAGACGGTTTTATGTGTTGCACACATCTGTCCACACATTAGGGAAAAAAATACAAGAGGCACCACGAACTGGCTGCATTGATGGCACAATCTTTAAACTTCACGGCGACATTGGGACCTCCAAATCTCTGCGCTAGATGGTCGCACGGATGAAAGGACGTCTCCAGAACATGGCCGAGGCTCGTGTAATCAGTCCCGTGGCACTTCCGTGGTGACGGGGTTCGAAATGCCCTGGGCGGTGGCTGGATTGGGGGCGTCACTTGCCAATGCGCTGCACTATCCAGTCCTGCTGGCAAAGTGGGCAGCGGTTGTTCTGCTTCACCCACAGCGACATGCAACAGTTGTGGAACGAGTGGTTGCACTCTCCCCACACCACTGGAACAACAAATGTGCTCTCGGTTACTTTCTTTCTGTCTCTCCCCCAGCATCATACACAGCCTGTTTCTTTAAGTAAACCAGCAACGAACACCTCTGTAGACTACCAGCAAACTCAATTTCACAATTTTTATGTGTTAACTTTCGTTTACAGCACATACTATGTACTGAAAATTTTTGTTTACTAGTACGAACAAAGCAAGCATATGTTTCTAAATCTGCCCCCAGTGATAGCTTTTTTTCTCTTTTTTCTGTGGCCCATCACTTTTTTATCTGTCATCTTATGGATTAATTTCAGCAAATGCTTGGTATAAGGTTTGAACACCATCATACTTGGCCCAACTGTAACTGCTTTGTCCAAGTGTGAACCCCCCTGTAAAGGATCCATAGAATGGAACACTGCCTTGCAACTGTTGACGCTGCAATAGTTTAACAACTTTAAGCAGTTCAGTTCCCAATGCACCTTCAATAGAACAGTGAGCACACAAGAATACGGGTCCGCGGTGAATGAATGAATGCGTCCCAACTTCGCACAGAACATACCAACGCAGTCGTCTTGCTTGTTCTCGGCTTGACACCTCAAGCAAGCATCTGAAATATACGAGTTATCAGTCGGCGACACAGGACGCGCACGATTTCAGTCAGGTGGTCTTAATTCAAACCTTAAAGTCCATAAAATCTTATCACAAAATTTGTTCTTGAAAACTGGGAATTCATCACATTTTCACTCTGTCACATACAGGAAAGCAGCAGCAGCATATGTCTGTTGAACACACGACCGAATTTTTTAATTATATACAAACTTTCAAATGAAACTACCTCTGGCTAATGCAAAATAGCGCAGACGACACGCAAAGCCAGTCGGGGCTGCGTAGTCTGCTTTTGGCGCTGGCCTTCCGATTGCCATTTCCCCAGACATTTATTTGCTGCAACCGCACCTACTAAGCAGTGCCATGACGCGAAATGAATAATTGAGTAAGAAGTTCTGAGGAAAAAAAAAAAAAAAAAGTAATGGAACCGCGCAGCGATAGGATCCGAGTACTACGTTTCGACACCTCGAAAGCGCGACGCCGTGGAACCTTAGAAAAGAAACTACACTGAGCATAAGAAAGGGTTCGTGCAGTTTACGGTTGCCGGTATTTTGTCCCCCCTAAACCTAAAAAAAAAAAAAAAAAAAACCACACGCGTAGGTCGGTGATTTGTTGTGGAGGTGTTCAACTTGAAGTACGCGCTGTTGTCATTCGGAGCGTCCCTCAAGCGGGGCGGTGTGCACTCTTACCCATCACTTGAACACGGCAAATGGCGCACGTGTCGCATTCAACGTCCCAGCTCCACATCGCCACAGCGTTCCACTTCTTGAGAACAAACATTTTATCCGCTTTCTGCCCGTTGATCTCACCATCTTTCTCAAAGTCATCTTCGTCTGCCATTTCTGGCGTCTGAAGGAGAAAGCCGACAAAGCGGCTATAAACTTTCTAGTTTCGTAGGAAAAAAAAACACAAATATTCAAATATCACAAATTAAAAAAAAATGATAATAATATTGTCCTAATAAAACATATGAATGTTTTAAGATTAAACAGCAAAGAACAAGCTGAAACTCTAAACGGTTTTAAATACGCAATTCCCTTCCTCTCCACTTCGCTCTGCCGTCATCAGATGAGGTGCAGTCGGTGCTGCGAGTACTCTATCAGATGGCAACTTGTTTTGGATGTATTCGCCGATGTTTCAACGCCGGAGGATTTAATAATGCGGGTGCCCAAGTCAACCGACTACCCACGGTCGTCTTGGACATGCTCCACATGGGTATGGACCAGTAAACACCCTCCCGGGCTTCACTTTTTACTGTTGGGTCAACAGATACAGCTGTGTAGGAGTTTGCAGTTATTCGGGTAACATGTCCAAATATGCGCCTTAAATGTTCAACAACACTTCACTTTTTGAGCATTATAACTGATAATACATTTTAAATCAACTAAAATTCAAAGTTCGTAATCTCTGATTGTGCAAACAGAAAATCTTGCTTATTTACCTAACGACATTTTGCGGCATACGGTCTAGAGGAAACGAATAAATAAATAAACGAGTTTGTCAAAATAGAGCGTTGAGGGTGATATTCAGTCACTCTGCTTCATCCTCAGGCCAAGACGTGGTGATCGTCAAGAACGGGCAAAGGATTTGTGGCAGCGGTGCCGCGCTCGCCAATGCACCTCTAGTTCAGAATAAATCCTACTTCGAGGTGAAGCTGCAACAGAACGGTGAGAATTGGACTTCTAATCTTCGGCATGACAGAGTTCATTGTTGACGACCCCTTTGGTGACCACGGCAACTTTGAACGTGCGTGCCAGCGGTCTGTGCCCAAGTCTCTAGAAGTTTGTGTTAGGCGTTGCGCTTGTGCAATTCGCGCTCCTATGAAGCACTCCATGCGGCGCACATCCTGTGCACCTCTATTCTTTGTTATATCAGTTATTATAATTTTGTTGACTTCTACCAGGTGCCCAAGGCCAGGGACATTTTGTGTGTGGGCCATCACATTATTTTTTACAGCTGTTCTTTGCACAGACAAGAATGCTTGACGAAACAAATCAAGAAGGGGAACAAGGGGGACAAAGGACAAACGCAAATCTCCAAACACAGCTAAGTGACTGGTCCGTGACCAAAAAAATCCGCCTGGTCCTGGTATAGAACCAGGGACCTCTCCATCTTCAGTTGAGCGCTCTACCAACTGAGCTAACCAGGAGTAACACGTCAGTAGAGCAAGCGGGTTTTATCAGCTGCCACCAGTTTAACACCAACAAGGGTGAACGGCCTGCATTTTAAGGTTAGGATGATAAAGCAATTAATGCAAAGGTGCAAGCGAGCTGGAGAAGAATGACGATAAACATCCCTGGAGAAGGGGATGATAAGAATTACCTTCTCCAGGAATTTTTATCGTCATTCTTGTCCAACTCTCTTGCACCTTTGCATTAATTACATTATCATCGTAACCTTAAAAATGCAGGCCGTTTACCCTTGTTGGTGTTAGACTGGTGGCAGCTGATAAAACCCGTTTGCTCTACTGACGTCTAACTCCTGGTTAGCTCAGTTGGTACAGTGCTCCACTGGAAATGGAGAGGTCCCTGGTTCGATACCAGGACAAGGCGGATGGCTTTTGGTCGCACACCAGTCACCTAGCTGTGTTTAGAGATTTGTGTTTGTCCTTTGTCCCCCTTTCTCCAGGGATTTTTATAGCCATTCTTGTCCAGCTCACTTGCACTTGATTTATTTATTTATTTATTTAAGTACCCTCAAGGCCCTGGGGCATTACAGAGGGGAGTGGTACAAGACAAATTTGGAACACAAACACTAAAAGCCAAGCACTAAAAATGTTTAAAAAAAAAGTGTAAACAAATTAAGAAATGTATAGAATAAGGCAAACAAACAAAGAAAAATATTAACATAGGTAAGTAGTCAACACACTTTTAAACAAGTCGAAGGACGGTATGTTTACTAATTGCCCGGGAAGGCAATTCCACTCTGAAGATGTCCTTGGAATAAAAGAGTTATAATAGGCTGAGTTAATGCAATGAGGAATTTTGACTTTAAATTGATGATCTACGCGCGGCGAAATGAAAACAGGATTTAACATTAGTTTGTTATTTAGCGAAGTATTGGAATGATAAATTTTATAAAAAAGACAAACGAGATATTTTCCGGCGTAATGAAAGAGCAGGAAGTGATAAATTAGTTATCATAGTTGAGACACTAGATGTGCGATGATAGTTAGTAATTATAAAACTTTTTAGATATGGCTAACATAGTTACGTTATCATTGTAACTATGCTAGCCATTCTTGAGAAGTGCCTTCTTGCATCAAGAATTCTTGACGCAAAATGTGGGGCTGCTTTTCATTAGATAAGCGCAACATTACAAAAGAGTGTTACGAAACATTGTCATGCAAAGAATGATCCGCTAAATTTGTGGGCAAGACAACCCCGCCAAATCTTTTGAGGTGCTGTCACGTAAGGGTCGTCGGAGCGATCGCGGTTACGCGACATCATCCAGTAGGATGATGTCATGTAGCCATGGTGCCGGCCAATAGGAGTGAGATGCCTCACTCTCGGCAACAATCGGCGGCTCAAAACACACCACACATTCTCCCAACTTTTGAGGGTGTGCTTGATTTGTTTTCTAGCATCTGGAATCTGGTGTAAAAGCCATATTTAAAAAAGGAGACAAGACCTTTCTGGATCTTTCTTAAATTTCTAGACAGCAGAAGCTCTAGTTTAGAAAAGATCAGCCGGTTGATAAGACTATTTTATACTTGTTGTTTTTATTTGATTTTTTTTTAAAATAAATATCCTCAATGTGTACAGGCACCTCAAATATCAGCTGACCTTGTGTTAGAAACCCCAGGTTAGCAGTTGTATCAGACTGGCCACAAAGACCCCACTAAGGGGGTACAGGGTGGTGTTCTAAACCAACCCCTTTCTACCGCATAAATATTCTTACAAAATATTTGATGGGTCAACCACACCATTAACCTATCCTTGCCATTGACAGATCTTTTCCAAGTCTGACTTTCCACTACACATCCATGCAATCGGTTTTGTTTGGGGTTGTGCAAATATTGCTTCTATTGCTTCAAATTGTGGTCCCTAGCTTGAACACTGTGACAAGAGCCAGTAAACCAATATACCACAACTTTCCTTTGCAATTTGAGGGCTACGAATGATGCAGCACTATCCAGTTTGCACACCTACGGCAATTTTTTACCTCGCTATGCCCTTCCTTTTTTTTTTTAATACAAAATGTGTATAGGGTCAAGGTTCAAGAGAAATATGTCCCAAAAATGTAACATGCATTTTTCTCACCAACTTTAGCGGGGGAATTGAATTGGTCGCTCATCAACCACGTGATGTCATAGATGCCACGTGACATGGTGATGTTACGCGACACCAACGGAACGACCCCTACCTTCTGACAGTGACACCAACCATGCTACGTCACGCAACGTTACAGTGTCATGCAACCAGGAGATCCCTAGTGGCATTGACCATGCGAGCGTCTAACATTTGTACGTATGGCGGTCACAATATCTACAACACTCGTGGTCGTATTGTATGTAGAACAAGCTCGAAAAATTTCTTATAAACACCCGGTGCAGCCCAAAACATGCCGTGCATTTTGTCCGTCTTAACTGAATACATAGGATGCATTATTTCCTTTTCCTCGCTCGGGTCCAGGGCTCTGGGGCCTGGGGGTGGCGACCCAGAAGACGGACCTGAACCGGGTTCCCCTTGGCCAGGACCTGGACAGCTGCGTGCTGACGAGCGACGCCACCGTGCTGTGCAACAGGGAGGTGCTGCATAAGCTGCAACCTACCATCCAGGAGGGGGACGTCATAGTGAGTGCTCTCCAAAACGTTCACTGTCCATGTATCGTGGCAAGCAGTCCTGCGATAGGCCCTTTTCAAAAGAGTCATCTAGTGGCAGTCTCGGAATCTCCAATATTTCCGCACTAATGGCGGCGAAAGGAGAACAAGATCAGCTAAATCGAGCACTATTTACTTCGTAAGTCGAAGGGCGACGTACGAGGACCACCTAGTTAGAATGAATTTCGTGATTTCTGCCGCTTTCCAAGACGTTGGCTTTCGCTAGTTTGAAGCTGTGTAACGACTAATTAGAGCGTCGGGTTTGGCTTTGCACAAGGCGGGTAGACCCAGCCTTCAAAGATAATCTTTTCTTTATTGGACGATAGTTGAGGAAACATTAGAAAGAAAAGCGAAGGGAAAGGCCATGCCTCGTGCCGAACAGAAAGAGTGGCACATTCAAAAGCCAGGGCCTTGGCTTATCGCAGTACGAGGCTCAACCTTTTGGGTCTCGAGAGGGCCTTGAAATTTGTGCGACAGCTTGGTTTGCGGGTCAGCTCGCCGTTGATGAAAACGGGTACAGGCTACTGGGCATTCCCGAGGAAAACTTGCTTGGGTTTTCACGTCGCTCAAATGCATACGAGTGTCACAGCCGGTAGCAGAGGTGATAAAGGTAAGGTGTGAAATTTAATGCACGATGGTTGTGAATTCGGAGGTTTCAGGAAACTTTCACTTTTGTCGTGTTTATTTGGACAACAGTTGTATCGTTAGAAGTTCTATCGTAGCACGAGAGAAACCATAGTAAATATACAGTCACATCACCGCATACGTACATATCTGCCCGTACACATTTCTCCGGCAGGGCGTTTCGTACGACCACCTGGAACTCAACTTCTACCTCAACGGAGCTGACCTCCACGCTCCAGTGACTGGTGTCAAGGGCGAGGTCTACCCTGTACTTTACGGTACGGTGCCTGTCCTTGTGGCACAATCGCTGCGGGATATTAAGACCAAGTTCAACCCGCGAAGCATGTCACAGCGTTTTGAGCGCGACAGACTTTGTCACGACAGCTGCTGCCGTGGTGATGCATCGCAACATTTCGTCGCATGCGGTCGCAGCACAGTTGGCCGTACTGTAAAGATAAATGTCTGAACCAGCAGCCATTTTCTTAGGGGCCAGCTGAAGAAAGCTTGTCAAGATTATGGTATTTTTGGTCACTGTTTGGGAGCAGGGAAATCACAGTATCAAATATACCATTGTTGTGAGAGTGAAATATTGGGCAACTTCGTGGTAAAAACGGTGCAAATAGAAATGAGAATGAAAGGGGCCCTGCCCCCTTTCTTCATAATCGTGCTGTTTTCACCATGAATAATACTACTACAATCTAACACCTTGCGATTTGTTTTATACATTCTACCTTCAGTCACAAGCTCTAGTTTTTAGGCTGGCAGTTATTATTGGTTTCTTAGTTTGTCGCAGATACTCATTGCCGTTTTCTGCCAGCGCCTCCTCCACACTCCCTTGTTCTGAAACAAGAAATTTTCATAAATTACCTAGTTGCTCATTATTTGTGGGTGTTCATTAATCCTTCAAATAGGCCGGTGCCATTTTCAGAGCTTATGCCTCACACTTTTGCCAACCTTCCAAAGCAATGAATGTGTGCGTGCTGAACTGCATATTTGTAAACGTTTGGACGGTACTGTGTAATGGCTGGTTTACACATTTGTGTCGGTTGCTTTTGCAGCAACCGAAATGATTGCAATAGCACAAAGACACCAGGACAAGTGTGGCAAGCGACGCAAAAGGTAGCTTCGCGAAGCAACGACGAGTCACAATTGTTCCGGTGTTTTGTCATATCTCTCGCTTACGATTGTTGTAAATGTAAGTGTTGGAAACGTGTGAACTAGCCTCGACAGTGGACTTTAGAATGGTATACAGATACAGGCAGGTAGAGCCTTCTCAATATCTCGCTGTTCGTTCCAGTGGACGACGGAGCAATCCTGGACGCAGTCTTCACGTCCTTCTACCACAGCCCGCCTCCAGGCTTCGAGCAGATCATGGTGGAGCAGTCCCTCCTCTGAGCGCGGCAACCCATCCCCAAATTCCCACTGCAATCGCGACGTGGTACTTGTCGGGAAGCCTCCGCCGGTCGCACCACTTCCTTGTGGCTGTGCCCGGCAAGCTCTCGTGGCCCCCTAAGTTATAAGCATGTAGCCCAGCGTTGGAGACATCCAGTTTTTGGAGCCAGCGCTGCGAAACCGGTGTGCATCAATCGAGCTTCTCCGGAAGCCCGACCGTCTGATAACGGGTTGTGCTTGTGAGGAGGCTTATCAAAATGCCCTGCTTTCTTTATGGGCCGCCTTTCCTTAGTGTCACCTTGTGCAAAAGAATGCTGTTCATGTTCAGAGACTTTGTCGACGTTAATGCGCTCGCAGCAGGGTTAAGTCACTGATGGTGGAGCGGGTACTAATGTGCGGTGTTCTTTGTGTGGAAGTGCGCCATGCGTTTCGCTCGCATCGTGGTAGCGGTGAAGCGTTCTACCCATGGCAAGTAGGAAGCGGAGTTTCAATGCGAGGAGTAATTAGATGGTGTATCCCACCAATCTGGATTGTTACATGTTCTTGGGTCGATAAAGCTAATGAAAAAAAAAAAAGGCAGCATAAAATGTGCAAATAACTTCAACGGGCATTATCACAGAAATATCTGGAAGGCCAATGTGGAAGTTGGTGCTTCCAAGACAGCTAAACAAGCTAAGCAAAATGAAAATGTGGCAGCTCCATAGATGATACAGCACATGTGCCGACACTCTTAACTGAATGATGTAAAATGGATTATGTACTATTTTTAAGGAACAATCGAACTGCCTGATCTGTAGCCTTGCAATGGGTTCAAGATGGAAAGGCAGGGAAGAGAGATTGAGAATCTATTATACCTACAGCAACTTTAAATAGTTGCTTTGAGCACTCCTCTCAGAGCTTGTGAGGTATTATTTGGCAAAGGTAAACTCTGGAACAGTTTTATATAAACCGTCCAGATTTGGTGGCAGTTAAATGGGAGTAAAACTACGCATTGAAACAATTGCTAAACCTACACTGCTCTCAGCTGAACCTATTATTTTCCATTACTATGGAAAATTGCATTTTCACTAACTTATATGTATAAACATTATTTATTAGGATAGGGATTGAAAAGGGGGGACTCAACCACTAAGAGAGAGGCTGAACTAACAATGTTATTGTTTTTTTTTTCCCCCTTAACTATATGCTTGTAGCATATGCACAATTTGTAAAGCTTTGAGCTTGCTGAGAAGCATGCTCGTAGCCTCACGAATGGGAGAGAAAAGCTCCGTTATAATTTTGTGCATGCCGCTACTACCGGGCACTTGCCTCAGTTGATAGCAAAGTCCACTGAATTGATTTGTCTGGCATTGCAACACTGTACATTAAAAGTAAGTTATGATTTCAAAACTACTGTCATTATTTACTGTTTGGTGTTCCACTTCATTTTGTGTTGAAGTTTTAAAGAACTTGATCAGTATTCCACTACCAAACAAGGACTTCCTAGCTGCTGCCGATGACGACGAACCTATATCACTGTCTGCTACATTTTACGGGACACAGGAGTGGGTGAGGGAAGCTAAAATAAGCATCGACGTTCACTCTCCTACATCCAGCACGGTTAGCTGCGGAAGGGAGATTGGCAGAAACTTCTTCCAGTGCATCTGTCGATTACTATAACTCATATCAACTATTTTGTGCTGTGTTGTCAAGCTAGTGCACCTTCTGTAGTGCCCCAACTCTGTCAGCGCTAGTTGTGCAAGCGCATGCAAACGACTCAAGACAAAGCCACATGCTCTAGCAGCAGTTTGGGCCTACAGCACTGGGCAGTCTATGCTAGCCTTGACAATGTAGCACAAAATAGCTGCCAAGTATAAGCTCTCGAGCAAGTTCTTCACTAAAGGAAATTTCCAGTGAAACTCAACTTCATTTTTCTTTTTTTGCGTATCCAAAATAAGACAATTTTTTGCCCACTCAAATTTGCACATTCACAAAGTTACACTGACAACACTTATCATTTAACATGATTTTTCTATTTAGGTTACTAAAGATGAAAACATGCATCTCTAGAAAAGTTTGCAGCTGGACCCCAGTCACGTTCATCCTCTTTGGAGCTACGCTTTCATTAAATGCGACGCTGCACAAATGACACTCATGAAAAGAAAAATGAAGGTGCTCATTCGGGATGCAACAATCAACTGGAACATCTTTTGGGAAGGTTTATTTGGAACCCCAATTGGCCAAACGCGCGCCACAATGTGTTGCCTCGAACGTTGTGACACTTGTCTTCCTGTTGTCCGATGGAATGAAAGTACGACCAAAAATGGTAGCCATGGGAAATGCCAGGTAGCAAAACAAAAACAAGTTGGAGGTATTCCCTCTCCCCACCCAGAAACAAAAAAAAGTTGTAAACGAAGGACAAAGCGTGAGGGTGACTGGATTTCTGCGGCAGTCTCTAGCACTTGAGCGGCACTTCCGTGACCGGTCGTGATTGGGAGGCGACACGTGATTGGAAGAGTTGCAGGCTGCGCTTGTACAGCTCGGGGTCCACGGTGGCTGCCGGTCCCGTTGAGCTTGGTTCGTACACCTGTGCCAGATGGAGCACACTATGTTACGACCGTCGGGGTGCAGAAGCTTGCAAGTTCTGCAAGAGACTAACTCAACGACATACTTTATTGAGGAGTTTTGAGTATGTTGTCTATGGAATTCTGATAATGGTACCGGATGCATTGGCTTTGCACATGCATTTTCATATAGTTATCAGAGCGTAAAACAGTGTACCACTCCCCATTTATGTGAGGTACAAAAACACAAAGGGAGTGAAGATAATAGGAAGGTCCCGAAAAAGATCCTCGAGAAAGATTCAGTATGCCGGTCAACATTTTGCCGAGTTCCTTCAAGGCACAAAGAAGCTACGTCGCTTAGCGAAATGAGGGCTGCCACTCTGAAGCCTCCAGGAAGTTCAATTGATGCAAGGTAACAAATCTAAAAGTGTCAAAACTCGACAAAATTGTGTTAGAGAAAATACTAACCCTTGCATTCACTACACAAGATGCTCTGGAGTTGCGGAACACGACACTTGCAGACGTTTCTACCATACTACTAGTATATACTAGGTTCCCCAATGTTCTTGTTCTTGGGTTGATGTCACACTTTGAGTACTCGCCGCCGACAGCACACAATTGCAGAAATATACAAAGAAATGCATAGAGGAAACTAGAGTGGTGTCATAGCACTAGTCAAACCTGAGAGTTTGAGCCAGGCAGTAGTCTTTCTGGTGCTTTATAGCAGTAAGCACTGTACCACAATAGGGTGGCTTAATGTCATCACTCTAGGACAGGCACATACGCATTAGGGCACTCTTCACTATACCATCAGCCCACCACTCCGAGTGACCGCCCACCGCTCTGACCAATCCGGCTTGTTCACAAGCCAGATTGGGCCGAATTGCAAACTCCCCCCCCCCCCCCCCCCCCCCCCACTTCTGCTTGCATCGTGGTTATGTCCACTCCTAAAACATTCCTGGGGAGAACCTTGTATACCGTGCAAAACAAAGCACTGCCACAGCAAGATGGCCTGATGGCCTCGCACTATGCTGCCTCGAAGAGCCGCACTCCTCTCCTATGCTCGTGTTCACCTCAAGGACCGTAGTAGAGAGAAGTCTCCCCTTTGCCGTACTAAAGTGGCAAATGCAGTGGTAACACAGAATGTGATGCTTTAGTGTGGAGAAACTGCGTACACATGCGGAGACTGCATGGTGTGTTGTGCGAGATAAGCGTGCAAGACCTCCGTGGATGTCTCACTTGCGGTTGCCATCTTCTGCGGCTGCAGCGTAGGTGCAACTTTCTCGTAGCCTGTTGGAGTGTAAGACGTGGTAGACAGACCGTGCGGAAAACAGAACTGGTACGCGGCGGCACCGAGGAGAGCACTGGCACTAGCTCGCGACAAAAGAGAACCAAACACCCAAAGCTACCTCAACCCGTTGCAACAAATGGATCCGTTTTTTTTTTCTTTTTTCTCCTCTCCGTTTTTTTGTTGTTTTGAAAAAGCGTGGTGTGTGCTCGTTTCATGATCAGAGCGCTGCCTGTATGTGTTTTATCGAGACATACAAGTTTCAAGTGGCAAAAGCATCATGCGATGTGGTGGTGTGGCAGTGGGGCCTACCTTGCAGAGTGCCCTGCGCAGCATGAGGTCCCTGCGTGCCGACAGGGCCCGGCAGTAGCGGCCGCACGACTGGAGCACCAGGCTCTGCTGGCGCCGAGCCGCCACCGCCGCCACGTGGAACCCTGCCGTCAGGTCCTCCAGCTTGAACTCCGGCTCGCCGCCACCCTCTGCGAAATCAGGCAGGGCGAGTGAGGGCCGCCGAGCCGTTTGTTACCAACTCGCAATTCAACATTCAAATGAGTGCACCACCATGTATGCAGCCGCATCTTTTTCCAGTTGACACCTGTTTTACGAACATTCACTAGTACTAGAGCAAACAAAGATTCACTGTGTGCACGTTTATAAGGTGAAAAGCTGCTTTCAAACGTGGTGGTTCTCGTCCACACTGTGGAGGGATAATTAGGTCGGTGAATTACAACCACCAACCTGGAGCCTTCACATACAAGTCCGGTCTGTGGTCACGACCCAAAGCCTCTTGTGTCGAGATGCAAATATGTCTCGAGACAACAAGTTTTAAGTCTTTCAGTGTTCACAAAAACTCCACGAGGAGTGCTTCATACAGTAGTGATTACAAAAATCTGGCTCAATGCCATTCCATACAGCAAATGGCACGGGTGGTTAGAGAATGCAAAAGAAAACCCACGAGCTGCACAGTGGTTACCACAAACTCTGAGGTGATGGAAAAGGTACCCTCTCGAAGCAAAATGTGTGGGTCCTTTTCCAGGGAAGGACCCTGAAAAAAGGTCCTTCCCCCCTTTTCCAGAATCCCAAGTTCAGCAATGAACCACCACAAAGTGGAAAGCCGACAGAATTCAATCCCGACCTTGTCCCGCGTCCTCCGTGGCCAGCTGCTTGCGGCAGAACTCCACCACCTGCTGGGTGAGCTCTTCCCCGGCCAGGTTCTTGGAGATGCCGATGCGGGCCAGCACCCGGGCGCCCGTGTAACGGGCCCGGGCCGAGACGCGCTTCTCACTGGACGCCGCCTGCTCCTCCTCCTTGGGACGCGTCTCCTTCACCAGGCTCGACCAGTCAATGTCCAGGGTGTCAGAGATGGACGTCGCTGCACACACCCATGTCCAGTTGAAGACAACTTCCCAGCCCACTGAATTCATACGCAACGTGGGGATCCAGCGGATCATGGGCAGGGTTGGGTGTTTGGGTATCGGTATACGGATAAACCCTGAAAAGTACCTCCGGTTTCATCAAAATTGAGAAGAAAAAAAATTACACCTTGAAGAAGCTTACACTTCACTGGTCTTGATCTACACAGCCTCTCCATCTCCAGCACGAGCTCTCAATCTGGGTTCCCCATAGAGCACACCCCTTGGGCTCCCAAATTTCCTCGACTACCCTTCCTCAAATTAAAGTGTTTCCTCAGTCTGTGTTTGTAGATCTAAGCCACTCACTGATGAATAATTATGAGCTAAATGCTCCCTACTGCATGTACATTATTGCTTACAAGGTCTGTAGGCTTCTGCAATGTTTTATTGCATCAGTTCGGAGTTTGGGAGGGGTTGCCCGGTTGCCGATCAAGAGAGGTGGGCGTTCCTCGAGATCGAAAAGTTTGAGGAAACCCTGATCTACGGCGTTATCTTGTGTTGATTCAAAACACTACCTCCCTCTGAACTGTCTATCGAGCAGTTTGTTTCTTTGGAAACTACACCTCTAATTTGTTGTCTTCTCTTATCAATGGGGGAACGTTCCCAAAGCATTCTTGATTGAAAAGGTTTACTCCGACTTAACATAACAAATTAATAACAAAAGGTACAGACGTTTCGCCACCTATGCAGGTGGCATCTTCAGTATACACTGACACAAATGAGGTGAGGTCGACCAGTCTACTTATCACACACGTTTCCGTAAACGTCCGGCAGGGGGCCACGGTTGGTGTTGCACACCGATGAGTCGCGGCGAATGCACCAGGACTCGACGAATTTTCTTTGCCCCCACCTTTGTTCTCGGGCCAGCGTCGTCGCATTGTCCAGGTCGGAAGTGTGTCCTGTCGTCCAGCAGTGTTCGACAAGTTCCGTCTTGGACCGCGTGGCATGGGTGGCCTTGGCAACGTCCCTTTTGTGTTCTTTCAATCTCGTTGCCCTCTTTCTGCCCGTTTCGCCGATGTAGGTCGCGTCACAATCCCCGCACTGCACTTTGTATACGACCCCCCTCTGACCGTCTGCAGAGGTGCGGTCCTTCGGTTTCGGGAACACATTCGCTAAGGTATAATGTGGTTTAAAAACAGTTTGTACGCCCAGCGGGCGCAAAGCTCTCCGAACAGCATCTGACACGCCCTGGACATAGGGAATAGATACAATAGACGTTGCCCGCACTCGTGACTCACTCCCCCTTCCCCTCTGCATTCGCCTCTGCGTATCGTTAATAAACGTCCTCGGATAATGGCGCCGCTCTAACGCACCAACCACATTTTCTACCTCTTGCAACCGTAGCTGCTTGTTAGAGCACACTGCATCACAACGTGATAAAAAGGTTCTTACAACGGACCGTTTGTGTTCGGTCGGGTGATGCGAGTCAAAGGACAAAAAATTTTTCGGTGTCACACTGCTTGCGGTACACCGTCGTTTCCACACTGCCATTACTGGCCCGGCGTACCAACACATCCAAAAAAGGCAACACATTATCTGTCTCTGTTTCGTACGTGAACTGAATGGCGTGGTGTACGCTGTTCAGCGCCACGTGGAAAGCATCTAGGTTAATTCTTTTCAAAATTACAAAAGTGTCATCTACGTACCTACAGTACATTTTCACCGGAAAGGGTACTGAGCTTAGCACCCGTGTTTCGACGTGCTCCATCATTAAGTTTGCTACGGTAACAGAAATAGGACTTCCCATAGGGCACCCTTCGATTTGATGGTAAATCGTGTTGGCGAAACTGAAGTACGTTTGATTCAGGCAAAACCGCAACAAAATTATAATATCCTCCACAAGTAAGGACGTACGACTCTCCAAATTACAATCTTCTTTTAAACGCGCCTCTACATAATCGATAGCCAGGCCAAGGCCCAGGCATTCTGGTCACATCCGTGTTCCCTGGAGGTTGAGGAATGCCATGCCCCGTTTTCTTCAGACCTAAGTCTCGATAGACCCCAACAGTTTCATTCGACACAAAAAAATTGACGCCAATACCTGGGAAAAGAATTAATGCAAAAAAGAAAGCGCTATTGAGTTGAAATGAAGAAGAAACCCCAAAAACATGAAACCGTAGCTAGAATGCAGAAAGGTCTCCCAATTGCAGAGAAGAGACCTAAGAAGCCATTGACTTTGGATGCCTGCTTCTGCTTCGAGTCGAGTTTTCGAGAACGCTTTGAGACAGGCACCTTGCCAAAATTTGAAATTGAAGCAAACTTCCGTTCAATGCTCCATCATATCGATGCCCACTGTTCGATGCCTCGTCGTTTCCTTTAGTAAACTTTCTGCACTCACCCGTCGTTTCGGGCGCAGCCTCCTTGTCCTCGGACTCGTCGATCAGTGCCTCGAGTTCGTCGTCGCTTATGGGGTCGAAGTCCTCGGCCATTCCGAGACCATCTGGAGGAAGCCACGGGCAACCGCCGGTCGTTTAGTGCCCCAAAAGGATGTCGCATTACGTGTCACGAGAGCTGCTGACGTGACAAAGGCTGTCACGCCAGCTGTATCCAAGCGTCACAAACCTCCGTCGGCCGATCGGTGCGAGTCTGCGGGACTGATGGGCACGGCATCCACTTCGATCCTGGAAAGCGAAGAGGATGCTCATAACCATTTGCAGCCATAATTTCTCGCGATCTCGGTGTAGTGCAGTGGAGAGTTTGTGTGTCAAGTTCGAGGGTACGCGCACATTCACTTGTGTTCCCGGTGTGCAAGTGGGGATGTGCACAGCGCGACACTGTTAAAGAAAACAGGCGATAGCCGGTTTTTTCTCTTTTTCTTTGGGAATCCAATGATTGTCATTAAAACTGCTGTAGGTGTAGAAAGTGCTCATACGGAGTACTAACCTAGGTGATGAAATTCCATGCCCGTCAATATCCTTTCTAAATAAAATGCGAAAAAGTGTCAATGCCATGTCTGCACTAACGAGGTTGTGCAGAGTACAAGCATTGTGCTCAAGAGAGCCCCATGTGCATAGTCATCCTCCTGAATGCACTTTCCAAAGCTTCATGTTTGTGCGCGTCACATGATTTGCGAGCATCTCTCAGGTACGACTTGAGAAATTTTAGATATGTGCTATAGATTGTTCTTGCTCTCCTGGTACCTTTTAATAAAGTTATTTTTAAAAAACAACTTCTTGCTATGTCACTACCTTCCCTAATGTTTATAAAATGCCTGACTAGCTTTGCTTTACTACGCCCATACATTTACTAATATCGATCTTTACTATGAAGCTCTACCCACTGTTGCTGGTGGCTCATGCTACTGCTGAAAACCATGCTATGAGGTATGCACAGGCAACGATATAGTGACACCAAGCCCCGTTACTTTTAAGAGAAGCCCATCATGTTTCTGTGAAGCATTTGTGTAGAACAATGTATGAATTCTGTGTTGGGGTTGATCACTCGAAAAATGATGTTACAGACAGTGTGCATGCGTAGGCCAAAAATAGAAAGCTTACAGGGTGGATTCTACAGCCTCTTCCGTCTTGTCCTGGCTGGTGGTGTCATTTCGGAGGTCTGACAATGGTTCTTTGGTGACAAACTCCTGCAAGGAAGTTGTTGTTTGTTCTTTTCATACCATTTCAGCCGCAAATCAGAATACAGGTATAGTCGCCACTTGTCTGTGAAGAGCCTGCTCGTGCTACAGAAAGGCACGAGGGTGCACTCCACAATCTTTTCCTCTAAATCCAAAAAAATAAATAAAAAATAGGTTAAAGTGCAATTTGCATTTGGAACATTATTTATGTTGGCACCACAAGTGTCTTAATAGGTGGGAACAGCGCAGGAAAAACCGACGAAGGACGAGTAGAAGAAGTGCACAGACACAGCGCTGTGTCTGTGCACTTCTTCTACTCGTCCTTCGTCGGTTTTTCCTGCGCTGTTCCCACCTATTAAGATGCTTAACCAACTCGCCCAACTCTCTGCCGTGTTGCACCACAAGTGGTGGAGAATGTGTGTTCTGCCAAATAGTAGAAGGAAATCTAGTCCCACTCACCAGGGTGGGGTCATCTCGGGTGAGGATGTCATCCTCGTCATCACTCCAGTCGCTGAACGTCTCGGCAGCACCGGGCTTCAACTCCTGCCCATCTGTCACACAGAACACAAATGCAATAGAAATTAATTTTAAAGCCAGTTTAAAAATAATGTAAACATATAGAGAGGCCGTTAACATGCAGCGAAGAATCCCGAGCCATGCGTCACGCAAGTGTTAAAGTGTCACACAGGCGTCAGTGTCAAACAACTGTCACATGTGTGTCCATAAACACGCATCCCATGAATGTGACACATCTGTCAACCATGTGGCACATGAATGTTGCACAAATGTCACAGTCCCACGAGTCAAACGAGTGTCACACGAGCATCTCATGTGTGTCAGTGTCAAACAAGTGTCGCACGAGTGTCGCACATACACACCGCCACTTTCTCCGACGCGTCTAGAGCCAGACCAAGCCGGAAAAAGGAAAACGAGCCCACCCTCGTTATCGTCCTCCGACTTGCACTCCTCGACGAGCACCATGTGCTTGCTGTCCGACACCTCCGCCTTGGTGGGCGACTCCTCCCCGCTGTCCTCGCTCAGGGGGGAGGCCACCTCCATCTTGCTCGCAACCACTGGGTGGAAGACGCACAGTTGTTCAGAGGGCCTGGCAGGTCTCATCACACTTGCACCCACCCGTCTACCCCCGACTCTGTCCAAATGTGTAGCATTGAGAACGCTTAGGTGTGTCATGCACCTCAAGTGCACACGCGCGATCATAGGCTGGATGGAGGCCGGGGGTTCAGAAGACATGCCCTGCCATTCTCAATCTGTCAGTGACTGTAGTATTCTACCATAGCCACAATTTGGCATTACGCGTCAACTCTCCGGACTGCAGCGACCCGCGCAAGCGAGGTGCAGCCCTCCCACGCACGCACGCACCCTCGGGCACGCTGGTGTCGGGGGACTGGTCGTGCCTCTCCGGGGCGGGGTCCCTGCTGCCGCTGCGGCTGCGCTTGCTGCCCCCCGGGGGCTTGTCCCCCCTGGGACGGCCCCGGGGGGACGAGCCCCGGCTGCCCCCCGAGGATGGCCCTTCCCTGGAGTCTCCGCCGCCCTCCTTCGGACTTGCCACCTCTTCCTCCCGCTTCAGGGACGGGTCCTGCGGAACGGTGAGGGATGAGAGCCACTACGCACGGACTTAGCAAAAGAGAGGAGAGTTTGGTATTCACCACAGGGCAGCATGACCGTAACCAGAGTCTACAGAGTGCCACTGCTAAAAAAGTTACTCGTAATAAAATATTTAAAAAAAAAGTGTACGACCACACATTGTGCGCTGCGATTGACAGCGGCAGCCGCTGCATTGTGGGGAAAGGCAGGTTGAAGGGGATTTGGCTTTAGCCAGTGGGCTGTACAATGTTTACAACGGGTCCTTTGCTTTCAGTATAATTGATGTAAGAGACGTGTTTGAGGAAATGTGTGCTTTGGTAGACCGATTCTGCAACATGTTGCATGTGTTAAATCGGTTAAAATTATTTGAGCCCATGTCTATTTATTTATTTAAAATACCCTTAAGGTAACATACATTTGCGAGGGCTGCGAGCTTACAAAAACAATTACAAACTGCAGATACTAGTGAGAGCAACCTTAAACGAAACAATATCAGTAACGTTAGCAACCATAGACATGGGGTGTGTATTACTTCAAACTGACCATGAAAAAATAGTATATATACGTAGTACACTCGGAAACCATCACAAAGTTTTCCCAGGAACTGCTTACTGTTGTCGAGATATTTCCAGATGCGTTTGAACCCGGGAGACTTCTTCTCGAAGATTATTTCTTCGACATATTTCGATTAATCATAGTAGCTGTCATCCACGGAGACAAACTGTATCAATATTTCGCGGACACTGCTGTCACACGCAAGGGCACACAAATCCGAGGTAAATTTCAGTTACCATTGAAACCTGCGAGCAACATTTGTGAATAACACATTCAATTGCAGCTTTTAGCAGGTCTCGTTTTGCATAGACAATTCTACTCATGTTTTACAGATCTTAAGTTATGGGGCAAAGTGTATGCAGACTGTTTTGTGCCTTCAGACGGCAGCATACTTAGTTGCTTTAACCTTTAGGGTCATTCCACGCGAAACATCACAAACGTTGCACTCGGCCACTTCCGATTGTTAAAAGAAAAATCATGGCTTTTACCCCCAAGTACTTTTCCTAAAAATGTATGGCGAAAAATATTTTTATGGCGCGAGCATGGTTTGAACTTTTGAAATGGGCTTAAAACTAGGCATCACTCAGGAGGAGACAGGTCGACCCTGCATGTTCGCTTCTCCCCCTGGATGGCGCTGGAACAGCGCCAAGATCAAAGCCTTCGCGACGTGTTCCCTCTCTCCGGAGACTCTTGCCACTCTCTCTGAGGGAGCCAGTCAGTGGCCTTGGGCGTAACTCTGCCATTGTTTGTCCTCTCTCCCTCATCATGGTGGAGGTTGTGGCGTTGCGGTTGGTGGTGGCGGAGGAGAAGGCAGTTTTTGTCGCCGTAGTTTCTTTTTGCGAACACGCAAAAAACTCAAGTTTGGGAAGCGTGCGCAGGCTCTTCGTGTCAGACGGGAACAGAAGAAGGCTGGCTGTTCACTCTTCCTTAGCACTCGGAGTCTGCTCTGTTCCCTCGCATTTTTGAAGCAGAAGCTCCAAAGCAAACTGACAGCCCGTCGGCAGACACGTTTGACATATACATATTTTGTATGACTGATATGACAGGGCCATCATACAGGTAAGAGAGAACAAACACGTCTGCAGATTGCAAATGGTGTATAAGCAGTGCGACTCAAGCTTTAGACGAAGAGTTGGTTAGACTTAGAATCGAACCCGCTTTGGCCGAGTCTTCTACCCTGTCTGCCCCTTTCGAAAGCTTGCATCATTCCCGAGCTGAATGTACCAACAACAGAAACACAAACAGCGTAACAGACGCGGACAAGAGGAAGAAGTGGACAGGACAATAAGCGCTACAAGAGCTTGCTGAACATTCATACCGTTCGACCAACGGTCCCGTCAGTTTATTTCGGTCTGTCGTCAACCTTGAACTCTTAATTCGCGAAATAACTCGGTGTTGTTGCCAAGGCATGATTCTCAATTTTAACATTTAATCCAGGTCATTTCACTTGAACTCCAGAGTCGCAATAATCTGCTTTTTTATGTACACCAACTCAAGGTCATGACGTCTGTCCGAGGCGGTGGCACTGGCAGTTGAACGGAGCATGCGCGGATACTTCGCTCTTCGAAAAACTGGTTCTTGTGCATGCGCAGCGCCCACAGCTCCTGCGGGCAAACGCGCGCTTGTTTACAAACACGGATTTAATATATATCTAAGGCTCAACGCGTTAGGCACTACGCGGACGAATGCGTATAGTCCTCCTCTGCCTTTACACGATTATGCCAGTTGTATATCACAGATCCATAGTCAGGAAGATCCACCTACCCCCCATGCCCCTGGCTACGCACCTGCATCAAAATGTGCAAAAAGGAGCAGCAAGCTCCTTTTGTATATATACCAAATAAGTTTTGTTACATACCATACATGAAACGCATTTTCCGCACAGATCTGCACCTAGTGCGAGCACACGAGACGAAGGTTCGCATCCGACGGATCCCGAGACACACGGGCATCCACGGCAACGAGGCGGCGCACGACGTGGCCGCGAGGGCACTAAACAGTTCCCACAGCTTGCATGCCGTCCAAGAATCCGAACCCTCATCGTCTAACAACAGAACTGATATATGACTCGATGGTAGCCTGCAGATGCACAAAAAATAAGAGAAGCACAGACTCAAGAGTTTGTGGAACCCCGAACAAAATCCTAATCCGTTGGGCCACTCTAAATGTGAGCAAATGGAGATCCTACGACGAATTCGTAGGGGTGGCACAACAATGCCATAGATGACTCTGAAGTTCGAAACGATAAAGAAAATAAAGCTGTACCCAGACTATGAACCTCTGGACCACAGATGACAAATATGTAAAGGGGACGACATGCTCCCAAAACTTTACCGCCTAATTTGGGAGTGCAAGAATTGGGCTCAGCTGGGCCAAGACGCCCCTAGCACCTACGAAGAATGAATAAGACCTGCCAGCGACACAGAAAGAGGAGTCAGGATCTTACGAACGCTGCCCAACTACAAGACGTCAAGCTACATGCTGCAAGACATAAAAAAAAAGAGGCAGCCTATTAGGGAAGTTCTAGGCCGCAAAAAAAAAAGTCTCGCGCGAGTGCGACCACTTCACAAACATTTTCCCGCACATATCCGATAATTCGATCAGCAAACATTTTCCCGCACATATCCGATAATTCGATAACAATACCAAATAATGATGCGGTGCACGCAGAAAAGTACCGGCAGAGGATCGGGTATCGTCATCGGTAACGCAAAAATGTCTGCTAAAACGAGATAAGTTATGTAGAACGGATGCCCGAGTCATATGTTGGAATAACGAGGCAAGCAGGGCACAAAACGCTAAAATAGCGAACGAGGGGGCTGTGCCACAAGTCTCAATCAGCGCGCTTCCTGAACTTGCTTTGCAACAACCGCGGGTCAGATATCACGCACTAGGGCGACACCAGGAATTGAGCACCAGGGACCCGCTGAGCCACCGCAGAGTCCGGAGCATGCAGCAGAGCAGCAGTGCCAGCCACGCCGGCACTGAGCCCCCAAACAAAAAAATAAAAAAGCGAGCGTGCTATAACGTTATAGAGTGAGGCTCCACCCAAAAGCGCTCTGCGCTTTAACATACGAGGAAAAGAAGGTCGCTCTGAGCCACCTTGGACACGTTGCGCCATCCGGTGGAGAATCCTGAACTAAAATTCAATGCACCAAACTTTAACGAGACTCAATTGTGAAGATATTTAACCCCATAATAAAAAATAGCAAAAAATGCTAGAATAATTTTTCTAGAACCTCTTACAAAGCTAATTTATGTAACTGAGCATTGTATTTTGAATTGATGTGGTACAGCTTCTGCCAAAGCCTTGAAAAAAGCGAGCAGTATGAATAAATAAATAAATAATTAAAAAATTTTTATGTCCAAGTATATTAAAAAAAATTAAGTGTCCACCACATGAAAACGAATGGGCTGACCAGCAGCACTTTTATCTTTTTTATATTAATAACTGCGGGATTAACGCAAAAAAAAAAACAAGAGTTAGAGAACCTTCAAGAATATCTCAGGCACATTGTCACACCAGTTTGAATGTTTTAATTGAAGGCGTTATTGAGATTTTTATGAAGCTATGTCCCCCATAGTTTGAGATTGTTTTTCAAAAGGCTTCACAATTTATTTTGTGCAAGTCTAATGGCTTTTAGTTTGCTATGTTGCGATGACTATGCAATTTTTATTGTCCTTTTTTTTAATTTAGCAAAGTGAAACAGCATTTATCTGAATTTTTTGTTTAATTATCACTTTGCACCTCGCAATAATAACTTTTTCTATGGCAAGCCCTAAAGATGTATTACAAATAAAAAATGTTTGAAACAATAAAACAAAATACTTTGTGGAAAAAAAAAATTCTAAAGCTGGGAAGAAGTTTGTTTTGCAGCCTAAAGAGCCATTTATTCTACCATGAAAGAGTCCAAGTAAGAAAATGAACAAGAAACACATTAAAAGAGTAAATAATTTGTTTTCAAAGTGAGAAAAAAAAGATTGAAGCTGAGAACCTGCGTCGCAACCCGACATTGTTTCTTAGCACCCTCTTCACTGCACAACACGCCACCTGACACGAGAGCTAAGAAGCTTTCCGCGCACGCAAGGCAATTGCTGGTCAGTAATGTGATTTTCACAAAGGTTTCTATAGATGCACATTTTTTACTCGCAATTGCCTTGCAGTTTGCCGCGGCCGCTTGTACTCGTCCTTCTCCTTGGCTGTAACGCAAACAACAGCGTATATGGTTTGATAATCAAATATGCCGCCAGTGCATAGCAGGCTCGCTGCGCCCTTTGTACCGATGTCAAGTCTCCTCACTCTAAAACTTGAGGCCTAATGCCATTGGCATCACCTGAGGGGAACTTCTCCTATTCGGGATATGCCATAATGATCGAGCGAGATTCCTACCAGCATTTTGAAAACAAAGGACAGAAAATAAAGGGCAGAAAAATGAGGAATATTGTTTCAAATGATCACTGGCTAGTTGCAATGAAGAATCTGCCCAAGAAAGATTATTTTTTGTCCGAGTATGGGGACAAATCGATGGATGAAGCAGGTCACTCGACACAGGCAGGTCATTTTGCGGTTTGTGCGCATGCTAATGAGGGTAAGTAGGAAATTCTGATTGTTTTATTTTCTTAACCTGGAGAATAGTTGTGTTCTGTTCACTCATCGCTAATGTGTCACCGGCTCTGTTTATTTGCAGCGGTTCAATTCATGCCTTTTGCAAACAAAATAGACCGTAAAAAGATTTAAGCTGTATGTCGTTCGTCCTGTTATGTTTACGCAAGACCTATCCGGGCGAAAGTTATAATAGTGCATAAATTTACCTGAAATTGACCTGGTTCACTTATTGCCTGTCACTAAACCAGTGCTAAAACCTTTTAATTGAATATACCGGTTTGAATACCATACCGGCTTCTGTCATGAAAGACTGGACTTTTACGTGCCCGCATCGTGCGAGCAGGTAGGAGTCCTTTCTTTGATGTGCCATCCAACCATCAAAATTTCTGGTTGGTTTGCAGAAACTGAAGTTTCTCTATGGTCTCTCGGTACAAGTGATTGCCACAAAATCACACAAGCCAAGAAGTGGTTCCTCAATGAGGCTCAAGACCTGACAGACGCAGATCAACGACTCCTTTCTCTTCGCGCAGGGACCATGAGCGAAGTGAAAGGAGCCATCGATCTGTGTCAGTCAGGTGATACATTAGCGACGAGTGACACAACATGACTATCCTCCCAATTTAGAAAAATAAAACTATCAGAATTTCCTACTTACCCTAATCAGCATCTGCACAAACCACAGAATGACTTGCCTGTGCCAACTGACCTGCTTCATCCATCGATATGGCACCGTACTCTGACAAAAGATAGACTTTCTCGGGCAGCTTTCCAATTGCAACTAGTCAGTGGTCCTTCGAAAACAATACCTCTTGTTCTTCTGTCCTTTCTTACCGTCGGTCCTCTTCTTTCAAAATGCAAGTAGGAATCTCGCCCCATCCTTATCGCGTTTCCTGAACAGAAGTCCCCGTCAGGTGATGCCGACGCCGTTAGGCATCATGTTTCGAAGTGAGGAAAGCTGACATTGGAACAAAGGGCGCAACGAGCCTGCTATGCACTGGTGGCACTTACCATTATCACACCAAATATGCTGCTGTTTGTGTTACAGCCGAAACGAATAAGGAATGGAAGTGGCCATGGCAAACTGTGGTGCGTCTTTAGCTGTGAACGACAACTGTATACGCAAGGCAATTGCGAGTCAAGAATGCACATGCGTAGAACCCTCTGCGAAAAGCACAATCCCGACCAGCGATTGCCTTGCATGCGTGCAAAGCCACTCAGCTCTCGTGTGAGCTTTTGAGTCGGTGGCGTGTTGTGTGGTGAAGAGGCGCTAAGAAACAATGCCTGGTTGCAATGCGGAAGCTCAACCTCAACCTTTTTTTTTTTGCTTAAGAAAAAAAAAGTTTTTGATTAAACTTCGAGAAATGAAAGGCAATACACTCTTCTTCTAAATTATTTATTTTTATATTTTTATTTAGACCACCTCAGGGTAGAATGAACGGCTGTTTAGCCAGTAAAACTGACTTTTTCACAACTTTAGAATTTTTGTTAAGTATTTTACTTTATGGCTTCAAACATTTTTTTTTATTTATAATACATTTACAGTGCTTCCAATCAAAAAAATTATAATTGCCAGGTGCAAAGCAATAATCAAACAAAATAATGAGAAATCTGCTAATTTTTTGCATTTTGTTGAATTTAACAAAAAATATATTGTAACAATAAAAATTGCATAATCATCACAACATAGCAAGCTGAAAGCTGTTCAAACTTCATAAAATAAACTGTGAAGCGTTTTGAAAAAAATTTAATTTTCGCTCAATTATTGAATGAGTCTAGTTTTACACCAACTTTAAAAGTTAAAACCATGCTCACGCCATAACAAATATTTTTTGGCAAAAATATTTTAGGAAATGGTTAAAAACCATAGGGTAAAAAGCCATAATTTTTTTTTTAAAATCGGAAATGGTCGAGGGCAATGTCTGGGGACGTTTGGAGTGAAATGACCCTTTAAAAACTTTAAAGGGGCACTAAATCAGATTTCGACGTCGTACATTTATGGCAATAACTCAGTCTAGGTGCCCTAAGCTTCCAAAGAAATCCAGATTTACAATCCTCCGTGGCCTCTATTCCCAATAAAGCAACGTCCACCACGGCGTAACGCCCCTTTTCTGAGATACACCTCAGAAAAAGGGGCGTGTCGTGAGGCAGAGTTGCATCGATAATTAATGAAAAACGCTATGCACGATTGTAATTTTTTGGTTTTCCACGATACATAGACAGAGTTTCTGACATAAAAAACAAAATCTCAAAAACCACTTTAGTATCCCCTAAACGAGCTGGCTAGCGATAGATTTTGTATTCCTTTTTGCTGCGGAGCTGTCCGAAAAAGAAAGCCGACAAGAGCTCGAAAAAAGCTTCCCCCACCTTGGGCGCCCTCTCTCTCCCGGAAGGCCTCTTGCGGTCGTAGCCACGATCCGGGGATGGAGAGTGCGAACGACCGGCCCCACGCCCGTCCCTGCTTCCTCCGCCGCCGCCTCCGCTCATTCTGAGAGGCAGAAAACAAAGTCTCTTCAATGCACATGCAAAGCGTAAGCACCGAGAATGGCCAGAGATCGTCGAGCCTACTGCAAATCCAAGCCACAGCACTCAATCGACGGCTCAGAATTCACACCGCCGAGCTTGTTGGAGGAACCGTACTGAATAGGCCCTTTGTTACAATCGTGCCATCGACCAAACGGGAGAAGCCATCCTTTGTCGAAGATCTCGGGCTTTCCACGCAACTCCAAAACGAGCCACTCTGACCGTCTTTTTGGTGTTTAAATGTTAGCACAGTTCTTATTCGCTTTAAGAAATTTACATTCACCCCCCCCAAAGTTGATGCACAAACTTAATTTGCAATTCTAAAAGACAAGACTGGTTTGAATCAGTCCTCTTGCACTTTTGTTACTTTGTTGTTTGTTCCTTGCTTGCATAAAGTTCACGCAAAATGACGAAGCTTCAGAATGAAAACAAATGCTGCTGATTTGTAAGCAATGATTAAAGATATAGGAACCAAAAAGCTGGAAATTTCTTAATTTTAAGCAAAAATTTTTCTACTTTGACTGCCAAAAAAGGAATGACAGATGTGTCCATTATGTACAATATGCAAGGAAACATGAGGAAATAAAACTAGATTGTCTTACAACTATGTTCTCAGATTATCCTCCCAAGATTTGTAACAAAATACCCTTAAGGCCGTTAAAAAAAAAGCTAAAGAGGTTATTGAAAAAAAAAAGAGATAGAGGTAAATTTTTGCATATTTTTGTCCTGTGAATTTGAATCTCACAAGCATTTGACCCGATTGAATAAATAGACGCAAAAAAAAACTGAAAACCCTGAACGCTAGATGTGACGTCGTACCCAAAAGGTTTCAACTAGCAGGACTTTCCGTTTGTGAGGGAACGCATGTGGCGTCTTTGATTGCCCGGGCGAGGCTTGCGGAAGAAGAAATGGTGAGGTTTCTGTATATCACGTCACAATTCCCTCCTCCCGCCGAAATTGCCAAGAAGGAGGGGTTTAAGGGCTATTTTTAAACTGCCGTTGTGGCAATCTCAAATATAATTTTGATATTCAGGATCCTGAAGGCCAAATGAACACAATTTAAGTGTTTTTTTTTTTTTTCAAATACCATCCACTTCAGTTTCTCTTTTAAAACCCGCAAGAAAAAGTGAAAATTGAATGAGAAAAAAAAAAAGAAATACCTCGAGTCTCGAACATCAGGGAGGCTGTCTATTTCTCGTCGGCTGTAGCGGCTTGATCCAGTGTCATCTGCAAAATAATTTATTACTTCTGAGAGAACACCACGCTGACCTATCAACAAGCTGCCTTTCTTAAGACATGCTCTCCAGATCTTAGTACAGATCACAGTAAAAGCTCCTTCGAGTCAAATCAGCCTTAGTAAAGATTTTGAAGAAATAAAACTTTATAAAACCTCCCCAGGGTATCCATTAGTCCAGCAATGACTTGACTCACCAAGGTGACCAGATATCAAACTCTTTTAGGCTCCCAGAAGTACACCTAAGGGAGGCAGTCTTGTAAGAACTAGAATCCTGCTCTTTTACATCAAACTTAGGGAATGTTTGATGATATTGCAGGCATTATTGACCAACAACTGCCAATGGTACAGCAGAAAAACGACAAACAGAATGCATTTTAGTTAACTATCTAATCGCTCTGTACGTCAAACGGTATTCACACAAGGAAGAAATCCCAAGGATTTACCCCACGCAATGAAAACATTCTTTTATGATGCGGCACTGCAACTTCAGCTTCGTGGCAGAGGGCAGAGGGAAAGCTCAGGTGGTACCAACAATCTCTATGTGGTGGCAGATCAGTTTGCTTTGAACAGCATTTTGTGGTTAAAAGGTTTGGTGCCAAGTATGTAAACTGCTAAATTCATCTTAGGTGGTGTCAAGGGTAGAAACCACTAATTCGGTTTCTACCGCTGATATATTTCTAACTGACATGTTTCCCGTGTCAACGACGCAGCTGAAGAGGGAGTCGCACTCGCCGATGACATCATGTACATCCCTCTGCAGAACTCATGCATGTGAATACTGCTTGCACGGCTGCAAAACTGCATTAGGTTGAAACCACACCGACCGCGTTGTACTCCCGTTGCATGGGATGTGTGTCAGCGCAAAAAGGGGTCACTCACCCATCTTGGGAGGGGCGCCGCGACCCTTGTAGTCCCTCCTGCCGGAGTCCCCCCTGGCGTCCGACCCGCGGCCGCCGGAGGGGCCCTCGCCGCCACGGTGGGGCTCCGTCCTGTCCCCCCCTCTGTAGCCTTCGCCCCGGTCGTAGAAGTCCCTTCCCTTGCCCCCCTCCTCCCCCCTCAGGTGGGGGTCCATCCGCCCCCTCGAGTCCGAGCGGTCCCCCTTCGACCCCCCGTAGGGCCCCGGGTCCCCTCGAGGGGGTCTGTCCCCGCCGCGTCCCCGCGAGTCGTTCCGACGGTCCCCACCCCGGCCCCCTTCCATCCCGCGCTTCAGGTGCGGGTCTCCGCGCGCCTCCAGACGGCTGATGTGCTCAGGGGGCCGTCGCGAGTCCCGCGATCCACGGTCCCGCTGGTCCATTGGGCGCCCTCCACCGCCGTATCCGTCGGGGTAGTAGTCTCCCCCCCTGCGGTCCATGCGCCCGAAGTAGTCGTCCCCACGTCCGTACTCGTCCTGCCGGGGGTCGTAGCCCGGATCGCGCTCCATCCGCGGCTCCTTGCGCATGTCCATCCGCGGGTGGGGGTCCCTCCCGTCCCGATAGTCTGGCCCCCGGTACGCGTCCGCGGACCTGCCGTCTCCGCGTCCGCCGTACGGATCTCCGCGCCCGTGGTAGTCCGACTTGGGGTCTCCGCGGCCATGGTAGTCTCCGCCGCGCCCGCCGTGGTAGTCCGGCCGCATGTCTGGTCTCATGTCGGGCCGCATGTCTGGGCGCATGTCTGGCCGCATGTCCAGCTTGTGCGGGTCGGAGCGGGGTTCCGGGCGACGGTAGGGGTTGTCGCGGGGGTCGGGTCCACGGGGGTCGGGACCGCGGGGGTCCAGTCCACGGGGGTCCGGTCCACGGGGGTCCGGTCCGCGGAGTTCTGGTCCACGGGGGTCTGGTCCGCGAGGGTCGGGTCCGCGGGCATAGGGGTCGCGTCTTCCGTCCGCGCTCCGGGGGTCCGGCTTGCCCCTGGGCTCGGGATTGCGGGACCGGCCGCCGGGCTGCGGCGAGTGAGGGTACTCGGACATGCGGTGCAGTTCCATCTCAAGGCGGCTGCGCTGGGGAGCGCCCATGGCGGGGGATGTCGACCTGCGGCCGCAGAGTCGATTTTTATGCTTAAGGTAGGGCCTAGTCATTGAATAAGCTACGCTTTAGAGTAACAACACTTCAGTCATATAGAATCAGTGTTGCTATCTGTGATCAGCTTGGGCCCATGTGTCTTATGAAAGGTCCAAAAAGTGCTTTTTGTTATCCTGCTTGCTAGAACAGTTCAATGACAGAGCAAAAAGGCACCAAACTGATCTCCCAACACTGTATGTACTACTCAAAAAAACGCATTTCGCAACGATAACTGTTGCAAACGGCGTCTATGCGGCTTTAAGCGCAAAAATGGAGGAGCCCACAAGTCACTGGCACATAAACAAATGACCTGCGATGTGAACAAACAACTGCATTTGCAGCATCGTACAATGATGGTAACGTGTGTCGATACTCTGTAGCTATCTAGTATATTACGTGCGTCGTGCGCTGCTGTGTCGTCTGTATTGCATGTTTTTCCACTGAAACGGCCACACTAGGCCCGACTGTTTTGCTTGTATAATAAGCTTTTACAGTAAAACTTAATGCAGGAAACAAGAAAACATGTTTATTTACGTAGTTAAGTGGTTCGTTCAAGTTTTTAAATCAACAGGCCCTCACAGAATTTTCCTCGTATGAAAGATCTCGAAGGCCTTAATCCTAGGTCACTTAATCGTCGCACAACCAGTGCGCTCTTGTCGTGATTCGGACTCATAACTGCTGTTGGAATCGCTCCCGTCATCGACAGAAGGCTCCCAAAACTCGCTATCCTCACCAGACGTCGTGTCATCATCGCTGTCGAAGAGGATATCTATGATTACATCGTCAGAAAGGCCACACCATACACTGGACGCTGCCATCTTTTCAAAGCAGGCAGCGATCGAACGGGATATACGACACACAAAAGAGCAAGCTCAAACAAACACAGCGAACAGAACGACCCTCGCCATCAGTTGGCAATGTATCTAACTGCGCTGCCCCAAGTCCACACAGCCCGCTATCTATGAATGGCTCTTTAAAACAGAAATTCATGCAGACCAGCGAATCGCCGGCTTTGGCAATATGGCCCCTGATGGTACACCCGGCGATTCGCCGGTTTTGGTAGTGAATGAGTTAAATCGCCTGGCAAAAAATTAAAAAAAAATTTGGGGGGCTGGCAGGGTCGGTAGGGACGAGTTTGCCTCATTTAATGACTTTTAATTTCCACATTCGTCTACCATTTTCCATTTGTAATATATATCAAGATTTTTGCAGTTGTTAATCACTACGTCTACCAACTGGGTATGGGTGCTTTATCGCATTATACGAAAACAAGGCACTGACGAGCCCACGATTTTTGCAGTTCCGAATGAACACACTTGCGGTGCTCCAATATTACCTTATTGGAGCCAATAACAGTGTTCCCTCGTTAGAACTAAGTCAACGGGGTGGCAAACAAATTTGATATAAGCGGTAATTCAATAAAAGTGATGGAGACAAAAAAAACTGTGCCAGCAGCCATGAAGGTGGACAAGAACACTGCGGAACACTCTGACCGTATATTTGATCAAACAAACCTCGGTTATGAATGACTTGCTTCAGATTTACCAAGTAAAAAAAATAATTACGTGGAGTTTGCCAATAATTTTATAAGGGCATCATCTCCTCGAACTACTTCAAGCATCGCAAGAGCACTGTCTCCGCTGCTGCGCTCCACTTTGTTTCGAAGCAGCCGTACAACGTTACGTGTCTCCGCAGTCGTCGGCGTTTCCGAAGGTGCCTTACCGACATTGCTTTGCGTTATTCTCAGTGGCTTTGCCAATATGTTTTCACACACTCCTGTAGAGATTGTTGCAGCTATGGAAATCGTGTGCCGGCTCGGCAAGCACGCTCGCGAGAGAAAAACATTCACCTACACTAAGTTTTTGCGACAGCAATTCAATTCTAGGAGAAAAAAAAAAAAAAAAAAAAAAAAAAAAAAAAAAAAAAACAGCGATCGCTCATTTGTGATAAATGTTCCCCGTACAAAGAAATTGAGAATGACGCAGCCGGAGAGTCTGACCTGGAGCGGTGGTGGTCCACCCTGCGGCCGTCCCGTCCCCTGCCCTGGTCGTAGCGGCCCCGGTCGCCCACATAGCGCTCTCCGTGTTCTGGCATCACTTCCCCGGGCTGCAATGGAGGCGCATCCGACGTTGCGGGGCGAGCAGCATCCAACAGAGAAGACGTACAATTCAAAGCCAAAGTTGAAGCTGGCGCAGACCAAGGATAGTAAACCCTTTTCAAAATTCAGTCTGGCAACTTTGATCACTATCATTATATTAGTGCATGGCATCTGTGCCAAACTAATGGCAGCCTTCTTGAGGCCGATGATGAAAGAAGCTGAAGATACCACCAAGCAGAGAAGGGCCGAAGATTCGAGAAGTCGGTACGACAAGACGCAAAAATTGGACAGAGCGGCTGCGCAAGCGTTTATTCCGGAGTGTGGTCCAATCAATCTCCTGGCACAAGTTTACTTGAAGGCCATTTGACGGCGGAAATTTGATTGAGGAGCTTAAGGGTTGCCTTTTTGGATTATTCAGTTCTTACGTTCACACTGTCAAAGCTGAAAAAAATTAAGAATGATACACTAGAACTTAACTTTATTGAACCCGTTTACATAGAATTATCCCTTTTACATCGAATTACAACTTATATCGAACAATTTTCGTGCACAGTAATGTTACAGTGATAATATATAGCAAAAACTATGGTTACATCGAACAAAAATTGCCAGCTGCTACCGACATATTGAACTGCCAAGAGAGCCATTTTGCTCTGCAAGCTGGCTTTCCCCCAACGCGAGAGGCCACATTGGAGGAAAGCCAGCTTGCAAAACACGCTGGCTTTTTTTGTAGCGTGAGCTACACTGGCTGAGGTTAAGCAGTTTTGCGTGGCTCCCAAAGAGCCGTGCTGTGCAAGCGCGAGAAGCAGTGACGTCACACGGCGCACAGCTGGCACACCGGAGCCGCCGCCGCCGCGCGCGCCTGGCCGGTCTGCGCATTCCAGAAGAGTGACGTCACAGCCGTGGCAGACGCACTGGCGCCGCTGCGTGCCCAGCTGTGCGCCTCCGTTGCGCAGTAGCCAAGTCTGACGCTGCACCGGAGCCGCTTGATAGCGCCTCTCATTCTGTGCACGTAAGCTCATGCTACGTATATCCTGGCATAGCCGAGCTAAACCACCGCAATTTCTTTTTTTTTTTTTTTTTTCGGGCAATTGCGTTGATTGCTTGGAAGAGAAAAAAAAAACTTGTTTGCGGAGGGAGTGGGGAGAGGGTGCTCAGTGCTCCTTCTCCCCACTCCGTTTGTAAAAAAGAATATTACTTTTTCTTCTGGGACGTTGACACGGCTGCCCGGAAGAAAAAAAAGCCAGCTTGCTCTAGTGGCTGGCTTTCCCTCAACGAAGCCGCCTTTCTTAGGGGAAAGCAACCTTGCAAAGCAAAAACGGTGGTCTGCAGAAGGCGCCCCTGCTCGGACGTGCTCCGTGCTCTTGGCATAGTTTGGCGGTAATGCTCGAATATAGAAGGCAACGGCCTCAGCATTTTGGAATCCGTCGATAGCGTAGAAAAATATTGTTATTGCGAATGCGATAAAGAAAAAGCAGCAGAAGATATAAGACTATTTCATTGTGTACTCTATCAGCAGAAAGTGGATTTTTGAGTCAAATTCATTAAAACTGTTATATTGTCATGGGTGGTGACCAGAATAACAATAAATAAACAGGAAGAACTAAACGTTTAATGTGGCGAACTTGCGCCAAAACAAAAGGAGAATAGAAAATAATAACAAAGCGTCGCGAGCGTCGAGGTCGGCGAGACAGCAGAGTCGAGCGCTGGGGCGAAACTGACTCGACAAGGTCGCGGGCGGCCTCTTATCTAGAGTGAGTCACTATCTCGAAGATTCGGCGGAGAAGGTTCGAGCGTAGCGCGCTCGGGGCGAGAATGAACAAGCACTTTCTAGAACAACAAAAACAAGGATGAACGATAGTTATGTCCGCAGCAAGAATGAACGAGAACTTTCTACAAGTCCGTGACCCTGCGCGCGGCAATATTGAATTATACAATATATCGAACCAATTCCCCTTTTTTTGCAAGTTCGATATATGCGGGTTTGACTGTAGGAAGTGATCAAAGAACTGATTCTCATCTGCCATCGACGTGTGGAGGTGACAGTGCCCGATGAGATGCAATTTCATGACCGCCATTAGTTTGTCGAAAGCGAAACTACTCCTCGAGACCCCGGATGGCACTGAACTTTGCAAAGGGTCTACTTTCAGAGACTGCTACGAGCCAGCCGTATAACACCCTGCGTTAATGCATTAAAAACCGACGCAGAAGCGTCGGCGTTCCATTCACGATACATTTGTACCGGTCCGCCTGAGGGTGCCCTCACCTCAAGCACGTCGGAGTCCCCTTCCGAGGGCGGCTCGTGGCGGCCGCCGCGGTGGACGGGTGGCGGGGGTGGGGGGGGCCCGTCCGGGTAGCCGGGGGGGGCCTCCCTCTTGCGGCTGCCCGGGTGGCGCCCCTCCCCTTCGTAGCGCACCTCATAGCCCGCCTTGGCACCCAAGGACCCATACTCCTCCGGGCGGCCGTGGCGACCCCTGGGGAAGAGCACGGGTGCGGGAGAAACGCATCTTCTGACGAACGAACCCCAGATGTTGTTGCAGGAGGAATGCACGGGAAAGTGGTTTAGAGAAAGTGTACTGCGAGGGCATAATGGAAGACTAGGAAACATTCTAGGGACAATGGGGCCAGGGAGACGGGGAATGGGGGTAAAGCAAGCACCGGGACGGGAGCGGGGTGCGAGCGTTTGGATGGCAGGACGTGCGCGGAGGCGACCGTTGGGACTGGGACTTTTTAAGCTTACGACTTGTTTGGATTGTAATTGGAAAACTTAACGGTACAAAAATTGATGTGTACCATCTTAATTCTATGGATGAGCCGCGAGATGCAGAATGAGCGGTGTGTTTTGAGCTCCCTTGGAGCAAAACAAATTTGTGATCATGTATAGTCACGATAGGTTAAGTGATCATGTCATACGACTTCGCGTGACATTGTGATTTAATGGAAAATATTTCCTACCTACTACTCAGATAACTTCTGTTATTTCTGGTGCTAACCATTCTCTCGGATACTTGCGCCGTAACCTTAAACTTGCTACACCCTCCGTAAAACGACTAGCGTATACTACTCTTATAAGATCGAAATTAGAATACGCCTCCTCTATATGGTCCCCATGGCAGTCCTACCTTGCAAATAATCTAGAATCCGTCCAAAACAGAGCCCTTCGTTTTATTTATAACAACTACTCACCATATACCAGCATACCAGGATTACGCCAATCAGCTAACCTTCGTTCACTTTCTCTTCGCCGCCGAGTATCACGCCTTTCTCTCCTCCATAGAATTTTTTATCACAATATCTACCTCAAAGAATCACTGATATCCCCTCCCAATCGTATTTTCCCCGTCTAGATAACCTACCTAAAATTACGTCCAATTCGATCATCAACTGTTTCTCACCAGACTTCCACACTACCATTGGCCATCGAGGATTGGAATTCACTACCTCATAACATTGTTTCTATTAATGATACTACTAAATTTGTTGAAGCCATTACCCTCTCTTTATCTAACCTACCTGGCTAGCTTACAGTGTTATAATTGTGTTTACTGTTCTATTTGTTTTTGTTCTATTGCCACCCCCTTGTATAATGCCCCACGGGCCCTCAGGAAAATAAATGATGATGATGATGACTTACCGTAAAGTTCCGAGAGAACGCCTGTATTCCAGATCGCCCATCCCGTTTTTCTGGCTAAAGATCTGTACCATAAAAATTCTAAAATATCGTCCACAGCCCGGTTCCTGTCAGACGTTATGCAATGTCTAACAGGAATCGCATCAACTGAGCAATTTGCTGTACCAGCACGTCTGTCTGACAACCGAGTTCATAGCGGGTTCCTGATCTTTTTGTCCACGATCTGCGCGCACAATATCGGCTCCCGTAACACGCGAGTTGTTACCGTGCGTATGTTGCACCATGAAATGTGAATCTACTGCGTCTGCAATCTGCGGTATCCGTTCCTATAACATAAAGTTTGTAGCGGATTCCCCGTTTTTGTCTGCGATCTGCGCGCGTGATTTCTATTTTACGCGAGTTGGTCCCATGTGTATATTGTATCGTGAAATACGATTCTGCTGCGTTCGTGATCTGCGGTATTTGTTCCCGTAAAATACGGGTTTGTAGCAAATTCCTGAGTCTTTGTCCGTGATCTGCGGGTACGATATTGGTTCTTGTGACAGGCAAGTTTGTAGCGGGTTCCTGCATGTTTATTGCAACATAAAACTTGAATCTGCTGCGTCCACGATTTGCGGTATTCGTTTTCGTGAGATGCGAGTTCTTGGCAGGTTTCCGCGGGTCCTTCGCACCGTGAAACTCGAATCTGCTGCGTCTGCAACCTGCAGTATCCTTTCCCATGACACAGGAGTTCACAGCCAATTCCCACGTGTTTATCATATCTCGAAATGCGAATTTCCGGTGTCCGCGATCTGCAGTATCAGTTCCCGCGTCATATGGTTTTGTAGCCGGTGCCAGGGTGTTTATCATTAATTTTTGATCAAGGTTTGCTGTGACATCCTTGAAGATGTTTTTCACCTTTAGTATGTCTTCATTTTGGATGAGCGTTTTTACGGAACTTTACAGTACCTTGATTGTTTGCACGAAGGTAAGAGAGGCAGAATGTGTTGCGCGTGTCTTAGCCTCCGAAACAAATCTAGAAGCCCCAAAACGTCGGAGAGAAATACACATCAAGGAGGCCCAAAAACACTAAGCAGTAATAAAGTGCACTACACACGTCAAATTTTAAGAACTCCAAATAAGTCAAGGGTGAGACACACACAACACATTCCGAGTCTCCCAACTTTATGTGAAGAATCGAGGTAATTTTGATGGTACCCATAAAAATTGCAGGAAAACTCGTAATCTCTCAAGAGCGTCTGGAGGTTCAGGAAAGTTTGCTTGCCTCCTGCAGTGGCGTTAAACAATAGGCTCGTTGGATTTACCCTTGTTGCCTGGTGCAGAAAAGTGCAGGACGATTTATGTCTTCAAAGATAGGCTGTGCTCGTAAACCGAATGAGACAGTGTACACAGAGTGTAGGTCACCACAGATGGTGTAGGCAAATACATTGAGCTTAAAGAAAGATGCCAACCCTTCACACCTAACTAGGAAAGAGGGTGCCTACTTTTTGGACCTAATGAGGAAAAAGGTGGGGAACCCTTGAATCCTAGTTAGGAAAGAGGGTGCCAACCCTTGAATCATGATTAAAAAAATTATGCCAACCCTTCGGACCTAATGAGGAAAAAGGGTAGGAACCCTTGAGGCCTAGTTAGGAAAGGGGGTGCCAATTCTTGAATCATACTAAGTGAAAATGGTGTAAACCCTTTAGACCTAATAAAGAAAGAGGGTGTAAACCCTTGAATCATCTCTGGAGAGAGGGTGCCAACCCTTGAATAATAATTAGGAAAAATGGTGCTAACCCTTTGAGCCTCATGAGGAAAAAGAGGGCCAACCATGGAATGATAATTAGGGAAAAGGATGCCAACCCATCTTTTGTCTATTTATGGCGTAAACTCTATCTATGTACCCCAAAAATACAAATGTGTCTGGTCTTTTTCTTCATAAAACACGACCAAACATGGCGGCATGCCCCTCTCCCAAGATATATCTTAGAAAAGGGGCGTTTGAGGATGTTTGGTTGCATTTTTAATAGGAAATAAGTGACACGATAATAATTTTGGGTGGAGTTTTGAGTTTCCACGCATAGATTGAGTTTCCATTAAATAAGATGAACTATAAATGACCTTTGAGAAAAAGGGTGCCCATCGAGCATAGCGAAGCAATTAGAACTCACTCTGTATCTTTCTTGCGAGATTCCCTGGGCGGTGGCTGTGGCGGGGGTGTGGGGTCCATGGGGGTTGGCGGGGAGTCCCTGCGGGCCCTCTTGGGGGCCGGGGGCAACCCCCGGCGCGATGCCTCGTGGGGGGGCGGCGGAGGGGACGAGCGCCCGTACCTGCCGGAAGGGACCCTTCCACCGGGAGGGGGCGGGACTGGGGGACCACGGGGGGGCAGGGGGGCCCCGTCCCCACCGCCACGGGTGCCCCTGCGGCCCGCCCGGGAAGATCCCGGCACGGGGGACGGCTCGGGGGACGGGCTGTCGGCCAGCGAGCCAGGGGGAGGGTCGGGTGCGCCGCGAGCACCCATGCCGCGGTGCTGGAAAAAGAAGGAGAGAGATGATCGGTCTATATCGCAGAAAGCTAATGCTCTTTCTATGTTCACGTCTGCATATTCCATGAATAGACCACTCCAAAAATATGGAGCAACCCCCCCACACCCTTTGTTTTCAGGTGCACTGCGGCAATTTGAGCTTTCAAGAATGAAAAAAACATGAACAACAGTGTGGGGGTTTGATTCATCATGTACTACGTGAAGGCCCCTGGAAACTGGCAAGACTGCAATATGAAGGGGGAGTCTGTGAGGGTGTGCATGCTACGTAAGACGCATAGCCCCCCCCCCCCCCCCCCCCCCCCCCCCCCAGCTTCCCTCTGCATACCAAAGGTTTATCAGTTACCAGAGTCCTCCAGGTAGCATGCCATCTGCTTATAAAAGCAATGCCGTACGACTAAAAATTCATTCAGCGCCCGCAGAGACGAAGGCTGTGATGGCAGCGGATCAAACAGAAATGGACAGGATGTCTTCGGGTAGCGTGTGCCATGCTGTCTCATCAAGGAACCTTTGTTTGGGTCATAAAAATAAATAATATCTGTCAACAAGACCTGTGGGGGGGTTCAGCCCCTCTTTCCAGCCTAGGGACTGCCAGAGTGTGACTGTGTCTTGCATCCCGGAAGGGCTCACCTCTGTCCTCAGCTGCTTCTCCCGCTCCCTACGCCGCTTTCCCGACTTCTTCTTCTTTCTCGCCTTAGGAGGCATGAAGGGCATTGCCATCTTGCCCCTGCAAAAGGACAAGAAAACAAGAGTGCTGCGGGTCTCTTCATGTTGGGGGGGGGGGGGTCGGACGCATTGATTATAAACTTAGACGGAAGGATAAATTTAAAACTTTACCGTCCAAGTTATGAGGGGTTCACACATTTGTGTGTGAGCTTGACCGAATGCAGTGCGACTGCTTGTCGCTGCTTAGGAAAGAACACACTTGCAAAACGACGCCATGTATTGAGTAGCCCCGGAATGCTTGCAATCCTCATATAACTAGACCGAAGGTCTTGCAGCATTTGCGAGGTCAAATCTATGCACCGTCCACAAGGAATGATCGCTCATAACATTGCCAAATTTATTTCGAATTAAAGGAAAAAGAAAAAGATGCTCAAAGAATTAGGAAAAGTATCTAGTTTGAGGGCTACCCCTTAGATGGCGCTGGAGCATTCTCTCGTAAGCCGAGGTAAGCCACAGGCTATGCAGAGTGGACACCCCTACACCCCACGAAGTCGCCCAACCACCGGAAGCACATTTTCGACTCCCTGCTTGCCTTCGCACGAGCGGTAAGCCATCCCCTGCACACGTAACTCTCTCTCCGTCCCTTTTTATAAGATCTTTCTTTTTTGTCTTATCTCCCCCTCTCCACGGCACCATTTCAGACGATGCAGTCCAATGATCTAGCGGCTCGTTTCAGTTTCGCGTAAACAAAATGTTTCAACGCGCGGTTGCAGCGCACACGGTCACACCCGAATGCGAGCGCTAGAACCAGTTTTCAGTGCCCATTCAACTTAAAAGTGAAGAGATACATTTGTAACGGCTCGTTCGCAACGACCGCATTGCACTTCATTCCTTCCCTTTCTTGGAACGAGTCTCACGAGGATCGCCACAACTCACGTTCCGGGCGCCGCCTTGCGCCTGGGTTCGGCAAAAGCACTGGGGCTCGGGGTCCGCGGTCCCCTGGAGCGGCCCCCACCGCCGTACTCCCCGTAGTCCCCGTCCTGCCCCCTGCGGGGAGCGGACGAGGCGGGAGGGGGAGAGCGGCCCCCTTCCGCCGCCTCCCGCACCCGCCCGTGCCTGTCCCGGCCGTGCCTGGACGGAGAGGAGAGGTGGGAAGAAGAGTGAGCGGCGGGGCAGACGCAGACGCAACATCGTCAAACGAAACCGTAAAGTGATCGCGAGACCAAAGATTACAAAAAGGAGCCCGACGACCCTTCTCGCCGTCGTGCAATCATCTCGTCCGAAGGACACAAAGTACGAGCACGACACATTCAATTACATCGCTCAATACTAGTCGTTTTCACCAAACCTCGAGTTCTCACAATAATTCCTAGGAAACAGTGAGAAGAATAAACTGTGTTCTTGTGAAATGCGAGCCAAGCCTACTTTTTTTCTTTCCTTTTAGCGGAAGTGTTTTTGAAGTTTTTTAAGGGGGCTGGGGGAAACCCAAATGCTGAAAGCATGTGTGTGTATGGGTCGATTTTAGGGTGCTAAACAAGTGCACAAACTGCTCTTCCAGAGCACCAGTGACGCAGTGTTCATTTTCATCGCTATACAGTCACTTCTTCCCACCAAGGACGCACACATATGCACCTGCACAATGCACACCCTCGCAGGCGTAAGCCATCTGTACATACAAGTGCATGCACCCATAATGTGAGTGAAGAGAATCCAATTTCGTCAAAGTTGTTCTCTCACAAGTTTTTCCTAACCACAGGGGTGGAACTCATGAAATGTACTTGGGAGCAGCCACGGGAGCAGCTAAAACAGCTGTTTTGGAGCAGGTTGGGAGCAGCTAAAACTACGTTCTGGAGCAGACTAGGAGCACTTCAGTTCAGGTTTCATTCCGCTTCAGCTTGTGCCTTAGACAGGCACGGGAGCAATTTCAATTGTGCTTAACAGCACAGATGAACATGCGTGGTTAGGGACCTATAGGTAGATGGGATAACAGTGTAACAAATGCGAAAACTTGAAACTTTGTGAGCCTTAATGAGAACCAAAAAGCAAGTACCATATGTTTCTGAAGATAGCTTCCTTGATATTTTCTGCGTGGCTTTCAGCTGCTCAAAATGCAAACCAGCACTGCTTATCGCACAACCGACACGTGCTCGACATAGTAATTATATGTGGGAACCACGTGACGCGCTTAAGCGACGGACGTGCAGTTGCACGGAGGAACAGGGAAACAAATTTTGAGTTTATCCTATTGTGCAACTCAGTATCGAAGCAGCATACTACGATTAACGGTGTTATCGTATTTGATTGAAGCAATGAGCAGGAGCAAGGTTAAAGTACGCCGGGCATATCTACCGCTCGCGTGAGGGCTGCTGGCCGGCAAGGTTTCGGATCGGACCGCGTTTCAGTTCTATCAAATCACAATTTATTATGAGAGAATGCGGTTCCAACAACGGTGAAGTACTAAAAGGAATATTTTGCTCATTTGTTTTCAACTGGCTGACGTTCGGATCCCGAGCCGCAGAGCCTCAGGCAATCTGATGCTCAACGACTCGACCTCACCTCGGCCGACTTGCTTAACCGCTTATGGTTGAAGAATAACAATCCAGTCGCAGGTGGTGTAGCACTTAGAATCCGAGTTTTTTCGCGCAACTTCCGACTCGGGATACACAGGGAGAATAAACAGAACAGAGGATTACAAGGCCGACCAAGCTAAACGTGCTCATTGTTGCCAATCGAGTCGATAAAAACCAAAACCAGGACAAAAAATACAATTTTCGGGGCGCACGCTTTGCGATTTAGCGCATAATGGCGCGAGGTATTGCTTCTGGCGCAGTTTCTGCAACATGGCGCAGGATGGCGCAGACAAATGCGTCTGGTGCAATATGGCGCAAATGGCGCAGCCGTTCCACCCCTGTAACCAATTAATCGCAGACTACCGCAAGAAACATCAATATTTTTCCGATTCATTTTTTTTGGGGGGTTCTGCATGGCGGGAGGGGGCAAGATAGAACTTTGTTTCGTCTCTCGTTCAAACTAGTCGCTGAACGTTCCAAGAGTACTGAAACTCCCAAGCTTCGTTCCAGAACCGAGTCGCGACAGAGCCAGCCGCATTCCAACCCACCCCAATACACACTGCCCAGTGCGGTCTAAGCGAGTGTAGCGTTCGTTCTCGTGCAAGCTCTTCAATCCGCTTTACTGGTCTGTTGCAATGCTGGTTTGTTTTTATGTTCTTTTCTTTGTTCCGAGTGGTGTGCAACTCTCTCCTCGCTGTCTCGCCTCGAAACACATTGAAGTCAAGTGTTAAGCTTAGAGTCTGAAGCATAGAGTTTAAAAATGCAGCACCGGCACGACCGGAGGGAGCAAATGATCCGGATTTCTTCCTCGGCAAACCAAATTACCTGATACTCTATATAAAAAAAAAATCTACAGAAAATCAACACGCCTTCTGTTCGGTCTTAACTTGTCCTATGCCCCAGAGCTTCCACCCCGCCCGCACCCGCTGTAACCTTGGTAACGCAGAAACATTTTATATAAGTTTTTTCTTGTTTTGGGGCCCATCCCCAAAATGGCAGACTGATAACTTCCCGCCACAGCTAATCAAAACTAGATTCTGCAGGATTGACTTCCGGTGAGCGGACTGAATGGAATTCGGTACTCTGGGAACACTCAGTGACAGGCTAGAGTCATTGAATGTTCCCAAAGTACCGAAACTCCCAGGATCAATATTGCCAAAATGGCGGCTCAATATTTGTTTTACTCTGGTTATTATGAGCGTTTAGAGAGCCTGTTATTGCGTAAAAACAAACAGAAAATATTCTTTTTTTAGAAAACAGATTCACTCCTGTTTCATGCTTCATGAAAGAGTGGCGTTTTTCCTGAGCACTAAAAATTAAAATATTGTTAGATTCTTGTTTCTTGTGAGTCACTAAAATCAAACGTTTTCCTTTTCAATTATATTCTTTAAAAAGTCTTAGGTCTCGCCCCGAGTTACACGTAAAATCCTGTTTCTTCAACAAGTTCCTTATCTGCTCACGTTTAGACCGTTCTCCCACTACGAGCTACATCAAGTAAATGTGCACCAACACGAGGGTTTTGCTCTTTTGGGCCACACGTTCATATGTCAGGCCCTGCTAATGTCCTGCACCAATTGACCTTCAGGTAAGATCGCACGAGGCGTTTCAGCGACCCCAATATTGCACAACACTGCGTGAGAAATGCGAGGTCGTTCGGACGTACGCTTCATCCATACCGGAAGCGACACAATCACTTCTCTTATCACCACGAGTTCAGAACACAAAGAAAAGTAGAAGAAATGCGTAACAAAGCCGGTATGTATACTTGTTGCGTTACTGTTGCGTCTTCTTCGCGGTTCGGAATTGCAAAAAGCTAGACCAACAGGAACTCCTTCTATTCATTCATGGGGTACCCATAATTCCTGGACTACACGATTAAAAGTGTAAATTTTAAGCGGCGCGACTGCCCACACTATACGAGGATTGTTTTTTTTTAAAGGTCGCTAATTATGATGAGACAAGACGGATTTTGTGATTGATATGTTAATGAAGATTCCCGATGATACAAGCCCTGTTTGGTGCACTAATAAAGCGAGCATTTTTCGAGGTGTGACGTGTACAGTGCAGACCGCATATAACGTATGTCGCGGGAGTCGCGAAAATCCGCACTATAAGCGGTACCGCACTATAACCAAAACATCAATTTTTCAAGCCAAAATGCATGCCATCAGACAACTTAACTTTGTAAAAGAATTTATTTTATGTTAGATGAAAAATAAAGCTTTAGTTTGAGGAAAGTCTTTATTTCACCAGGCTAGTACACTTCTCTCTCAAGTGTGTCACGCATTTTGAAAGAAATGAGCGACTTTTGCCTGGCGCAGCCTTTTGACGGCGTCGCGGGTTGCGGACGAACGTTGCGAGCGTTCAGGATTGTTAACCCTAATCACTTTTCTCCGGCAATGAAAACGCGTGAAAATTCGCATCCTTTATATGGTACGCGCCCGTAATACAATAACTTGAGCACAGGCATGAACCATGCTCCAAATAAGAAATCCGGGCGATGTTCGAAAACACAAATGCTTAGAAAGCACCGCTGTAGTCGAAGTAAACAAACACGACGACACGGGCGTTTCTTCCGTCTTGAGAGTGCCGCGCCACAACATCGCCGCACGAGTAGGTGAATCTTCCCTTCTAGAACGTGCTGGGTTATCATAGCGACACACAACGAAAATTCACAGTCAAGGATAGCGCTTTTACGCGGAACGATGAGCTTCTACGCAGGTCTACGTCGACGATCACAACCGACGCCATGTTCGCGGATAAAAGCAGCCGACCCCGCGACGCGCGCGAACACTTCTCCTCGTCTTGCGATTGGTCTGTCGTTGCGGTTGTTTTCTAACGCAGCGGAGGGACGCACGCACGTGAACGACACGTGTGTGCGTCCCTCCGTCGCTATGGCAACTGAAGCCTCTCTCTTCGCTTCATCGAGCAACTTCCTTGCCCCGCGAGTGCCGCACGCTCCGTTATCTAGTGTCGCACAGGAAAGCGTGCTCTCTGCGTCGGTCGGTCGGCGCGGTCGCCGGGCTGTTCCGAAAACCGCACTATAACCGGTATTTCCCTTCGCGCGCCTGCATTTTAAGCGGTATGTAATTACATGGAGTTCTATGGGAGGCACACCGGTGGTTTAAAAAAGCCGCGTTATACCCGGTCCTGCACTATAAGCGGTTACGTTGTAAGTGGTCTATACTGTACGAGGCTTTTTTTTTTTGCTTATGGACTAGGCACCAGGTACGACCTATGCACCGAGGTTGGGCTATAAAATAAACTTGTTTCTTTAACAGAAATGTACTTGCGAACTCTTCCCAGACAGTAGATCGGATTGCCGAAAATAACGCGTAAAAAGGAGGGGCGGGGGCGCCAAGCGCTTCCGGAACGATCTGTCGGCCACAGTCTTCTCTCCTCACCGGGAAGAGTCCTTGCCGTGCCCGTGAGGGGGCGGCCCAGACCGCGGGGGCTCCCTAGCCCTGGGGGCCTGCGCCGGCCGCTCCTCGGGGCCCCTCCGGCTGCGGTGGTGCCGCCCACCACCCGCCAGTTGTCTCCGCAGGTTGCGCGGGGTGGCCTGTGGAGGGCGTGGCGTGCGAAGAGGGAGACCTGGCCCCCGACGAGCTCGAGCTCGAAGAGCTCCTCGCTGTCGTCGTCGTCCGACACTGGAGCTCGAGGAGTCCGAGGACGAGGGAGTCTGAGTCGCTCGAGGACTCGCTGCTCCCGCTGAAGGGGGCCTGGGACGGTGGCAACCACGAGAGACGAGTGAGGAGAGATTCCCAGCACGGGCAGTGCTACGACAACTGGTGTGGGCACCTTCACAAATAGAACCTTTTCGAAAGTGCGCACCACCCCACTAGCCCTCCGCATTAATTATCTGAGTATACCGTCGTTTGGGCACGTGCTCGGAGCGTGCATCGACGCAAACTCGGCGGTGCTCGTAAGAAGAACGAGCGACCTGCAAGCGTTTGGCGAGGACTCAGATTCAATCATGCCCTTCATGCCCGAGGAATGACGACCGCCGATGTTGCTTAGCAGGGTTTTGAAAGCGTCTGCCACTACGTCCTACCGTAGAGTATGACGTGGCATGGGATACGCTTGGCCTCCAGGTCTTCTTCGGACATTTT